GCTGCTGAGCGCGCCTCACTGTCGAACGCCAGCTCCTCCGCTAGAGGCGCTACGCGCGTTTTTCAAAGCGCCCCCTATGGTTCCCGCGCGGAGCGTATACCGAGGGAAGTTTGAAAGGGATATTTTTACGAATTTTGAAATACACCCACTGTGTTCGTAAGTAGGCTGCAGCACACTAAACATTGTAACACCCATAATCATCTAAAAAGGATGTAAGAAGGTGTTCGTTAGGCGAAACACCCCTTTTACACTCTTTTTACACGATTTCTGAATATCGGTGGTTGTAAAAAGGGTGTGCTGACGTTTTACACCCCTTACACGCCCTTTTTACGCCCCACTTGTAGCGGTCGTGTCTGAAATCGTGTAAAAAGGGTGTATGGGCGAATAATATTACGCCCTTCATTCACACGGTGTGAAAGGGGCGTAATAGTGATGCTTTCAAATACACCCATGATTTCATAGCTGTTCATGTTTATTGCTTTGGTGAAACTGCTGCCGATGTGCGGCTGTACAAACATCGAGTATAATTAATCGCCACACGAAGTCGCGTAGGATTAGGAAGTGCTAGAGAATAGTTTTTGCAACTCCGATTGAACTCTCCGTCCGACACGAGCCGAAAACTACGTGTCGCGCGTAGATCAGTTTTATCAGTTCATCTTTGATTTAAAAAAAAAAAAAAAATCATCTCCGCTCTCAAAAAATGAACAAAGACGTGTAAATATAGAACCGCAGGCAGCACACAGTACTGCGCCATTATGGAATTAAATCGGAAAGCTTGTGCCCATACCATTTTGGTTTAGCCAATATCTGTGAAAAATGGGATGGGTCGCGCCGACGTCATCCTGACGTTCCGTACGCGGCGCCGTTTTTGGTTAAGTGTCAAGAATGTCCTGCGTGAATCGGCTATGCCGGCGAGGTGTTTCTACTTCTTGACGGAATAAAATCCGACGTTAAAAAAGAAAGCAAGACGAGATTTAGCAATCGGAATCTACATAAAAACACAGTCAATTAGTTCGCTAACTTTCACGAAGAAACGCGTGAATCCGGCCCTTGGGCGTTGGGAAGGGGTGGAAGGGGGGGGGGGGGGGGGGTGCAGTTGCCCCCTATCTGGGATTTCAGCCTTTCCAAAGTTGCCCCCCCCCCCCCCCCCCCCCACCCCTAAAGGAATATATAACCGAAATTTGGATTTCAAAAATGCAATGCTGGAGATGTAGGTGGGACGCTACAATCCCTGCAACACTTAAGGCGATATCTCAAATGGACGGCCGTATTTTTGGAAAAAGAAGTCGAGATTGAACCAGGCCGACGAGGCGCGTGACGTCAGGATACCTAGTTTCCTCCTCTCGTCGCTTCGCTCCCTCAAGGCCGCGAGGCGGAGAAGACGCGAGGCCGTTCCCTCTCCTTCTCGGAAAAACATGACGTCAACATTTCTGCCAAATGCGCCTCTTTTTTTTTTTTTTTAAAACTACGGTTATCCGTTCGAGATATCGCTGTATGAGTGATGTTTTGGTGTTTGTAGCATCCCGTTGCACGCTTTTGCGGGGTGTTTCGGGGAATCCAGATTTCGGTTCAGCACCCCTTTAAAACACGCCGAAGACAATTTTTAAGACTACTCACGTGTTAAACGCGAAAGCATTGTAGTCCGGTGGTGACATCACGCTCCCCCACTGCGCAGGCGAGGTTTACGGCTTCCGTGACGAAGTATCTGCATTCTGTGCTTTCCTTTGTGCTTTATTTCTGAGGCGCGGCCGCTTTGGCCTTGAGCGGCGCATGCTTGATGACGTATTTTTATGGCCATCTTTCAGGAACAACGCCGGTCAGGGGTTTCCCCAGGAATTGAAATTAAAGGGGAGAGGGGGGGGGGGGGGTCTAAATTTTTTCGTGGGAGCCGAAAGATATAAAACTAATCACTGCGGTGGGAACGCTCGGCGCATGGTCGCCTTGCGGGTCCGCCGAACCCATTGCGATTCACGCTTATAACCTGCCTGTAGCGGGGTCGGACAGGGGTCGAGCACTGAAGGGCTCTTCCCCGCTCGTTTTTCCCAGGTTGTCGTTTGGTCAGTCCCTTTGTGTGTTTGTGTTTGTGTGTGCGTGTTTGTGCGTGTGTGTGTGTGTGTGTGTGCGTCGTGTGCGTGTTTTTTTCCTTCACAATTTGCTTTTTGGTGAAATTCGCACTTGATCCTATAGGATCCAATTTATTTAACTCGAATTGGCTTTATAGGACTGGAAATTGTCTCAAAACTAGTTCTATCTTTTTTTTTTTTTTTTTTTTTTTTAGTCCCGACTTTTTTAGCGATACTAGAGAGCCGTAAGCCTATGTTGACCGTCACAACGCCAACTAGATTCTTCTTATTTTCAAAATGAGTACGTACTGTAGCTGGAAAAAACCTTCGATTTTTGTTGCTGAAAGTTGAAACATGCCCATGCATCGATTTCGAATCGTTGAATCATTGATCGCCTCTTCTTTACTGGATTCCCGACCTTAATTTATCCCGTTTTAGTGAAGACATCGCTCTAAAAACCAGCGAAGTCGTCACGGAGTTGACCGATATATACTCTTTCACCGCCTTCACAGCTCTGTGTGGCTAAACTGTAGGCTCTTATTTTGGAGAGCGCTATTTACACTTTTCAATCTATCAGATACAAGGAGCATAAACCTAAACATAAAATAGGCATCGAATTTCTGAGGTGTCTTTCCGTACCAACTCGCTTTGGCTAGTGTCATTCTTTTCATCCGATGAAAGCGTGAAGAGAAATTTGACAAGTTCGGAGTAGTTCTAGAGACCGACCAGAGTGAGGACGCCTTCAGCATCCATCTGGTTTTCCAGAACTGTCTCAGAGCAGCTGCTCCTTCCTTCTGAAACTGCTGGAACCAGCTAAAACGTTTTAAAGATGTTTAAAAAAAAAATTTACGAGGTCTTTGAACAAGCTAATCCCGACACACATCAATTTTTATGCACAAATCTTGCAACACTTGGTTCAGTGTGTGTGTGCAAGCCAATGTACACGTACAGGGCTTTTGACTCATTATCTCAATTGCACTAGCGCTTGAAGGCCATTGCTTTTTCCGGAAACGCTTGCAGGTCCATCATAGCATTGCCCAAGGCAGTTCTCGATTCGAAGGTTGAATCGACAAAGCACATAATTTCAAAATAGAAAAGAGAGTACGTGCCAGCTGGTGTCCGCGGTTGCATAAAATCCAACGAATATCTCCTCCACTTCGAGGTTTCTTTAGCATACCTAATTACAGAATGACACTTGTTCCTGCGCAGTTATGTCTGAAGTTTCCTCAGCAATTACTGCATAAAACTCCCCATCGCGCACTTCTTTCATAAGAAAGCGAAGCGGGCTGTGGGTTTTTAGCTCCAGCATTTCGTTCTGTACGCCTGGGGAGGTCTACTTATAGTCTATTTTTTTTTTTTTTTTTAGCCATGCTGCTAACCCTGATACACCGGCTTCGCGCAACAGTAAAAGCTGGTTCAAGTTGCCCTCGTCATCATCGTGACCGCGCAGTGCGAGACCTTGGAACGCCAAAAACGAACAGATGACAATATTGTCAACAAAGCTTTACGACTTTGCTTCAGTTGCTGAAGTTCAGACTCTGAGAGCACAGAAGCTACATTTAGCCCTGTGCTTGTAGCTGTCAGTGCCATGGAAGCCGCGCGATGAAGCGATGAATTTTCATCACTTCTAAACCTTTCCAACATTTTTTTTTTCTCCAGTTTTGGACATCACTTTTAGCGACAGCGGTATACGCATCTTTATGTTGCGATGTGCATGGTAGTGGAAATTCTCCCTAGCGGTTACGCAGGTGGCACAATACATCTTACCAGTCTGTGCATTGTACAGAAGCCACCCGTAGGTGAATTCCCAACTCTTCAAGAAGCCTCGTTCACCGTAATTGCTTTTAGTGGACGCCTGTCGAGTATGTTCATGGCGACCACGAGAGCTTGGCTTGCCAATTGAAGTCACATTCACGATCGCTAAAGGTGATTCCAGGACGTTGTCCACAATCGGTGTTGAGGGACTCGCGTCCCTGGATGTACCGACCACAACCGGAGCGCAGGTCTCGCCATGTGAAGACAAATGTCGACAGCAAGATCTTGCGTATGCGTTCTGGATGCTTCAGCTGACAAGCGCAGTCTTTTGATGAGATATCTGTTCATTTTCCATGTCCGGGACCTGTAAGAATATTGAAGCAATGGGTGTGTGGTGCTTAACAGGGCGCTAATTAGACTCATGGTGTGATCCCGAGCAATTTTGAGGGTACGTAAATAAAAATCTAGAGAACTTAAACACAAAATCTGGAACACTTTAGAGTACCCTGATATCTGACCCACAAGGTTTTGGAACACATAAATGTTTTAAATATTTTGCGATCGCCACGCCAACCACAGGCGGGCACAGGAACGTGTGAACAGCCCCTTGCCGCTCCTGGTTGTAGGAGGAAAATACCGCGTTTCTACTTGTTGCACATTTCTGCTAGTGCATCTGTTGTCTAAAGCCTCAAATATTTCAAAACCCGGTCTATTTTCCGCTGAGCTCCATATAACTATAGAAACGCACACAACTGTATGTAGTTTTATAGAAAAGAAGCAAGCAACAAAACTTGAATTGCGGGGACAGAACGAGCGGGTTGGTATGGATAGTAAACTTGAGGAAGAAAACGAGAAAGGACGGACAAACACAAACTTCCATGAATTATTTTTCATACGCATCCCAACGTGGAATGCGTTCACTTATGAACGGACGGAGAGGACAAGGACGGATCATAAATTGATTGCAGTAAACAAGAGGAGGTTAAACAATTGTTGTAAAAAGTTCATGAAAGTGAGAAATTAATCGAAACGAAATTAATCGGAACAGTAATTCCTAGGGCGAACTTTAGGGGGTTCATACATTGTAAACTAGGTGGCGCATGCTACCGTATAATTCAAAGGCGGTACTTATGCTGAGCTTATCGAGTTTATGCTGTTCATCTGCTGTTCATCTCTCCATCTATTTGTTTCTGTGTGTGTTGTGTTCGCTGGTTGGGTGTGTTGGGATGCTAGGTTTGTGTTCTTTTGCTTGTAAGGAGGCGTATCAGCCGTAAACAATGCGGCATTTCTTGCGTCCAGTGAGATAAAAACGACCCCGGCATGCCTTTACACGAGGTCACTGATTTCCAATTTGTGGCGATCGAGTTCTCGCCTAGCAGTGTTCTTGACTCTGAGGCTGAGAGCCTCTGAAATGAACCTCAAGGTACGCTAGGATCGGGAGCAACACCGAGTTATGACGGACGTCGATCGGCCCATCTTCGTTCCACCCCGAAAGAGGAGCACCAACAAATCCTCCCCGAAAATCGTGAGCCCCTTGAACAACAATGCGCCGTCCGACCAGCTGCGCTCTTCTCAAGCGAGGTCTCCGAGCGTCGCCGGCACCCCGGACAGAACTCCAGAGCACGACAGGGCGGCCGCAGTCTGTCCCTTGAGACCGCACCGCAAGGCCTCTGTGGAATTCCAGCTGGACCAGGTACTCTGAGTTCGATTCCCTCAACGGTCAATGATTAGCTTCCTTCAGATCTTGCACTGCGAATTTGCATTTTCGTGTCGCGATGGTCACGCGGTGCATCGTGATTCTGCATACTGAAAGTGTACCATCTGTGGTATTCAACACTCGATCTCGTAGAGTCTCCCGTGCAGGAAGTAAGCAGGCTTTGACTGATACCGCGTGCTAGTCTTGGATTCTAAATCACTCGTACCTTTTCCGTTAGCCGTGCGCGAGTGCTTTGAATCGCCTACAAGGTTTGCAGAGTTACCCCGAAAGCTTGACAGTCGTAGCGACGATTTTTCAGCATTCGAACTGTATCTAGCCGACAAGTAATTGCTTATGAATTAAGGTGCAGGAGCATAAAAACAACAGAGCAACATTTTGAATGTCGCGCTAGCTTCTCAACTACTCGTTTTTTTTTTTTTTTGTCTTTTTTTTTTAGCCTTTGTAGCGTTCTGTTTACGGGATCTGATCCTACATAGTTTGGATCATGAATCAACACGGCCACGTTTCTACGCATTATTACAGGTGCCCGAAGAATGTGACCCCGACCAGTGGACAACTGACCAATCCCAGACGACGGATAATGGCAGCACCGACGGCGAGTTGTCCAGCATCAACGAACGGTCCTCGCTGAGGTCCGGCAAGGGTGACCGGTATGTCACCATGACGGGAACCATCAAGAGGGGCAAGAAGAAAGGCACCACGATCGACATGAAGGTGAACATATCGCGCGAAGAGCTGGATGAGATCGAAAGCAGCATCAAGGACCAGAAGATCAACGCCGATGAGGATGACGACTGCTTTTTCGGCATGAGCAAGGGCCCGCACGTCTTGCTGCTGTCGCTCAGCCTGCTGCCGGTGGTCTTTGTGGTCGCAGCCGCCAACTCCTTCTACGTGGGCACCATGACCTGGTACAACATACTGGTGGTGCTCATCGAGACGCGGTCCATCTTCCACAAGATCTTCGTCAGTCCCTTTTGGATCATCTTCTACCCTTTCCTCATAGTGCCAGCCGTGCTGGGCCTAGGGCTCTACGCAGCCGTGGCGCAGGTTTCCTGGGAGTACACTCGCTGGAAGAGGGAGATTCCAGACTGGGAGAAAGGCTTTTACGGCTGGCTCTGCTGTCTCCTGCACATGGAGGAGTGCAGCCCCTATGAAGTGGTGGTTCTCACAGACGTCCAGCAGAGTGATCAGTGTCAGCAGAAAAAGTGCACAGTAGACACACCTGTTTGAAGGGCGGAAGCCATGCAGCTCTTCGGTCTACCTCATATCCCCGGCGAAGGTCCTTGTGAGCATGCTAGCTTTGCTTAAATGGCAGCGCTCGAAAGTTGCAGCATTGCAAGCTGGGCTGTGCAGATGCAGTGTCTAGATAAAAGTGAAAATGTGAGAATTTTTTTTTTTAATGAGGTTTGATTATGATTGTTGTGACTTGTCATTTGTTGATGAGGGTTTTCGTCTAGTCACCTAGTCTAAAATGCTGAACCGAGCAAGCATTCATCCAAAATTGGATGATTATAATGACAGAATTGGGTGCTAGCTCTGGCACAAGCTGGATGAGCACATTGGTATGCAGGTTAGAGGGTTGCATGGGCATAGCTGCACAGCCTGCACCTTGTAATACCTAGATGAATGTTCTAAACGTTTATCAGGCACAGCTGTGATTAACAGAAGCCGGTTTTGTTCACACATGAGTAGCTGACATAGGGTTTGTATGATCCAGGTCATATCCTTTGCTCAGAGAGATTGCTTTTCTTATTGAAAGTAGCTGCAAAGGTAACTCATAGAGGTACAGCTCCTATTCATGCTCTAGAATTGGCTGAACCAGGCACCATCAGCTACTCTATTCTCATGCAGAACCAAGAATAGTTTTTCAGAAAAATTGATCTGTTTGTTTGATGTTGTGTGCCATTCCAGCTGCTTCCAAGGCTGCTTTGTTATATGCATTTATTTTAAAAGTCATTAGTCATGGATGACGAATTTTTTCTGGAAGGCTTATGGGTTGCCAGTTTTCCAAGGAACGTGCAGCATACACATTTTAGATTTATATTGCAGTTGTGAAAGGGTCACTCAGCGTGGACAACTGGCATTTTTTTATACTGTTTGAACTGCAACCAGCTCATAAGGCATCTGAACTACTGGATAAGCTACTGCACAGTCATGCAATATACACCCTTGGCGAATAACACTTCGATCAGTGGAAGTTTCATTAACAGATGTTTTAGTGAACAGATTTCAGTCCTTGTCAAAGCTGGAACGAATTCAGCTGGCTGCTTCAGACCACACTAAGCCACCAAAGCCTTTGCTTTGCTTGATATTTAAGAGCACTTCATGTTCTCTGCAGCACTTCATTTGAGAAAACAGAAGATATCCATTATTATTGGATATGTTATAAAACCAAAAGGATATTTGCCTTGTTTGCTTTTAATATATCTTGCCTGCTCCACATTCCATTCTATTTTCGATCCTAGTTAGGCAAAGGAGAAAAGGCAGTTTGCTGCATTTGTGTTACTATCTAGTTAAATGCTCAACTCTTTGCAATGTTCAGAGACACTGTGTTCTTTTTTTGTGTGTCTTTCTTTTCCTTTCTTTGTCTCAGGTTAAGTCATGTCAACTTTTCACCAGCTCGCCTGCATGCTTATCCTTCTTTCAGTGTTGTTCACTAGACAGTTCCATCGCAATGGATGCTACTACCCCACACAACTTTATTAGGCACAAGAGCTAATCCTGTTACAACTTGCTTTGTGACAATGAGATAATGCCTTTCCCAAGGGAAACTTTATATAGTATAAAATGTTTATTGCAACTGCAACACAGTATCACACCTGCAGTACCATGCAACGTGCGGTAATGGTATGCTTGGTGCATGGCTTCTCTAACTGGGTTTTTAGGAATCAAGAAGTTTCTCCAACTACCCACAAGGGTTCCCCCCAAGCTTCAAAAAAATCTCTGCTGTCCCTGCCCTTATTGAGCTGTTACAAAACGTGCAGCACCGTCTGTGGCAATGAAAGGAATGCCGGGATTGGTTAGTACATATCCGGTTGTAGCAAAGAGTGAACGGGGGAAATGTGGACGAGGGCCAAGCGAGTAACTGTGCTACCCCCTCTCTCTCCTGCTGCAGGAGGCGAGGAGAGCATACAGGACATTGCGTGCGGCCTTTTGGGATTTTCATGAAATGTCTATTATAAAGTTTTTTTTCCCCGTTGATGCAGTATTTTAGCAGTTTTTGAAACATTTGTCAGTGCAAATTTATGCAGAAGCATCCCTAGCGGTATGTGCACTATTGTTTGCTTTTGCACTGGTTTATTGCCAAAACAGAGAGGAGCTCCTCAGCGTAATGTTCCTCAAGATATAAAAGTTTAAGGACCCTTGCTCTGATAGAATAGTATGCACATGCAGTTGCATTCTCTGGTAACTACTACATCAATCATTTTGCAACAGGAGAGCTTTTTTGTGTTCAGGATTTACAGTATATTCTTGTGAAATATTCCCACTTCAGTTAAGTCTGTACTCTCACGATCTTGGGGCGGTAATAAGTACTGTAAATACTTTTTTGCGGGCACAATATTTCGCGAATTTTGTGAAGTGCAAGTTTTGGAAATATTTTGCGGGCACAAAATTTTGCAAAGGAGCGGTTTACTATGCATTTATTACTGTATGGTAACATATTTGTGGGATCTATTTTTTGCAATATTATTCGAGTCGCAAAAAATTAAGTTGTCTACAGTATGTTCAGGCATGTTGGGAATTCGTCTTTATGCACTTGGTAAACTTGCAATGCCAGTTTTTTTTAGGTCAAACATCTTTGTGTTTATGGTCACTGGGAGTTGGAGCATTCCCTTTACAATGATTGGGAAGATAAATGACACTGTGTTTTAGGTGGAAGCATGAGTGTTATTGTTAGGCTGCAACATTATGCTGCCACCTATGACTTTTACACTTTGATCATGTTAGCAATTTTTGGAAGAGAGATACTGCCATTTTACATTACTTGCACATTTATTGAGTTGTTGTCACAAGTTTAGTGCCATTTGGTTCTGCTGTATTCTATATTTTTCAGTGTGGATGTCTGCAGTTGATATGTGAGGCACATTTTATACTTTCATACACTTTTCTACTTTTATATTTGTTGTGATGAGGCACTAAGAAGCCAGCCTACATGCCCATTATGTGTGGGATGTGTATAGATTGTTTGGGTCAATCCTTTGAACGTTATAGCTAGCATCCTTTTATATTTAGGAATCCAAAGAGCCCCATGTTAGTGTTTGTGCCAAATTATGTGATCATCATTCCTTACATAGGTTGTTTATACAGCAATATTTCTAGTCTTATTTCAATCATAGGTTTATGCCAAATGTACCGAAAAAGTTTGCACACTGTATATGTGCATGTCAATTTAGACTGTATACATAGTTCACTAAAAAGAATGCAAGCCTTATGCTGAATGCATACCAATGCATATTTTTTCCAATCCTGTACATATTCCAGAAAATGTAGTTGAAGTTGCTTAGATAATATACATCCATGGGCCACCATTTGGCAGGCGGCAAGGTGCATACGGAAATATCAATATGACTATGCCTCACAAGCCTCCTCGGACTGTCTTATGTGAGAATGTGCTGCTGTGCATGTGACCATGGAGCTCATTTACGTAATAAAGGTTGTACACACTCCTGCAGAAACCTCCCTGTTCTAATGATTCTAAATATTTATTACCTGTGTAACAGCAATCTTGATACATCCATTTGACACTGATGCTTGTAGATAAATGATATACATATTTATAATCTGGAAACGAAGCTTAACTGATAACCAACTGAAAAAATAAATTAATCAGTTCATTAGTCGCGACCAAAAATAGAAAACATGTTCAAGAGTTGATGTGCAATAAACTGGCTAGGAGCTGGGGCCATTATTTTTCTCCTGCACTGTCACTGCATCACAGCTTTTGAGTAACCGAATCCAGTATGCTCAAAGTTTCTGAATAGTGGAGCTGACACACCACCCTGTTGGCTAGTTATAAGCAAAAAATGTCAACTCAATCATTCCACAATGCTTGAATCATGCTTAAAAAGAACAAAATGTTAGACCCTTTTTTTTTATTGGACACAAGTTTCCAAAAGTCAAATATTGGAAAACAACAAACCAAAAAGTCCTTTTCTACCCCCAGATTTTGGTGTGATAAAAACAATTGACACACCAAAGGTAAAAAACAATCTTAAGTTCACACACAATTTCCTCACAACATAAGGGGAATCGATTCAGTCGGACAGATTGCGGCTCTGGGAGGTCATAATTTATCATTGTCAATCCTGAAACAGTACCTCACAGAAAAAAAACATGTCACACAATTCATTTCTTTTTTTGCCTTGACAGAAGTGTGCATTAATTAATCTCATATTCCACGGCTTCCGCAATGTTTGTCCCATTCATCAAGGAAGATGTCTGCACCAATATACTGCCAGCAGTTCTTCGTCAGTGCCATTGTAAAGCTTATATTTGCATAGCTCATGTATAGCCATCACTCAAACAACCAAAAGCAAAGCAGAGATAGAAACAGTATGGGTTAGTCGCTCCAAACAATTTTGTGGTCGCTCGTCGCTAGCTGTCAAGCTTTTGGCATAACAGAGAAGTTTCACTGCTGTCTAGGATAAGGGTATCCCGGGTATGGTTGCTGCTGTTGCTGCTGAGGTGGGTACTGCGGGTAGGGCTGGTACTGCTGCGGTGCCCCTGGAAAACAGAAGGAAGAACACGGGTAAGCTCTCACTGATTGTAAATTCTAACTTAAACCCTAGATTGCATTGATTTTTTGAATTAACTGATTTCTGCACAGCATCTTAAGTATAATGAATTAGACATTCCTTTATATTCTTGCTTTACTACTATAACCAAAAATGTTAAGAAAAGGGCTATTTTTCTTATCCGATGCCTCATGTATTGTAGTACATGTAAAGTGATGGCGATGGGTTGGGAAGATTGACAATATTTTCCTTGGGTAAATTGTTCCACCCAAGCTGCAATGTACCACCCTTGTGCTTGCCACAATTGTCTTCCATTCATTAAAAAAGACAGAAAACTTGGCCCATCAAATTATGGTTAAAATAATCAACAGTACCGCAAAAAGTGCTAATAACATACAGAATGCTTTTTTTTTTTTTTTTTGCTGCGTACCACTGAAATTTGTTTGACTAAAGAAATAAAAATTAAATTAAGTATTCCAAATGTTCCTAAATTCATCAAGCACCCTTCAGGTAGGGGTCTGCATTTCCAGAGTTTATTTTTGAGCAAATTCAGAGTAATTCTTGGAGTTTATTATTTTTCAAAAAAATTCAGAATCTTTCAAAGCTTTCTTTTATTGCATATAAAATTTAGACTTTTACAATGCTTGCTTTTATTGCACATAAAAATCAGTTTTTACAGGGGTAGCTATTAGTGCCCTTTCCCGGCAAGAAATGCTCATGATCGAACGCAAAGCCCAAATTTACAGCAGAAGCACTGGTCTCTTTCTCCCTGTCCTTCCCCACGCAAGGCCAGGCTATCTCACTCCCCCCTCCCTTCTCCCCTGTAGGCCGCCACTGTCCTTGCTCCGGCAATGCCTCTCCCTTTCTCTCCTCCTCCATCCCTCCAGCAGCCACTGTTGCGAAATGCCCACACAGTCGTGCTGTGCGGACATGCCCCCTTCACTCCCCACTGCCGCCGCCCAGGTTCCATTCTAGCGTACTCTACGGAACAGCTCGCATACATACTGTCCCTTCTTCTGCCGCCGGTGCGGGCACGGGTGCTTTTGTCCTGAAGAAGCGTTTCAGCCCCCCAAAAAAGGAAGTTTCTGCGCTTTTCTTTAACACACGCAACATCTCGCACAATTGTTCCCCCAAAGCACATCTCCTCACATGCGTCTCCTACATCAATTCCACTGAAAGCAAAGAATCCATTGAATTGTAGAACACACTGGCTGAAACAAAATCTTCAATATGCCTTTCCACAGCACAGCAGCTACCACTGTCAATTGCAGTGCACGTTGTGGTGTCGTTTGCAATTCTTTTTAAACTTTAGCATTATTGGCCTTGGTAAAGAACAGCTGTTTGTGAGTTTAGTAAAGCAACCTTCTGATAGAAAACACGAGAGGTGAGCCTTCCATGCTATTAATTATTTTTTGTAAAAAGACAACAGCTTTTAAACATATGTGTCTGTCTCAAGACAAATTTTCTTACGACTGCGCTAGTAGCATTGCCAGTGGGGGAGCGTATGGGGCTTCAGCCCCCTCTCGAAATCTAGCCGACCCTAGAATATACACACATTTTGGCTCCCCCTCCCCCCTCCGCACACTAAGTCATTGACATCCCAGCCACCTCAGCCATCCTGAAAAAAATTTCTGGCTACGCCAATGGACTGCGCATATTACAATTTTGGTACTCGGCGAAGTGCGGGGTGCAGTTTTCATTAGCAGATCTAACTTGTATGTCAAAAACTTGCAGAAAATGATGTTGTCACTGCCAATCTCTTCAAAATCTAGTTACTATTTACCATAATTACAAGGATTCCTTCGATTCCCGTCCATCGCGCAGAATTACTGTACAGTCTTACTGAATCTCTCAAACTCTCGTCAATGCAGACGACATGAAAGTTCTACTTTCTACATAAGGAGGCCAAAAAAGGCAAATGGACATCTAGAAGAAAAAAAAAATGCCTGTAAGGTAGGTCTAGGTTCTAAGGGCAGCAGTAGGGATTGCTTAACTGAATATAAGAACTGCCAATTGTAAGAACTTGACCTGTCTTTATTTTTTCCTGAGCTTCTGGGATAGCATAAGCTATCTTTTTTCTTCTACATTTGTTTGTTGGAACCACAAAATAATGGCAAAGGAGGCAACCATATGAAGGTTGCTTCCTTTGTCCTGATTTTAGTTTTTCAAATAAGCCCAAATACCCCACCTTTTTTTCAGCAAGTGTTTATCGGATTTTATATGAAAACTCAGAATGGTTATCTGCAGGGCACCAAATTATCTTAGTGAACCAATTTCATCTTGGAGAAAATTACTTACACTGGAGTAGACAATAGAAGCAACAGGCATAGATGTTCAGAAAATGACACAGCATGAACAAACCACATCTTATTTTTCCTTTTCCTTTATAACAAACAAATTCACATTTTTGGGAAATAAAATTGAAATTTTTTGCAATCCTTACACAATTGAACATACAAGTATGGCTTTTTTTTTAGCACTTTTGTCTAGCCATAAATATTGTAGAGAACCTATCGCAGCAGTAATATATTGCTTACTGCATTGGGAATATCACTGATATTTGCTTTAAGCTGGTCAACCTATCATGAGAGCCCCCCCTTTTTTATACAAAAGCCACAACAAAATAAACATACCTCATTTACTTTGTTTTTATTTGTTAGGGGTGTAAAGCATATCACACCCCCAAATTCAGTTAGAAAAGGGGGCTGTTGGATCAGCGAGTGTCGGGGCAGCAGCTAAACGAAAAGCGGCATGCCAGCGATTTTGGCAAGGGCAAGACTGGCACTCACCACCAGGGTACCCCGGAGGCATGGCAGTGTATGGGTTGTAGACGGTGGGCATGGGCACGGCGGGGTAGGGCGTGTACCCCGGGTACTGGGGGTAGCCCGGGTAGGCCACCTGGGGCTGGGGCATGCCCTGGGGCTGTGCCGGGTAGGGCAGGGGCGCTCCCGAACCCCCTCCCACCGCGGGCCCACTGCTCGTCGTCACCGGCGGCGGAGGACGCTGGGGCGCCTGGCTCGAGCCTACGGGCAACAGTGGACGCAGCATCACTCAGTCCGTCAGCTGATTTCAAACATACAGTTAGCACAAACAAGCAATCACCTGTTTTTCCCCTTTGTCTTAAGGGCTGGAGTCAGAACTACTGGCATGATGGAAAGTGCCCAGTTGTGACACCAATCCATCAGTGAACTTTTGTGTCTTTCAATCCAACACCTGTCCGAGTAATGTGAGGGAAGTGGCAAGGCCGAGCCAACCGTGTGCCACTCAGTGCCTCGTTTTGTGATCAGTATAAAAATGGATGAGGGAAACAGATTTATTTATTTATTTAAACAAAAGAAGAGGTTTAAAGAGTCATACTTTTGCTTTCGACAACTAAGCTTTCCAAGAGCCTCACGTGCTAGTTCTGTACTTTGCACAATTTGTTACATGATACACATTTGAGTATTTGTTTGTTCAAGGTAAATTCTTGCTCCTAGATTGATCAAGCTAGCTACAATTTACCATAAAAGACCGCAGTGTAACCTGAATTCCAATGTAATGACAAATGTCACTTTAGAAGTTAGAAAAAAAAAAGGTGAATGCGGCATGCATCATCTGAGAACCTCTTTTTACCGCAGCTTCCTTCCCATCTTTTAGGTCTTCAAAAGCCCTACCATTTACTCAGACTGCCATGCATGGGGCATTAGTTGGGTTTGCTCAAAAACATAAAATGGCAGTGCAAAAATGAGCAGCCACGTTTTTACTTCCAGATTCACAAGGCAGACTTTCTCTTGGAGAGTTTTTTGGCACGGTAAACACTGGCACATAGAGGTCATTCTGACTATATAATTGAAGACTACCCATCATAAATATCGGACAAGAAAAAAATAGGGAAATATGAACCCTCTTTCTTTTCTCAGTTTTGTACTTGGCTGTCATTTGTTAGCCAGCCATCTAAATAAATAAAATAAATAAATAGTGCTTTTTATTTCCCTTCTTGAGTTTTACAAAAGAGAGGCAGCCAGGACTAACTGCTGTTGCAGCTTGACAAGGTCCTGACACCCCGGCAAGCTTTGGTGGGAAGAATGCAGCATGAACAAATAAACACTCAAACAAAAAGACAAGTGTTCACATTATTGCAAGGTTAGGCAAAAAGAGTGGAACGCGATAGTGAAACACAAACATACAGACTCCCGCTCGTTCCTAAGCCGCGTAAACGTGCCTTGCGTGGCCTTTGTCAGTAGTGTCTGGCTTGCAACCGAAAGGTCGTGGGTTCAAATCCCGCCTCTAATTCTTCAATTTTTTTTTAAGGCAAATGAATTAAAGTGTTGGCTGCATATAATTAGGGTTATTTGTTTTCGGGTTTTATATATATATATATATATTTTTAATTCAAGGGGTAAAAATCGGGTGCTATTTTTCAAGCTAATAATTGTTTTTTTTTTTTTTTTTGTGGAAACTTTCCGAAATTTGGGTTATTTTCGGGTTAAATTTACAAATGTGCTCAATAATACATTCAAGCTTTTTTTTTTTTTTTTATTGGAGGGTATTACAAGTTTTGTAACGCTAACATGTTAAAATTAGGGATCGGTTTCAAGCTGGTAATCGAAGGACATCAATCAGGGTTTTCCAGCTCCAATCGCCGTCGGTCGCTTCAAAGGAAGCACCGCCCACGGAATCCTCCTCTCCCCCAGGTATCAACAAAAACCCCGACCGTTCGAGGAACGGTCGTCTTCTATCAGATATTTCGCTATGGAATAAACCTGTTAAGTTTTCCTGATCTGTTTATGCGACTGACTGGCTCGTGAGAAAGGTTGAACGCCAGCGAGATGGTCATGCTACCCGAGAGACCAGGCTGGGCGTCGACACCTAACAGTGGTCAAAGGGGTATTGATAGTGAATTTCACAAGCTGCGTGCAGCAGGGCCGAAGCTACGTGGCATGCTGAGGCAATTCCACCTGCACAGCGGGGGGGGGGGGGCCGGAAATGTTCCTCCGAGGCCCCAGTGCCAATTGTCGCTTTTCTTCAACCAGCCCCTGTAGAATGTCATGGTGAGTTAGGAGTGCTTGTTGGGCAGTTGGTTGAGAGCCGTGTAGCATCCACAGTGCTGCACGCAGCTTGCGAAATAAACTATTCACCGCATTCGGCGTGAGTTTAATACCACAAGGGCACCGCAGTACATTTGGTGCCCCAGTAGACCTACCGGTGGTGTATTTATTTTTCTCCACCAACGCACAGCGCTCGGGTAAGAAGCTTTTCTCTCGCAGAAGTATCTGTACTACGTTTGTAAGGACTTCCGCACATTGTAGGAAGTAGTAGAAATAACAAAATGATGAAAAACAAAGGAAAGAAGAGGAAAACCGGAAGCGCGCAGGGGTCCCCCGGTAGCAGGTGATAGCGAGCTTGTTTGCAAATAGACATTGGTGAGGTTAGGGTATCTAGCGTGTGTGCAGCGCAAACTCCACCCAGCGTAAAAATAAATAGGTTGGTTATGTGGTTTTGGAATTGGGGAGAAACCGGGCCTAAACCCAATTCTCCTGAAACATGCGTAAAAACTGGGTAAAATGGGGTTTTACCCAAAAACGAACAACCCTATATATCATGTATGTCATGGAAGTCGCGAAAATCCGCATTATAACCAAAACATTCATTTTTCAGGTCAAATATATGCCATGGGGCGACTTACTTTTGTAAAACAATTTATGTCATGTTAGATGAAAAATAAAGCTGAGACTGAGGAGAGCTCTTATTTCACTAGACTATCTATAGACTTCTGTCTCAAGTGTGCCATGCATTTTGGAAAAAACTGGTGGTCTTTGCTTGGCGCTGTTTCTTAATTGCGTTGCGGATGACCTGGTCTTAGATAATGCTAAGGCATATAACTAGGGTGTGTATTTTCCGGTTTTAACCGAAAAACACCGATAAACATCCGTCGGTGACAAAAATATAAAATCGGTTAAAACCGAAAAACACCGGTGGTTGGTTATTTTCGCCCTGGTTAAAACCGAAAAACACTGGTCGTTGCATGTTTCCGACCTAGCAAAACCCTTTCCCTGTAGAGGTTCGTCAAACGTGTTATCTCGTGGATCCTGCATTCTTCCAGTGTTTATACATGGCTTGCACGTGGCGTCAGTCCAACCTCCTTTCTGGCGGTCAAAAGCGTCTAGTGAACGCGTTGGAAGCTAAGCTCTCACACGCCTTTCCCCTATTGTGTCTACCATGGCCACCTTTTGTGGAAAAGTTAACGCAGTGGAGGGTAGGCTCTCACGTGCCCTTTTCCCATTGTGTCTGGTCAAGTAATGTCGGTGCAAGCCATGTATTCAGAGGTTGCCGTGGTTCCTGGAAGACACTGCCAACGTCCGTGTCGTACAGGAGCGTGCGTTTTCATAATTGCGGGTTGTGAACCGCAAGGAACGTGCTGCCATGACGGATGCAAGCCTCTCGAAGTATGCTTGCATCTACTATAATAACCAAGTGTGAAAATAGATGCTTCCTAGAGAAGAAGCGTATGAAATATGTGAATAAAATTGGAACTCTCTGTCTGTGATCCATCGCATTTTTTTCCACCGATAATCACCGATTTTAGCCTAGTCGTGAGACGTTCCACCGAAATGCACCGGTGCTTTGAAAATAAATAAACACCGAATAACATCCGCCGATTTTTCTCACAAATAAACACCGGAAAGTACACACCCTACATATAACACCTTATCACTGAAGGAGTTCTGCTCACAGTGAACGTTCAGTTTCTGTGAGAATTTCAGTGCACCTTTACTTGAAACTTCCGGCGTGCTCTCTTAGTCGTCATCCGACTCATCTTCCGGTAGACTAGCCCCGGAACCTCGCACCGCTGCAACAATAGCTTCATCGGTGGTTGCTTCCTCACGGATAACAGAGTCATTGAAATCCTCATCTACATAGTTTTAAAGCATGTCGTTTGCAGGGACAAAGTGGTTTTCCACAAGGTCGGACCACACGTTGTCCACGCCGATTGCGTCGCCAATCGCATCACTGTGCCGAACGGCATCCTTCGAATTCCTGGCTTTGCGCACAAACCCTGCGTTGTCAAAATACTTCTGGATGGTTGTGGCTTTTACTTGCCACCACGACGCAGTGATCATGTCGATGGCGCCCCTCAAGTCCACTTTGATGGGTTTCCTCTCGTTACAATTTCAAGACGACTTTATGCAAGTGCGGTTCTTGTAAAGCACCTTGACTGTAGCGATGACGCTCCGATTGAGAGGCTGTTAGCAGTGGTGTTTGCTGGCAGGAACTCAAAACTGACTGCGCTTAATTGCGGCTGCACATTGTGAGCGCAGCAGTTGTCCAGGATAAGAACGACGCGCCGTTTTTCTGCGACCACGGCCTCATCGAAACTTTTCAGCCAACTAGCAAAGAGCCATTGAGTCATCCAGGCCTTTCCATTTGCTGTGTACACCACAGGCAGACATTCTCGCTTCTCGAAACAACAGGGTCGTTTTGACTTCCAGATGATAAACAAGCGCCACATGTCAGAGCCGTCCATGTTTGCACAAAACAAAACCGTGACACATTCCATTAAGACTGCGGTCGGAACAGGGGCCACCTTTCATTGTGAGAGTACGATCCGGAAGCATATTGTAGAACAGACCAGCTTCATCAGCATTTTAGATGTCTTTGTCCGTGTACGCGGAAAGCATCGTCTTGAGATGAATGCGAAACTATGCCTGAATGCTGGCGTCGTCGACTCCCCACTTTGGCCCGAGGTAACTTTGCAGCTAATCTCGTGGTGGTCTTTAAACCATTAGATCCATCCGTTGAGGGGGTTGAAGCCTTCATGTTCGAACAGATGTCCAATGGACCTTCGCTTGTAGCATCGGGCCACTCACTGGGACGTTCTTGGCTCGCACTTCGCGAAACCACCTAAACAAGGCTTCGTTGACGTCGCCATACTTTGACAAACAAATCCTCTTTTCTTGAGAGTGACACAAAACCTTGCTGCAGCTGCCTCTGTACCTGCTCCTGGTTCTTCCAGACAGTGGCGATGATGGAAGCTTTTTTCATGCCACTTTCAACATCATTTTTGACGATGCTCTGTTTAGTTTCGAGAGACAGGGCTCGTCGTTTCTTGGCCATCCTGGGCATGGGAGACAGGGCCAGATTGATGATGGACAGTCGATTTCCGTACGATATGCTTGACGCGGTTCAAACATCAGACATGAGAGCAAGCCATCAAGCTGCAAGAAGCGAAACTAGAAACTATCCAGCTATCTAGACTTCGTTTGACACACAGTGTAAGAAAGGGGGTTGGTTTTTGCGTCACTCGAGTGAGGGGGTGAAATCGAAAGGGCGAAAGGCTGGGGTGGCTCCTTGGGGCTTTCGGAGTCAAGAGGTTTGAAATCAGAATGCAGCTTGGGTGGCTCATTGGGGCTTTCAATATTGAGTGCGTGCGTGCATATGTCACACCTCACTGCGTTGTCATTCGTTTCTCGCTTCTCCTCATTTCTTCCGCGCAACAGCCTTGCCATACTTGCCCACGCGAGTGCAGCTTGAGCCGTTATCTGGTGTCGCAGAGGGGAACGTGCTTGCTGCGCCGCTCGGGGGGCAGGCTGTTCTGGAAACTGCGCTATATAACCGCTACTTCCCTTGGCACGCCTGCGTTTTAAGCGATATGTAATTACATGGAGTTGTATGGGAGGCAGACCGGTGGTTGAAAAAGCCACGTTATATCCGGTCCCGCACTATAAGCGGTTACGTCATAAGTGATCTATACTGTACTTTATGAAGGGAAATCATTTGAGACATGCGGCGACCTTTAATTTGCATTGCATGTCATGTTTTTTAATCACTTTCGTTCCATGCATGACATCACGTTTCACGCGAGAGTTTCTTGAAATTCCCACGCAAGGTCATGTGGCACGCCCACGACGCCGGCTTTCCTGCCACGCACCCGATTTTCTGCGACACTAGCTCTTATTGCGTTAAAAAGCACCGCAAATTAGACAAACAATAACTTCAATTAAAGATAAGAAAAAAATAAGGGGCACTAAACATGATATTACTAGGGAAAACATATTGAATTTCAGACGATTTCGCTTAACCCTCCGAAGGTAGAGTTATTTCCCAAAAGACGTTTTCTAGTGATTGGGTTTTGTTTCCAAAGGAATAGAATAAAGAGAGTCAATGCACAGTATTTTTCCTAATTGTCTAGCGGGAGCACAAGTAGTGCTTGTGAGCTGTTCAGGTTTAGAAGCATCAAATAGAAATATTAAAGGCAAAAAGTAGTCAGTTCTCTTTCCTTCAGCTTTATTTTGGCGCATCTGCTTCTGAGACGTTCCAGCAGTTTCAGATCCTTAACTTAAGGGGGGACACTACCCAAAAAAGTAAATTTTTGAACCACTTGCTTGATTTAAATTATATTTACAGGGCTTGTTTCTGTTGATGTTGAGAACATTTCTGCCAAATTTTGTTAACCTGGGTGAAGTACAAAAAAAAACTGCAAACGTTCAAAGATGAAAGTGGGCGTGCCTGCGTAGGAAAACTATCGTTTTGAAATTACTTATAAATTTGTCGTTTTCGTGTGATATATTGCTTCAGGACAGTCCAGAGCAGATAACTATGGAGCTAAATTTCTCTGTTATACCATCTTTCATGACAAAAAAAACACATAAACACAAATACAATTTTTTAGATTTCCATCCTTTGTCCAAAATTTTTGTTTTTGATAATGAAAAATGACAAAAATAAAAAATACAAGCTCATAGTTATTTTCCCCTTAAAATTTCACAACAGAAAAACTCATAAAAATGAATCCAGGTTATGTAATAACAAAACGATAGTTTTCCTAAAGTGAAATTTATGCCAGAAAGTGGAATGGAGAAAAATGCGTTCAAAGTGCTCCAACCTCTACCTTTTCTTTAGCGTTGGTGGACCGAAAATAATTTATAAAAAATTAACTATGCAGTACAACCTAATGAAACTTTCTGGGAATACCCTCTAGATGTTGGTGGATGTAAATATGACATTTTTCAAAATGAACGTTTTTTTGCAGAAATTGTTTTTTCTGGGTAGTGTCCCCCCTTAAGGTACTTTACAGAGCTCCATCGTCGGATGGTGAGCTCTCATTTTCTGAATTCAATTCTGAGAAGCGCTAAAGTCTGAATTGGAAGAGTAGGCGCCCCAAATTCAACTAGCCCAATGTGCGAAACGACCATCTCGTGCATATCAGAGCATCAAATTTCAAAACAGATCTCGGCAAAGTGAAACACCATGCAAATGTAAGCTTTACAGTTTACCAAAGACATAACAAATAGCAATACCTCCTGCGGTGCGTGCGATTTCACGTTTAGGCGGGCACTTTCATACTTGTAATCACCACTGCACATGCATGCTGACAACCATCAAAGAGTCAATCGGATTTGTTTCCCAACATTGTTTACATTTGTGTTTTAAATTCATAGGTAAAGGTGTAAGACCGTAATTACTATTTGGAACTGAAACGCTCGACATCTCACTATGGCTAGTGACATACTCTTCTTCGAGACTCACCGTAGTGTGAAGGAGGGGTCGGTGTCTGCTGGGCTGGCTTGTTCACTATTGATTGCTGCAGGTGCTTCATCAGTTCTTCTTTTTCAGTTTTTCTAGCAAAACAGAAGTCACTGATCTTGTTTTGGAAGGCCAGCAGGATCTGGGTGAGGTCATTATAAAACTAGAAGAAAAAAAAAGAATGACATGCGGGTTAGGAAGAAGGCAGAATCCGCCGGAGCCTATCCCTGTCTGACACTCGCAGCCTGTGGTTGCTGCACACAGCTAACATTGACAGGATGTGACTAACTGAAATTAAGACAGTTGCCAAATACTGCAGTAGTACAATCCTAACCTGCCTCCAATTTTAAAGTCCAGGTATATCATTTAACTCCCGGATATCCCACAAATAGTGTACTGCTTCTACCGGGCAAATAAAAGGCTATGTTGTGCAAGGGCAAAACACTCGAATGTTGCTGAGAGAATGGAAAAAAAAACAAGACAGGTTTTTTTTGCAATTGCTCCTGCAACCATGTCTGAGCACAAAGCCGGCCCTACACCATCAAGCGCCCTGGTGAACTCCAGTCGTGCTCCCCCCCCCCTTTCCCCTTTCTTTTTATACGCCTTTAGCTACTAGGTACGACATCACGTCGTTAGTAAACATATGAGTAATGGTCCAACACGAGCATTTTGTATGACGAGAACCACATTCCAAAAATGAACAGCAATCGAGCATACAGCATTGTGCCAGTTGCCGTGTTCAAATAAAACAAAAAAAAAAAGTGCTACATTTTTTTTTTTTTTTTTTTTTTTTTATTATGGCGCTTTGGCTAACTGCTTAGGTCACCCACCCCTAGGGCTGGCCCTGTCTGAGCATGTCCAGTTTGGTTGCAAACTGGACATGCTTGTCTTGCCAGCTTAAACAGCACTAAGATATGTGACTATGCTTGTTCCAACAACAGTGCATTTATGTCCAGACCCAGACTGGTTCAAACAAAAAAAACATTCTATGTATATTGTTGAAACACTGATCGATTAGGGCAAACTATCTGACACTACACGTGCCGCTGGCGCACGTAAGGAGTTTGTCGGCTGGCCATGCATAAGTTCTGCAACACGCTTAGGCGACTTTGTGTCAAGAGTCATACTAGCAAACTTTAACTATAAGAGCACCAAACCAACGACCGCCCACATGACGCTGCAGCGTATTACAGCGCCACTGTCCCTACAAGCCCCGTGAGCCGTAAAGCCTTGTGCGTGTACATCTTTTCATTGTGTTCTTCGTCTGTTTTAGCACTGTTTTACCCTTTAATAATTACTATGCACCAACTAGTCCAACTAAATGCCTTGCTGGAGCCAAAGGAAACCAGAAGTTGGGAATGCCAAAAGCTAGTGGCAGGCAGTAACATGAATATTTTAACAGCTTCTGAATGTTGTAACAAAGTTTAGCCCGCACAAACAAAGTGCGCATCTATGTGCGTTCATACACAGTATGCCTGCACAATGACATACGAGTGCTTACAAGCACGATCAGACTTAATTAAATACCTTGGTGCCCTCTTTCAGATTGGCAGTCAGCTCCATGTACATGTCGTGTGCAGCGGCAAGCTCCATCAGGACAGCTTCGCGATTGTTGCCACCGTGGCCCTGCTTCTCCTGGCAAAACTCAGCGTTGGCGGACTGTGAATGAAAAAGGAGCTTTTGTATTACCAAGTCACAAAGACACCCCCAGCAGAGTCAAAGATTATGTATGTAGTAGCATTGAATTCCATGAGCCCCACCATTCAGCCAGCTGCTACACACATGAATGTTTCATTGTTTGAAACTTCCTAGATAAAATAAAAGAGGGACAACACTCGTCTTTTAAAGCCTATAGCCACGTGTGAAAAGGCAGCACTGAAATCAAATTTAATACGAATGAAATACATGTGCCACTCCAATTGGTTCGAGATCTAATCGAATTTCAAACCTTGAATCCGTATTGCCACGCTAGCAGAAGAAAAAAAGGCTCGAGTTACACCTAAGCACTTTTTACGAGTTGTGAATATGAAAGCATATACATCATCCTTCTGCTCCCAGATAATCAAAAAGTAAATTGCTGCCAATTCTACTGCACAGGCCAAATAATGAAGATTGACTATGTACCTTATAGAACAAATTTCATAAAACACACGCCAACACAAAAATAAATGTTGTTCACTAGTCACCGTTGTCAGAGTCTGATGATGGTTCTTCGCTATCCAAAGAGGTAATTAATACTTGCTTTTATCTCAAGCGTGTTAAGTGCCCTGCTTCTTGCGCATGTATGAGTGCATGGCCGTCGCCTCTGGCGGGGTCGTCTTTCAAACAACACTTAGCAAGCTCGTAGGCTGGTTGGGATTGCGAGCCCATGCAGTGCTGCTCCATTGTTACTTTTTTCTGCCAGCGTGATGGCCTATCGTTCAAATAAAGCCTCCCAGTGGAATATAATGTTTTGTCTTTTCATCTTCAAACGACAGACAGGAGTTTGTAGATGCGAGAGAATGTGCATGATACGGATACCAAACTGGCGAACGTAAACAAACAATCACTACGGCAATGGGGCTAGCCACCTTATACTGAGCATTGCGTTTTTCTCGGGTTTGGTTTCGATTGTAACGCACATGTAGTTATGGGTACTGATTTTGGCAAAAAAAAGTGTGTGTTACAATCGTGCAAATACGGTATGTGAAATAAAATGAGAAGCCGGGTTGGACCATAAATAATTGAAGCTTGCTTTTGCTTATCTACTATAATTGTTATTACTATTATGTTAGCCAAGTAATTCTCTTTTCTTGCTCATGTAAAAGCAAGTCAGTTTACATGACAATGTTTTTCAGTAATTTCTTGAGAATGCACTTGTCTTTTACAACATGTGCACTCATATGAATTCTGCAACTGCTGTTTGATTTCATACCCAAGATTAAAAGAATAAAGGAATTCCTCCATCATATCCTCGGTGCTTTTCAGCACTGAACCGTTAGATTGTGGGGCACACCTACAAGCCCTGAAGGCCCACACTAACAAAACAATTTCAGTAACAGAAAGGCAAACTGTTTTATCAATCGCACACAAGATACGTGGTCATTTTCTATGTATACCTAAGGGCGCTAAGAAAACCTCAATTCACAAACAGCTACCAAAAGTCACACCCAGGTAATCCTCCACAGTCTCGGGCCCAAAGTGCACTCATAGGCACGCTAGTGAGAAGGGAAGGGCCACCTGAATGTCCTGCACGAGCTGCTGCTCCCTGGCCAGACTGTCCGCAACCTGCTTCTGCAGGGGCCCCAGCGTCTCCCCCAGCATCTCCACAGACAGTGCCTGCTCGTTCACACTGCCGTCCTGGGTCAGGGCTGCCAGGAACTTGGGCTCTGCACACGCCGCACAGCGTTCCCCTATGAGCCAGTGCAAGCACCAGCCTTTTTCTCGACTTTCACGAGCAAACTTTAGCGCATCCAAACTCCGCTGTGAATACTCTTTGAGATGTAGTGCCCACCAAAAGCTTTTGCGTGAAATTAAAAACATCAAGACTTAACCCGAAAGATAGTACTTCGGGGTAATACGACTTGGCAGCGCAGTTTCGTAGACGCAGATGCATGGTCACGTACAAGCACCACTACATGGTAGGCCCATTTTGATTTCACACACTAATATTTGGACGGAACCTGTGGAATGATTTCCTTTTCAGTGGTTCTGGAGTGCTTTTCGTAAACACATTCAACTTATACGCCTCGCAAGTGGGCTCATTTTCGGGTCCATATCAGATGAGCGAATGACATTTTAGCGAACAGCGACATTTGAGCGAATCGTCGTTTTAGCGAATAACGGGGGCGCGCGTTAACCCATCCGCCGCGCTGCGCTTCACGCCGCTTCGCGGCGACAGTCTGCGGCGGCTCATTACAAAAATGTGAACCCATTTGGCCCACCCGAAAACGCCGCTTCGCGGCGTCCGACTGTTCGCTAAAGCGTCATTCGGTGAAACGTGGGCGTTCGCTAAAACGTCATTCGATCAAGTGAGTGCCTTCCCTCATTTTCGTCTTCTGCGCATGAGAAAGGAAGTAGCGGTGACATCAGAACGCCAAGCCCTGATTGGCTGATCGCGACCCCCATCTCAGCATCGTCTGCTCCTTTGCAACGTCGTCTGCTCGCAACATCGTCTGCCTCTGTCTTACCTTTCCCGAGACTTTCGGAAGTCGAGCGAGCTCGACTTCGCCTTTCATAGAGGGCAGACGAAATAACTTGAGCGGTACATTGTTTTTGTCTAACAACTAGCAGACGCGCATCAAGGAGGGAAGTCAAAGGACTCACTGGCGAGGTGTCCCAAGGCCCCGAGGTTTGTTTGCTAAGAACCGAGAGTGAGCGTGTTCCCTCCCAAGTTTTCCCTCCTTTCGTGCGCGGCGAGACCCTTCATTCTTTAACGGCGTGCTTTACGTCTGCTAGTCAAAGCTATGGCTGCTTTACCTTTCCTGCGTCTGTCGGAGATTCACCGCTTTTCACCGGCGAGAGTCACCGTTGCCTCGGGAAACAAGGAGATAACAAGAGGAAGAAATTGACCTCTTAATCTAAAACTGAGGTCAGCGATCAAAGTATAATACGGGAAGGGTTCACAAGGGTCACGCGGGCATATTCCATTCAGCACACCAGCCGGTCGTGGGCAGACGGTCGCCGAGTCGCGGAGTGCCTGTTAGGCTTAACTGCCCTGCTCACTTGGTCGCGCTCGGTGGAATCGTCGCCATTGGAGCTTTTCCCGGGTGTTTGTCGATCCAACGTTCTTGTTCGTTGTGGTCTGTTTCAAGTACTTTTTTCTTGCTGCTTGAAGTCGGGATGCGTGAGAAGCGCACATAGAAAAATAAACGTTCGTGGGTCGTCGCGATCGCGACGCTGTTGGCCATGCTGATTTGACCATAAGAAGTGCGTAAAACAGCTTTGGAGCTGTCGTAGGATTTCGTCGTAACCTGCGCAAAACGAAAATTTCGTTTCGTAAATAAGAATTTGTTCTTAAGTTTTGTCTTACGCACATTACGCCGAGCCAATCAGGGCTCGGCGTTCTGACGTCACCGCTACCCCCTGCGCAAGGAGTAGACGAACTTGCCCTCCGCATACATCAGAAAACAGTAAAATTGGTCATGCTGTGTCATATTTTTTAGCATTGGCTTGTCACACTCATTCCTAGAAAGAAGATGGTTACTATTATTTCGGTAGATAAAACATATAAAGGGGGAATATAAAGGGGGGATGCAGAAATCGAAAACCAAAAAGTAGCAAAGAAGCATACCGTAAAGTTCCGAAAGAATGCCCACCCAAAATGAAGAGATAAACGGTGAAAAACATGGGGTGGGCTATCTTTGGGGATGCCACAGCAAAACTTTATCAAATACCGGCTACAAACCATAAGATGAGGGAACTGATACCGCAGATCGCGGACACTGCAAATTCGCGTGTCACGATGCGATAAACACGCGGGAATTCGCTACAAACTCCGGTATCACGGGAAAGGATACCGCAGGTTGCGGATGCAGGAGATTCGCGTTTCATGGTGCTAGGGACCCGCGGAGATCTGCCGAGAACCCGCATCTCACGGGAACGAAAATCGCATATCGCAGATGCAGCAGATGCAAGTTAATGGTGCAATAAACACGTGGGAACCCACTACAAACTTTTCTGTCACGGGAACCAATATCGCGCGCGCAGATCGCGGACAAAAAGGCAGGAATCCGCTACAAACTCGTATGTTACGGGAACAAATATCGCAGATAGCGAATGCAGCAGAATCATATTTTTCGATGCAATATACACGCGAGACCAACTCACGTGGAATCGAGATTGCGCAAGCAGATCGCAAAGAAAAACGCGAGAATCCGCTAAAAACTTTATGTCACGGAAATAGATAACACAGATTGCGGACGCAGCAGATTCGCATTTCACAGTGCAACATACACATGGGAAACAACTTGCATGTTACAGAAGCCGATATCACGTGTGCAGATCGTGGACAAAAAAAAAATGTGGGAACCCGCTATAAACTTGCTTGTCAGACGTGCCGGTACAGCAAATTGCGCGGTTGATGTAATTCCATCGGACATTGCGTGACGTCCGACGGGAATCGGGGGTGGGCGATGTTTCGGAATTTTTTCGTTGCAGATATTTAGCCAGAAAAACGGGATGGGCAATCTCTCGGGGGTGGGCATTCTCTCGGAACTTTACGGTATTTCTGAAAATCACTTTTTAAATTAGTATATTTTATAAACCAAGTCCTTTTCATTATCAGCACCTAATTCACTAAGAAAATGTGTTTAAAAGGATATTAACGATGTCCCGGCAACTTTCAAATCGCGCTGAAGACACAAAATTGAGCCGAACTTTAAGCGATTCCTTTTCTTTCCACTTGGCAGACCACCGCAATCTTGGTCTTGTTTTGAAGTCACGTTTTTCTTCTTTTTGCCACCCTCCAAAATAGTGTCCGCTGCATAGTTTTGGCCTGATTGACGTTTCCCTGCCTCGCGATTGCAAAGCAGTGATTGGTTAAAGCGCCTGCTAAAGGGACAGTGTGACTACTTTTGGCTGCGACGTATGTTCTTCCGTTGCTACGGTTACTGCACCGCCGGACATTGCCAACCACGCGTCATCTACTTTCTCCCGTGCTTTGCCAACTTCACTTCGCTTTTCGCCATCTTTGCAATCGCTTGCAACCCTCTGTTTTAATAGTTTCGCATACTTTGCCTGCATGTTTCGTGACCGCACGAGTTGCAGGGAATAAAAAAGAATGGTGCAAGCATTTGACACAGGTTAGCGGTTCGTGCAAGCTTCTTTGCATGGCGACCATCAGAAGCAGCATCGGCGGCCCATATCTGCGCGGAGGGACACAGAGGCTCATCGCGTCACTACTCCAGATTGTGATTCTTCGATCTGTGCCTTCGGCCGTCCAAACCAAGCAAAGACAACAGCGGAACAAAACGAAAGTATGCAAGGACACATCCAGCTGATCCGCGGGGTAAAGCCGTTTCACGTGGCACAATCCTGCTTGCCATTTTCCTGATTTTTGGTTGCAACCTTGCTCGTTCAAAGACAACAAATTAATAAAAGCCATGGACGATGACTTATGTGTATGAGTACTGTGTCCACAAGCTCTTTGCTGCACGAGAATGAAAATCGCAACAGAATCGTGCCTTGTGAAACGGGCTAGAAGCTGAGAATTTGCGTGCAACTTTCAGCTGCCATTTTTCTCAAAATGTATTTTTGTTTCCAGATCCTAGCACATAACAGCTTCGCTGTAAAAAGGCTTTGTCATGCCCTGGAGTGCCTATCCAGGAATGCTTATAATAAATTTCACATTCCCCTGATGTTCTGCGATTTCTCCAGGCCTGGGACAAAGGAAGCAAGCGAACCACACTGAAAACTCTCTGTAAATTGAGAGCCCATGGGCACGGATTTATGGAACTTAGCAGTTGCTCTTATACATCTGTTATGAATATATCCTGAAAATGTTGTACAGATAGCTCTAAAACTGAAAGAGTTTAGGTGCCATGCCAGCTTCTCCCCTTAAATGCGACATGGTGTTGCTCCGACAATTTGCACACTCAAAAGATACCAAATGCGGCGTGACCTCCAAAAGCTTTTTTTTTCATGGAGTCGTGACTTTACCAAGGGTCTCGCTTACTCATGTCCACGGTGGAGCTCTTGAGCTCAGCCTCGATGGCCTCGCGTTCTGCCTTGATGGTCTCGACCTGCTCCATGAGATGCCTAAGCCGTTGCACGCAAGAGGAGTTGGACGCTGTTGGGTTTCCAGAAGGAATCTGCCTCTCCAGATCGGCCTGCGGAGACCACGCACCCCCGCCTCCATTACAGTTACTGTATCTGCTTGCAAGCCAACCTTTTGACATAAAAAGGAATCACATGCTGTTTGCTTCAATTTCTTTTCCATTATAAGCTTCATTCTTCATTTTCTATTTTTGTTTTATAGATGTTTAGAGAGCGTGAAGTTAGTCTGTGCCAAGGGGCACTTGCTGTCTCTGCTCTATACTCTGTGTCACCAGTTGCATGCAGTTCAGGCGAAGGCAATGCCAGGCGAGGGGAAAAAGGACGAACACTACGAAGGCTGGCTAGGAGGAGAGCATCCTCCTCTTATCTCCAACGATCCTAGCGCACTCGTCCTCCATTGCCCTCCTCTGCCGTCCCGCCTTCCTGGTGCTTGCCCTTTCACTCTTCTTCTGGCATCGCCTTTGCATGTACTGCACACAGCTAGTGACACAGAGTATAGATAAGAAATGTAGCCAGTGCGTTAGGGCCACTATCCTAGAGCTTCTAACATGCATCACGCAATAGTGATACTTGAATATTCGCTGATACTAAGTATGCTCATAGAAACCGAAGATGCACTATGTGATAAGGCACTAATGACTGCAATGGGAGCAGAGGCCACTGCGGTTTATCAGCACATGTTTTTTGCTGTTTCTACAACATATTTCTAAAACTAATATGCCAGCTCCAGAAATTTTAAGCATTGTAAATGTGCAGTTCTAGAGAAGGTTTCTTGGCTTTGAGCATATGACATATGGAAGCCTGAATACTGACCAAAAAGTGGAACCAACCACACCTTAAACTTCACTTGTGGATTGTATGGCTGTAAGCTGGCATACCCGCTTGTTGGGCTCCTGAAAGGAGTGTTCAGTCTAGCGACTGAAACCACTCCACAGTTCGAACGACGAGTTCCACGAGTGCTTCCCAAACGTCAAGGCAATCGAAAAAGATAATTTTGAGAGTCTTTGAGCAAAGCTCCCTGTTGGTTGTTTTTGGTGTTAAAATTTAGCTGCCCATTCCAGAAACAGAGATTGGTTCGTGTTGCTTTTTTTTCTTATAAATAAAACTAGTGTAGTATACAGTGAAACCCATTTAGAATGAACCCACGTACAGCGAATTATTGTCGATATCGAACTCAGAAAAATTTCAAATAAAAATGCATGTAAAAATTACTTTTTATAACGAACAACATATTGGCTATATCGAACTTTTTCCCTTCGGGAAGGCTTCCAAAAACGCGCAAACAATTGTCTTGTAGCCTGTCCCTTTCCCCAAAAAAGAAGTAGGAAAGAAAGAAAATTCCAAAAGCTCAAGTTGCGTACGAAATTGAGCAAAGAGAAGCCATTCAGAAGGGGGAAAAGCTAAAAAATACACTCTGCACGCACACATAAAAACAATTATCCTAAAGCGTTTGCCCACGAAGAAACGTAAGTCAGAAAATATAATAAACTAAAAAACAAAAACAATCTGCACGCATGCAAAAAAAAATAAAAAATTGCAGTGCGTTATTACAAGGCGGAAGTGAAGAGATGAGGAACAAAGACAGTGATGTGATTGGCCTAAGCCGTTTTGGAGCAACTTCTGGAGCAGCCAAAACGGAGCTTTGGAGCAGCAAAAGTGGCTTTTGGAGCAGCTAAAACAGTGTTTCGGAGCAGTGAAAGTGGCTTTTGGAGCAGATAATCTTAGGGAAAAAAAAAAAAAGGTATTCATTTCAAGTGGTGGACAAACGAAGGGCACATTGCTCGCCGCAATCAACCAATTATTGTCAAGACAGACCACCTGGGAGTGTTTCAACATGTAACTGAAATGCCAATGACACGACACATTTCGCAATGCTTCAGTTAAATGATACAAATATATCGGACCAAACTGCACGTATTAAAATTAATTTGAAAATTACCAGCTTAGTAATAAATATCATATCATTATAGGTTGACTAGTAATATAATAAATGGAAGCAGTCTACAACTGATGAAACACGTAACTACTGCCGTGCAATGCGAAATTGTCGCGCGAGCGGAGATGGTTGTTCGATCGAAAACCATGCCACTCCACTCTGTTGACTCTGTCTCCAACTAATTCCCAATATTGTATGCAAAATGTAACTGTCCAACATACGACAAAAAAAAAAAAAAAAAAAAAAAGTCCAGTGCTTACCAGGCCGGCAGGCGAAATACAAGCTAAACACAGGAGAGAAAAAAAAAAAAAAAAAAGAAACCTAAGCGTATTGATGCAAGACATCGCGAGCCAGAGTCAAAAAGTTCTTGGAGCACTTTGTGCAACGACTGAACTCGAGACAAATAAGCACGCTGTACGGGTTCAGCATGTGGACATTGCCTTCTTTGCTTTAGCTCACTTCTCTTCACCAATCTTTCTTTCGCGGCTGATTTTTCACGTACCGGGGTACGTCTCGAAAGAAAGCCTACCGAGAGAAGCCTAGGCAATCAATACTTCGACACAGCAGCCTTTGAGCTAAAGGGATGTTTGTAGTAGTGTAATAAACAAGAACAGGATTGTTGATGAACATGTGGCAGTCCTTACGTTTCAGTTTAGAAAGTGCCATAACTGCAGTGACGTGGGGACGGCAACACCCGACGTCGTGCGACCACGGCGACTGGAAGGCAGGGATCAAATATAGTTTGGCCACGGCCGTTGCTTTTAGGAGCGAGTGCTTCAGCCCAGAAAGTAAATCCCGCTGCGCAAAAACATGATTTCGTTTCACAGCATGAGGGCATGGTTGGTACCCAGCACGCTACCGTCGGAACGTCTGCACACGCCCACGTCTATCATTGAAATTTTTTTAAAAAGACGCGAGACGAGAGAAGCGCAGGAAAAACTATGCAAGACCGGATGAACGATTGATGCAGGGTACTTTGTGTCGGACGGCTGCTTGCACCACCTAGCTCATGTGTGCTCAATTGCGGTACTCAGTTTAGTTTCGGTTTTCAAAGGCGACCAAAATTGGTCCTTTGGCGCAGGCTTGGCGCAGATTACCCATATTTTGGCAAAATGTAGCAGGATGTAGCAGGGTTAGCCCCTTGGCGCAGTTTGGCGCAATTGGCGCAGCAATCACATCACTGCAAAGAGAAGCTCTCGCCGTACAACGAAAGCACCGTGGAAGTTTGTTGTATGCAAGTGGTTTTTGCTATATCGAACTGATCGTAGCATTTCTTGCTGTTCGTTATAAACGGGTTTGACTGTATATACAGTGTGTATGAGATGGGATGATGGCTGCATTTCAAGGGTTCTGATGGAAGATGTCAGGGTTGTGCGAATATTCGAGTTTTTGAATAGAAATTTAGAATAATACGCTATTCAATATTCGCTTCGAAGTGAACTGCAATACTCCTACTTTCGAAGTATTGATCACACTGGGTTAGCCCAGTTGAGTGCACTTCTCACCGAGCACCTGTGCACTGTGACGAAGCAATACCCGCGGAGCTTGTGGGCATTGCTTCCCCACGGTGCTTGGTGAGAAGCACACTACATGGGGCTAATTTGCTTAATATACAGACGCATGTTAGGCACCAATGCCTTGACAAGCCATATTCATCATTCATGCTTTTTTATTTGTCAGATTTAATTTAGAAGTTAGAATATTTGCATATAGCAGGCAGATTTATGAATACCCTCGACTAGGATAGCTGCAACAAATCTCATTTCATGACACAGTTCATATATATAACTATATTAAAACTAACTGAACAGAGAAGCGGAAAAGTGGAAGGCAGTGGAAGACTTGGAGAAACTATTCAATATTTGATTCGAAAATATTCGGCCAAAACTACCACCCGTTTTGACCTCGCTTTAAACTAAAAATCTACTACTCACACAAGCCTAAATAAAACAGCCCTGCAGAAAACGGCTTAATAAACCTTATTTGCTTTTCGGTGCCACCCACATAAAATGTGAGGCAACCATCCTTCCACAGTGGCAAGCGTGTGGCTTATCATAGATTTCACAACAGGCAGCACTGATGATGTGAGATCAATAGCTCGAATAGGTGCTTGAGCGCTTTGTTGTTCGCCTCTTCTCCTGCTGACTGTCATTTCAGACGTGCGGCCATCTTTTGAGTCTTGCAACTTGAGATTGGTCATGAAGTTCCAATAGACAACACCAAAAAGTAACCCCTCCCCCCCCCCCCTCAAAACACACTTTGGGGGATAATTTCTTATTCTTTGAGTGCGTGGCGTGGGGGGGGGGAGGCACATATTATTTAGTGTTCTTAATTTTACAGAAGGGATCAAACTAAAGAATAGGTTGCTCATTCAATCTAGATTATTTGCAACTGCAATGCCCTATAGATGGTGGAATGATAATGCCAAGATGGCAGAAGAGGCGGGCATAGATTCCCCAGGATTTTCCATGCACCTGCTCACTGACGGTGGTCACTGTGCTAAAATGAATTTATTAAGGCAAAAGCCTTAAATGTCTCATTGTCCAGTCTTTGAGCAAAAACGCGTCGGAAACACGAGAGATACCAAAACCCACGGTTCGCCACTGGACCAGGAGATGGTGTTACTTGTGCCAGAATCGGCAGAGGCACATGCGTGGCATAAACCCAGCAGAGAGGAAGACACTCTCGCTCGGGTAGCGGGGAAGAGCGGGCTTGCGACATGCCGCGAGATTAACGGTGCCAAAAGTGTGTCGTCAGAAAGTGCGCTGTCTTCAGAGGTTTGCTATCACTAGGATCGGCGTTTGGACCTTCACCTTCAAGTCATCTTAGGGATAACATAAAAGACCCTGTGAATTTTGGCTACAAATACGAAGCGGTTGGGGCAGGAGCATATCATAGGTGACGGAGATGCTGACGTGTGTTAAGAAAATTAGCATGTTGGTTTCTAAGAGTGGTGAAGCGGAACACAACAATTCCTAATGTAATACAGTCGCTTTTTTCGTTAAAACTGCATGATGCACGAACATGCTGACCAGAACCATGTGGATACAGCCGCCCCAAGGCCGACAGCCCTGCCCCCGTCTCCCCCGCCATCCCCGTTCCTCTGGTTCTTCCTTTGTCCACGAGAGGACAAGCAGGAGTTGTGAATAGTGAGCTGATCTCTATTCAGCTCATACATCTACATCTGAATCTATTTATATTTGCTTTGAAATGTATGCACTGAATTAGCAGGGATCTGCACCGATATCTAAAATCCAAGTTCAGTTTGTGCTCCAGATACTGGACATTAAATACTGCCCCCCCCCCCCCCCCCCCCCTTTTAACGAGGGTACTCACGTCGGAAGCACTGAGCATCTCAATGTGTCGCTGGTGCTTGCTGAACTTGTCCCGGACGGTCTTGTCTGCGTCCTTGGCCACCCGGATGATCTCCTTGTACTTGTTCAGGTTGTTGCGCAGGGGCTCGTTGAGCTTCTCGGAAGCGCTGCGCGTCCAGCGCTCCTTGAACTGGCCACGCAGCTCACGGTCAGAGTCCTGCTCCTCCTGCAGCAGCCTCTCACCCTGGGAAGAGGCGCAAAACAAAGTGCCAGTTCCTTGATTTTCGCTAAATGACACGGGAAGATTTCTCCGCTAATTTTAACGGGAAAACACCTCACGTGGTGTCACAGTGTCACGTGACACAATTTAGTGGGCCACGTCGTACACCTTACACACACTAGGATCCGCTGCGAAACCTCGCCAATAAAAGGTGAAAAAGAAAGGGAAACGACTCGAGGGAAGCACAGGCAGGTTTCAGCTGCAAAATACACACCCCGAAAATGCCATAGCCTCTTTGCGGAAAGAGAATGCAGTTTGGGTCAATACAGTTGCCGGCTGCCGTAGTGATGCAAGAGGAGTTAGCCGCGCAGAGAGGCTCTGTATGCAAACGCCTCATCATTCTAGAATTGGTGCAAAGCTGGGGTGTCCCCTCTTTATTTTGCAATTTGATCGACGAGATCTTTTTCAGCATAAACTTGGCACATAAATGGCAACATAAATAACATTGTTTTAATTTTGCAGGGGAAGGGGTGGGGGCATTATTAGGTTTCACACATTTGCATGGTTAACATCTGCAATTGTTTGCAGGTGGGCAATTTTTTTAAATCTTATTTTATTTAGAAAGAAGGTGGATTATACAACAAATGTAGGCCATATTACAGACACCCCATGGCCACAAAAGGGGCACCAGTGCAGCAGAAGCAGGTAGTCTCCTCCGGCTTCGGATAACAAGGTCGTCGTCTACCGTAGGCCGGCGCGGGGCGCAGATTGGACACCGGCGTTGCTTCGACGTTAAGCTGGGGCTAGTGTTCAAACGGTGAGGACACCGATTACGCTCGACGATTGGGCAGCACCAATGCCCAAGCCCCACACTGACCTCCAGTAGGTTACAGAAAATCCGGCGCTATGGCCCCGTTGTCAAGGGGGGCGTTGGGAGAGAGCCGCTGGCCTCACCTCGACCAGGATCTCCTGGTTCCTCTCGAGCAGGACGGGGAGGTCGCTGATGAGCTTTTGAATGGCCTGGATGCCGCCTTTGGCCCTGACGGCCTCCGCCTTATCCCGGATGCTGGGCGGCAGGCTGCAGCCCGTCGTGTCCTCCAGGGCCGCAGGCAGGTTGAGGGACGCCAGCACCCTGAAGGGAAGGATTGGTGCGGCGGGAAGGCGGGCCTCAATCCTATGCACCGACTTCCTTGTGCGCATAATGCCGCGGGCCTAGGGAACAGATCCCATTCGAGCGGAAGAAGACTACACTGCACGACAAATAATTGTAACTGGATCTCACCGGGCAGACCACAAAAACATAGAGAATTCACTCCTAGTCTACCCCTGCAAGTCAAAAACGAGGTGCCTCTTTTGACTCCCCACCTTCCTTCCCTCTCGATGCATGGTGGATGAGTCTACGTAGGAGCAGAACTGCCCAATAGACATCTATATCCATCCAGTTCTCTTTCAATGGCGGTTTCTGAAAGTGTGACGGCTACAGTTGCTGACAAGGTGAGGATGGCTGGGTGTTTCTTTTTTGAACGCCCGGTGTCCAGTGTACGCTCATTGCCTTTCTCTGTATTTTGACCGTGCATAAGGCTCACGAGACTCCAAAGTCTGCACTTCAAAGCATGCAAAAGAAGGACTCCAGCATCCGTGGCTTTGACAGTATTTTCTCTAAAACAATGGGGACGTCGAACCCAAAACAGCTTTCTTTCAGAATTACCGTTCGGCTTGCACACAAGGTTGTTGGCTACTGGTCTATTAAAGAGCCGAAGGGGCTCAATTATTATGGAAGCGTACAGGACAGTTTGAAGCACACAGCATAAACATCCATAAGATACTCTTGGAATGTTCTGCTATACGTACACTCCCAGTGAAATGTAGTCCAAAACCATGCACATACAAATGTGCAGGACTGACGTAAGCAGTGGCAAATCCCATAAACTATTTATGTGAAGTACTAGAACTGCAAAGTTAGGGGTTAAACAAAATAAGCACCTGCATACATCAGGTAGCACATATTTGGTGCCAGTAACAAGCATTTCACCAGAAGTCGCACCACAACACCCATTCTAATCCCTTGGCACATTAAATTGATGGCCAACTCTACTTCACGTGCTCAGTATAAGAAAGCACTTTAGCCAACTGGAACTTCATACCCATTCAAATACTGCGTCTGCTGGCGAAGTTTGGCAATTTCCCCATTGATGATCTCTGTCTTCCGAACATCAAACTTCTGCAGGGCTTGGCTGACAGACACGGGGAGCAAGGCACTAAAAAGATCTGAGGAAACAGAAAAAGAAACCACAGGTGGAAATATCACTCAAGTGAGAAAAGAAAAGACAAATGCAAAAGCAAGTTGCTACAAAAAATGCTTCACTCACTTGCTAAGCAAAATTAGATTTATCTTTGACCTAGTTAGCTTGATAAGGACACCCTCCTGTATGTTGAGTAGGTAATTGACAAGTAGCTGAGCTACTCTCACAACCAAAGTAAGCTGAATGTGATAGTTACGCCGTAAAGATGTAATATTATGCTCTAAATCAGGGCCGTAACCAGGGGGGGGGGGGATAGGGGGTTCTGACCCCCCCCCCCCGAAATTTTTTTCTGTGTACGGCCCTGGTCGGTGCACTGGCAGCCAGCCGATTTTAATCTCCACCTCTGCGCACGCGCAGTGGCGCCGGTCGGCTACCGGGTACCAAACCGGGACCGGATCTTTGGTTTGCTGTAACTCTCCATTATATGCCACCGATGCACATGATTCATAGGCGAAAATAAGACAATAGACACTTTCAAAATGGCCGCCGTTGTCCCCGAAAACCCCCCCCCCCCGAAATTTTTTTCTGGGTATGGCCCTGCTCTAAATAAAGTATTTTCTGGTTAACTAAACTGAGTGTTGCCACCAATTTCTAAGTCACTACTCTAGTAAGCAACCTTTTCCTTCATTCATGACCTAGGACCTAAGTGGTCAGATTGCTTGGGTTAGAGAAGAAGCAAAGTGCAAGAGCTGGTGCCACAAGTTTCCTAGGGGAATCGGATGACTCAGACTCCTCCAGACTAAACAACAATAGTATTTCAAACCCCTGTCCTAATCTCCATCTCACCCGTCAGAACACCTAAACTGCCTCCACGGTTGGGCATGTGCGCTCCATCTCAAATGGCCTGGATCAACAATTACCTCCCAGCTCGAAAAAGCATGTCTCCCGAAAACAGCCTCACATGGCCCGTCTATCGTAAACACCTCAATCTACGGAAGACAGACTCTAGGGTAAAAAAGAATAATCGCAAAAGCAATAAAGATGCCACTTCTTCTGCAGGGTAATGGTCTGCCATTATTAATTAAGCCTGAGCTGAACCTATACCTATACGTCAAAAGGAAATGGGTGCAAGAATATAGGAGTAACGTCCAATATAGCTCAAATTAAAAATCAATGTTATGTCAGACAACTTGAAATGACGAGTAAACTTGCGCCCAAAGCAAGTAAAAACAGAAATTAAGATAGTACTTTTAGTACGCTAATTTTTTCCTAGTTACCGTATTTACTCGCAAAATGAACACACTTAAAAAAAAAAATCTATGCAAAGTTGGGGGGGGGGGGGGGGGGCATTCATTATGCGAAGTAAAATTTTTGCGTCCATATTTACTGCATAATGAACGGCCCTTTTATTCTTAAAAATCGAGGTAACTTCTTATCTCTTTGCGCAGCGTCCCCCTAACCAAACTAGGCTGTGCAAAAAAAAAAAAAAAAAAAAAAGCTCCTTTGTTTTTTGTTTTTTTCTCTTAGTTCCTTGGGTTGTTTTTTTTGTTTTCCTTTTTGCAAGCTGTTTCGTTTGCTTAGGCATTGCTTAGGCGAGGGCTTCTCCACTTATCTTTCTTATCTCCTTGGGCCCGACGCGCGACGCGACCCCGTAACCAAACTGCGCTGTTCAAAAAAAAAAAAAAAAAAGAAGTAAAAAAAGCTCCTCTGTTTGTTTTTTTCTCTTAGCTCCGTCGGTGTTTTTTTTTTTTTTTGCCGCCTTTCGCAAGCTGTTTTTTTTTGCTTAGGCGAGGGCTTCTCCGCTTATCTCTCTTATCTCCTTGCGCGCGGTGTGTGACCCCAACGTCCAGACTGCCCTGTGCAAAAAAAAAAAAAAAAGAAAAAAAAAAAGCTCCTCTTTATGTTTTTTTTTTCTTGCTTCCGTTGGATCTTTTTTATTTTTTTTTAACGCCTTTTGCAAGGTGTTTCGTTCGCCCAAGCTGCCCATGCATTCGCTACCTCGTTGCACCAGGATAAAAAAGTGCGTTAATTTCGCGAGGGTGGGGGGAGGGGGTCAAAATTTTGACGTCCTAGTTGGGGGTGCGTTTAATACACGAGTGAAAAAAAAGCCAAAGTTTTGAGAGCCGACTTGGGGGGTGCGTTCATTACGCGAGTGCGTTCATTGTGCGAGTTAATACAGTAGGTGGTCAGCGAAGTACATGTTCCTGTATCGCAAAAAAATTTCTAGCTGTGGCATTGATACAGTGCCAATCGTGATATAAATAAATCTTGCTGGAGATTTTTAGGTCAAAGGACATAAATAGCTTCCAGCTCCAAGACATGCCCCAAAACGGCTGCTGGAAGGGGGAACCACATTACTGTGTTGTGGAAGCGGGCACAAGTTTCCAGCCACACGTTCCGTGCCCATGTGCCCTTGAGTCCCAGAGGAGAGAGAGGGAGATAATAAATGAAGATTTTGAAAGTTTGGTCATGTTACATGTTGATAGTCGTATTACCTAGTACATCTGATCATGGGGTTGTGAAACAAGCAGTAGTCTGTGAAAAAGAAATAGATTCTCAGCAATGCTTCTTTTGCAAAATCTAGCATAGCAAGCAGCAATTTAAAGGACCACTGAAGTTGATTCTGAGATCGTCCTTTTTTGAGCTGACAACCCAATCTAGAAGCTCTAACCATCCCAACAAACCCAAAATCACAATCATACGTAGCATATTTACTCGTTAAAAGCATGTTCAAAGATCGCGACACACCCTTCTTGGGAAGAAGTTTCTTCCGAGTGAAGTGGTCGACGAAGAGCGCTTGTCGGCGAGTTGCAAGCGATAACTTTTCCCGCAGAAAAAAAAAGAGGGGTTTTATTTGAATGTGTATCTAATAGACTCTCTTCGAAACGAGTTATAATAAAATCATTCGGAATCTGCGCATATTGTAGGGCTTTCATTGGTCCACACAATGTAGTCCGCGAGAGAAAAGAGTCCACACCTTTTTCTATTGCCCAGAGATGAATAGACAGTTTTGTAATATAGGAATTGGTATGTGAGGGAACTAACACCATTCTAAACAATATAAGATCAAAAACAACCTTTTTCAAGAATTCCTTCAGTGCCCCTTTAAAGGGGGGTGCAAAAATTTTTGTACATTGTGCAAATACCATTTAGAATTAATCTCCGACGTTTATAACCTATGAAACACGCATTCGTTTTTCTCCCATGCAAATGGTGGCCACAGAAAACATTTAAGAAAAACAAGCAGTGTTCACCCCTCAACATGCAGTCAGAATAAGTGGCCATGTGATCTGGAGCATGTTTATCATTGCCACGTGCTGGGGCTTGCAAAAAAAAGGACATGCGCTGAGTTCCAGACATTGTTAGAGTTTGGCTATTGTCATTGCAATGATTGGACATGAGCAACTCCCTGAATGCTTGTTGAGCTACTGATTATCATGAGCCCAAATCGAGTGCTCACACTATACTCAGGTTCAATCAGCAAACCGCATTCAAATATTGTCACACGGGGGACTGTACCGACATTGCGACCTCCGAGCTACGTCATAGGGCCTTGCGAGGAGATTGAAAGAAAACGCTCGTTTTTAGCCTTGAAATTATACTGCAACAAAGAAGTTTCTTGGTCAGTGGTGTTGCGTGTGAGTATACTTGTGTCCCACTAGTGTTAGCAAGCTTGCGTAAAGTAAAGAACGGTCCAAGCGAATATCGTTGCACCGCCCCTTTAAAAAAAAACAACTAATGGCCACATTTTGATGTGCCCTATTTCTGCGTATGCAAATTATTTAGAAAAATAAAAGCGGTAGCATGGATCCTTTGAAAATTGCTGCTTTTCCCATGGTCCGGAAGGAGTTAAGCGCGTTCCAAGCTTTATGAATATGAATGATTTATTCTGACCAGATAAACATAACCCCCAAAAACCAGTTCATACTCTATTCAGCCCTATCCTTCGTCTCACCTAAAGTCCTGATGCAGCTGATGCTACAAGCTGCTGGGACCAATAAAACAACATTAAGTTTTGGTGTTGCAATCTAGCAGAAGCTGGGCACAACCCTTGGTGAGGACTCCCCCAAAGCCGACGCAGCTTCTCATAGCAGAACGAGTCTTCGCTCAGCCTCGCTTTCAACTTTTCATTTTGTCTAATTTTTTTATAGCATGTTTCTTGCAATTGTCCTGGTATTCTCCCACAAGATGAACTCACTAATTCTCTACTCCAATTGTGGCATCGTTAAAATAATCAAGGGCAGTCCTGCACATATTTGCTTTTAAATACATCCTAGACTTTATCAAGCTTACCGTAAAATACCGTGCATCCGCCCATACTACATTAAGCGCCCATACCCAAATTTGTAAAATCTGAGAAAATATGCACAGTACATTGATAAGTAGAACTGATGACCGGACAAGCGCCCATCCCCCATTTTTTCATGATTATCTCAAAATTTTGAGTGGGCGCTTGCCCGGTATTTTACGGTAATAGAATCATCAGCAGCATCATGTTCACCATTTGGGTAATTACAGTGAAGTGAATGCTCCCAGCATATGCGCCGAGAAGCTGATTGAGAGGAAGAGACGAGAGTGCGTGGGAAGGACGTCTGAAGGCCGAGCTCTGGTTGGAATAATCAGAGGGTAGACCTAAAGCTATCTGCCTTTGTTTCCACTGCACTCGTTAGACGCATTCGAATTCGAGAGCCAAGCACTGGACGCCGGCGTTTCGCGTTCTACGAGTGTAGTGAAGACAAGAGCTGCCTTTGCCTTCACTCCACTAGTCGAACGCGTTCAAATGCAAAAGTTCCACGTTCTAACACATTCGACGAGTGCAGTGGAAACAAAGGCAGCTAACTTTAGGTCTACCCTCTGATTATTCCAACCAGAACTGGGCATTCCGACATCTCCACAAGCTCTCGTCTCCTCCTTCCTCTCTGTCTCTCGGCGCATAATAAAGTGTGCATTACTGCGTCTTTACAAAATTCATGCAAAAAAAAAAAAAAATTGTATTTTGAAAAAACAAAATTAAAAAAAAAAAAACGGAAACAAAATATTATGCACATTTAAAATTAGAAAAAAAAAACAACAACACAGGTAACCTTCTATTGGAAATCGTTTTGTCAAATAATCTGCATCAACCAATAATTTGGTTAAGATAGCGCATTTAAACTGACAAATCATTTGGTCGACAGCTGATGCGTCAATGACAGCCATTTGAAACATTGCACTAACGTAGATGCTATGTGATGATCATAACAATATAATTAAAAAGAAAGGAGAAGTGGGAATTTTGTATATATGATGAGTGAAGAAAGCACTTCTCTGGTCCATCTGTGATTACTGCCAATCAAACACAGTAAACCCTAAGGTCACAGCCAGTATTTTGGAACCTTCTATGACATTTTGCCATCCTGACCATGAGCTGTCTAGAATACCTAATTAGCACTTATAGTATTGAGCATTAATGTTGAGCAGTGCCTGTTTTAATCACAAAAGAAACACACACAAAAAAAAAAAAAAATATTTGCAATGGCATCTACATGCAGGCAAAAAGTTAAACATCCTGAAGAAATCACTCCTTTTTTTTTTCTCGATCACAACACTGCGTCGCAGCTACAGCACCATAAAAACAGTCCAGACTTCCTCGAAAAGGGGATCCTCGGGACTTGATTTATTGAGGAGACACAGCAGCAACCTCTCGTTTCGACAACATCAAGGAGTCTGTTCATTCTTTTAACTTTGCAGTGACACAGTTAACACGGATGACACGGAGAAAGAAATTCAGGTGTGGCGGAAAAGAAAAGTTGGATAATCGGATTATCGTTGGCGCAAAGTCCCGCTAATGAAATCTGTACGGAGGATGAAACAAAGGCACTCGTGCAGAAAAGCAAAACATAATACATACAACATGCAACACCATTTGTGAAAGCATCTGCTAAGTGGTTCAAGCACAACATTGCGCAGTTTTAATCGCATTATGGCGCAATAAGGAGATTAAAACCCTTATTGTGCTGTTTTAATCTCATCACTACTTCCTAGTTGTCGTTCTCTTGGATATAGATGGAAATTTAGCCTTTCTCAATCGCATATCGTGTGTCACAGGTAAAAGAACAATCATGAACCACGATGCCGCGTCCGAAAGGAAGCGATCAAACCGTGCCGCTATGGTGTGCATGACGTAAAAAAATCCGGCATCCTCACATTCCGGATATCACGTGACATTCACATACTACTCAGTGGCACCTCCTAGCATGGTTCTCTCTGCGAATAGGGCACAACTTCATGACAGCAACGCAGTGAATCCGGGGAAAGCAATTGCGCAGATCTAAGGAAGCACTCACCTTGGCCCGAAGCGCTGAACTTGTCCGGCACGGGCAGCGGCTTGGCCAGCACGGCCTTGCCGATAGGTGCCAGGCTCTTGACCTCGGGCACACGTGCGTGGTAGATGAAGTCGTTGTCCTTCTTGGTCTCCTCATAGATGCGGGCAATCTTCTTGGCATCGTCCCGGAAGGAGAAGGCCACGCCCGCCCGTGCCTCGGCAGTTTTCATCAGCTCCATGGCATGGCCCAGCCTTGCCAGCTCCTCGCCCACGTCCTTCTTGGCCTGGCACACCAGGGCCTGGTGCAGCTCAGCTACAGCCCCAAATGCCGCCTGCTTACTGTTCACTATCGACAGCCAATCCTGCAGCGAGAGGAGTAGCATAGCAAGATCATGTGAGAAAAAGGTTGCCGGGTTCCTTCTCTGTCACAAAAATCGAGAGACCTTGTGCTAAATTACTCAAGCACCGGGAGGATGGTAAGAGAGTAGTTACGTGCTCTACACCTGCTGGTATCTGCTGCCAGACCGTTTTAAAGCAAAAGCCTAGAACAAATGGCATTTTGATTGTGTTTGTAAACACCATTTTGATCATTTACCCCAAATCTTTTATGCTGTTAAGGCGAGTTTATGTATCAATATACCCAGCATCCTCTCTAGTGCTTATTTAATTTGGGAAAAGGCTTATTATGCGTCGCAGAAAGCCAGATTTGCAATACTAGTGGATGTGATAACATGAGGATGTTTCGAAGCAAGACATTACCTGAACTAAAGGGGCAGGGCTGCCAACACGGAAGGTTAGAATTTCCCTAGTAAATGCCTGAAATTTCCCTATTTTAGCCAAAATTTCTCTCGCTTGCCCAAGTAATTACATAATACTAAATATTCATTGTGTTTGTTTTTTACGACACTTCCATTTTTAGGATGAGGGACATATTATGTAGCCTTTACACGTCGCGTGCGTTTCGTAAAAATGAGTTCATCGGGCCAAGAGCACGACCAATAAAAATCTGGCGAGGGGAAGTATTTACCAGGAGATTGAAACTGACGAATGAAACCCTATCTTTACCTTAGATGTAATGCACGCCATCAGAACATTGTGCTGCTTAATAACTTAATAACAATGGTGATTTTTAATAGCCAGTCCAAAACAAAAGGTGTAACACAAGCGAGCATTCTCAAACTCAAACACAGGGAACACGACACACAGTAACCACCATTTCGTGCACGGCACTTCACGAAATATTATTAGTCATGGTAAGTCTGTATCTCCAGACATCGCAGTACCTCTTCTACTCAGGCTTTCTTTCTCGAGAAGCCAAAGCGGGGCTCTCAAAAGCTTTCACTTGGCTGATCCCTTCCTCCATAGCTTTCACAGGGGCGATGAAAACGGATGAAAATTGATTTTCCCAAAAAAGCTGTTTGGGTGCTCCTCAGTTTTTCCAGATGGTCGCACAACAAACTGTCAAATGGTTGGGGGGAATAGCCTAAATGTAGCCTAAGCTGCTGAAGTTCGATTTTATCTCGAAATGAAATCATAAGTGACCTTGAAAATTCCAGATATATAGAGTGCCCAAAATATCCCTCAAACTAGCAAGATTTCCCTTATTACCGGATAGACCTGAATATTACCTTAAGGGGGACACTACCCAATAGGGTTAACTTTTTATTGTATGGCTTAATATGAATGAAATTTAGAGTATATACTGGAAGTTGCAAGGCAGAATGCAGTGCAAAGTTTCATCAGTGTACATGAGTTGTAAATTAACTTGTAGTCATTTTTATCAGGAACACACCGACTTTGTTTAGGAAAACTATCGTTAGGAAACTAATGTAATACCGAACATTTTTCCACTCTAGATCCCTAGCAGAATGCCTAGGAAGTGCAGCTGTGAAAAAAAAATTTCCAAAAAGGAATTTACTTCATGCTAACATCGCAGTGAAAAATCAAATAAATTTTCTTTGCCTTTTATGTCAAGCACAAAATCTTAACATCTTTCATAAAAGACATCCACAAAGTCAAAAAACAATTCCATAGTTGCACTGCCCATAAAATTCCACTTGGGAAAAGCAATAAGCGAGTCTTTCCTCTTGTCCTATTAACAAACGATAGTTTTCCTAAAATGAAATTTATGCCAAAATGTGGAACGGAGAAAAATGTGTTCAAAGTGTTCCAACCCCTACCTTTTCTTTAGCTTCAATGGACCGAAAATAATTTATAAAAAGTTAACTATGCACTGTAAACTAATGAAACTTTCTGGGAATACTCTCCAGGTGCTGGTGGATGTAAATATGACATTTTTCAAAATAATTTTTTTTTGCAGAAATTTTTTTTTCTGGGTAGTGTCCCCCCTTAATCTGAGAAATTTCCCTCGAGTTGGCAGCCCTGCAAAGAGGGCAGGCAATTTTTGGCTGCTTTCAATGAGACATTTTATTGGTGGCAGATGATGCTTTACTCTGTTTCAGCATAACTTGGCAGACAGCAAAAGATACAGCCCCAGCGAGCCAATCAGAGCGCCGGAGTGAGACACATGACATTCTATGCTCGAGTGCACTCCTCCCGGGAAGGGCCATCAAATGCTTCATACCGCCACCCTAATTGGTTTAAGAAAGCTATGATTTCTGCTCTTTGCCAACTAATGATGAAAGTAGAGCATAGTTTCTTTCACATTGTGTCCTTAGATGACCCTGGAAAATGCTTACCTATCATGTACAAATATGGATTCTCTGACATGGTAATCCTGGAGCCAGGAAAAAGAAGGGACGTAGGACAGACACAAAAGTCCAAACACAGCTAAAATTTTATTTCAGTGTCACGTCCTTAAATAGGCCTACAACCATGCGACGCAGACACAAAAGGTTTCACAACTAGTAGGAACCTGAGAACAAGGACCCATGATATCACCAGGCAAACTTTTAACAAAGAACCATCGGAAGGAGGGTGCGTATGGCATTGTTCAACCATGAACAATGTCATAAGCACTGTTATACATGGCTCTTGGCACAAAGTTTCAGGAACAAAGCGCCATTGAATCACTCTGCTCCTAAACTCTAGTGAACTCAGCCCATAGGGTGAGGAAAAGACATACCCTCTCCCAAAGGTTCTTGAGCGACTCTCGGCCCATCTGCCTTGCTGCGTCAGCATAGAGTTCCTCGCACTGCGAGGCCACCTTGGCGATGATAGCGTCTTTCATGTTGTCTGAGAAGAATGAGAATTGCCAGGCATGAACAATTTCAACTGGGGTTCTTCAACCCCAAGGGACACGTATCTGCTTTGAATAAAAACCAAGGAACCCTCCCCCCTCTCGGCAGCTTTGCAAGAAAGCAGTGCAGTACTGTCTACAAAGCATACAAACCTCGTAGATCATGTTTTTTATTTGTGAATACTGTTCACCCCCAAGTACGGGGCTTTAACAAGTATGGGGTATAGGAGAACACTCAAACATACAACAACAGGACTACAATACAGTACACATTCAGCGACTTCAACTTATAATAAAGAGGCTGAAATAGCACAACATTCAATATATTATCTAGCACTGAACAAAATTAATTCTCAGCACTTTTAGCAAAAATATTAAAACTAAAATTTATCAGTCCATCTTACACATATTCAGAAGGGCTCACACATATTCAGAAGGGTACTAAATGGTGCTTTAAAAGGATGGTAAACCGAAATTTGGATTTCAGAAAAAACAATTCAGGAGATGTAGGCGGGACGCTGCAATCCTTACAACACTACTCGTAAGGCGATATTTCGAATGGACGGCCATATTTTTGGAAAAAGAGGTCGAATTGAACCAGGCCGACGAGACGCTTGACAGTGAAGATGCCTAGTTTCCTCCTCTCTTCACTTCACTCCCTCAAGGCCGCGAGGTGGAGAAGACGCGAGGCCGTTCCCTCTCCTTCTCGAAGAAACATGACGCAAAAATTTCTGTCAAATGCGCCTCGTTTTCTTGAAAAATACGGTCATCCATTCAAGATATTGCTGTATGAGTGATGTTTTTGTGTTTGTACCATCCCGTTGCACGCTTTTGCCGCGTGTTTTGTGGAATTCAGATTTCGGTTCAGCATCCCTTTCAGCCGAGAAAAAGTGCTGGACTTAGGAGCAGTGATAATTGAGAGTAGAGATGCCCCAAGTTTTTCTTGAGCCTGAGGTTCAAAAATCGAACCAAGGGGTTTGAAAGGTGTTGAAAAGTTTTGCACATTCAAACATATTGCATTTTAAAATGTGACAATTTTCTAATCTTTTACATTAAGAAACTAAGGAATTCATAAATTTTCAAACTTTCGAATTTGCAAATTTAAGAAGTTGATTTGTGTTTGTCCTTTGTCCCTTTTGTTCCCCTTCTCCAGGAATTACTTTCGTCGTTAGACAAACTTCAAACTTCTGAACAAAAGTTGGACAAAGTTCGGAAGAAAAAACCCGTGCCCGAGATCTTTCTTCCGGCTTTCGCACACAGCGTCTCCCGTGTAAAACTCCCTAGTCTGCTTTCAGGTAATGTGCAAGCCAACAAATCTTTGGCCTGCAGCTTCAAAATTTGACCAAGGCACATCTCTGGGACGTCGTTCATAAATAACTTAAATTGTTTTTTAACGTAAATTCCTCAAGGTGTAAACCGTTGTCTTGTGTAAACAGCTGGTCGGGAAAGTTGCATGCAGAGAGCGATGCTGATGAGCAAAAAAAAATGCTGGATCGGTGCTTGCCCAATTATCATTAGTAGCCACCTGTCTTTTAGAATGACCAATATTTACATTAATGAAAGAAGAAAAGCATGAGAAACCGGCAATGTAGTGAGCCTGATGCCCGACTGTATGTGACCTGATCAACTGTCACACGTCGTTTTGTACTCTTTGTTGTTTTGTACCAGCATCGCATTTAGGTGGAGTTTGATCAGATTGCTGAGCTCGCAAGGAGGTAGGAAAAACGCGCAAGGCTTTTTGTTGAACTGTTTAACCAGTTTATCACTTTTTTCATGAGTTACGATAAATAAAATGTAGTACTTCAAGTACCACAGTACTTAGGAAGGAGTATTTACAGAATAAAAGTAATGTGCAGCTTTTTTAGAGGAATTATTAAATTTTTCGAGATGACTCTGGAAACTTCTTTAGAAACTGCACAATTCGATTTCCGTCGGTGATATCTGAAGACTTCAAACTTAAATTCGAAACCTTCTAACTTTTCGAACTTGGGCCTCGAAGAAATTTGAAGTCTTAGAATCTCTCTACCCCAAACTTTCAGAAACCTTAACATCTCCAAACGCTTTGAATTTAAACCCTTAAAAGGGCACTGCAATCATATTTAAGCGTATACCTTTTTTGCGGTTTCCACGTCTCTTAAAGTTCGGGCAAGCCAGCGGGGACAAAGAGAGAAACTAATTATCAGTGCGTCATATTTTAACCGGACGACGCGGAAACCTCCTCCACCAACCAGGGCGACCCGCGGTATGGAAAGCGCACAAAATGTGACGTCTTTGGTCCTGGGCTTACTACTGGTCAGAGCCCTTAAAAGCTTCTTTTTAGTCGAAATACAAAATATAATTGGCACGAACTGTTTCAATTATTTATAAAAGTAGTTTTTGTTCTCTCTTTAAAATTTTTGCGTAATAGTTTTCTTTACATTTTTTTTTTGTAAAATTTTACGCAAGATTCATATAATCGTAAAATTAGTCCCATTTTGTACAATTTACGAAAGATTTGGAAGAGTTGGCAGGTATGGTTTAGGAAGCCTATTTTCTTAATAGAAAATGTAGCAGAGACCGCCAGCCTTGTCACCCCCGTCACCGTCACGTCACGTCACCCCCCCCCCTCCCCCCCCCCCCCCCCCCGATGCTGGCGCAGTCTAGAAGAAGCATGTTTAACCTCTATTTTGTTTCGCTTTTCAGAATCAAGATGGTGCGGATGACAACCAATGATGACCTCTTCGACACGCCATCTGGATTCTGAAAAGGGAGAAAATTTGGACCTTCCATGCCCTCAAGATTAATAGCATAAATTCCAGTCAAACAAAGAAAAAAAAAAAAAAGAAATGACCCAAGAGCTCACAGAAAACTCACCTGCTGCAGCCTTGTGGTAGAAGCTTTCTTGTGCCTGGGCTATCATGAGTGCTTGCAGTGCTGAGACCGTGTCAGCCTCAAGGTCTGGCGTAAGGTCGTGATGAACAGACGGTGCAGCGTGCTTGAGCTGCTGAAAGATGCCTCCCGCTTGCTACATGGGGCAGAAAAGAAGACATAGAGTGAATGACAAGTTAATAACTTATTCCACATCAGTCCGGGTTTGTCTCGCAGTTTTGATATGCAAACGCTCCGAGGACAAAACACAAGCTTTTAGGATCGACAACTCTCAAGCAAAAACAATCCCTTATCTTGCAGAGATTTGCAGAAAAGAGAATGAGCTGTATCATGCACCTCTATGAAACAGAGACTCCCCCATCTCAAGTGACTGGAAGGAAATGGATGTGTATGAGTTCATAAATTTCAGCATTAAACTATTAAATAATTTCGAAAAGGCATTGTTCTAGTGATACATACAAATCAGTGAATACTTGAAGGATCTGCACCATGTTTTTACCACATTCATTAATGAATAATAAAAAAGAAATAATGCAGTTAAACAACAAACTTTTTTTTGCAACACTTTTTTTTTTTAAGTTGCAGTTATTGAATTTGGTGGGCTTGTTGGGATTGGGGGAAAACATGCATACCATCATTTTAAATGTGCATTCAACATTGTCTTTGAGTCTCCTGTAAGCTTAATTCTAAAGGCTACTGACATGACATGGTACCAAAAGGCATACTCTACAATGGACGGGATTTGTCTCCTTTCCACCCAACAGTCTTGAAAGTGACATTAGTCACCAAGGAAAAATGTGTTCAGCGTGAGAAACAACTAAAGTATAATGTGCACCCATTTATCATATTCATAATACACGTGCTACTAAGGCAGAGAGCTACTCGTACGCTCAGTAAATAAAACATTAAATAAATAACACATACGAGCCTACTACCATTCCGTCTTTCATACACCAGTCCAAATTTAAGGCCCACCTTTTCCTGAACGGTTATAACTTAGTCTACAACAGTTACCTATTGCAACTATAAGTTAGAACATTTTTTGCTGAAAGAGGTGTCTCAACACAGGCAATGCCTGGGCAACAGATGAAAGGTAGAAAAATAAATGAAATGAGAACAATATCGGAAAAGCTTCAGTAATCCTAAAATGAAATCACCTGGAAATATCTGGCACAAGTCTTCAGGGCCTCGTCATCACTGATGTCAGTACATATGCCAGATGCAATCTGAGACTGCATGGCAGCAATGTTGAACAGGATGCAGGTCTTCTCATAAGACAGAGAGGTCAATGCTGAGGACAAAATGACAGAAAAGTTACATTAGAGATGAGACCACTTGCCAAAGCCTGGAAGGTGGGATATCAGAAACAGCAGAGATATATCTCGTGGGTCACCTATAATAAGCACTGCAAACAGAGGCTCAAGGATCTTAAAGGAGCTGTGCAACGATTTGAACGTTGAAAGAATTGGCATATTCTGCTTTTGATATTGTTCACCTTGTCACAAGTGACAGAAAACACACCTCCTCTCATCGAAATGTTGCGATTCCGCCGCGTAATAGCGAGGCAAAACTTAGAATATTCCCCGACCTGCAGCCGCGAGTGGCGGCCATGAGAAACAAGCGGCGTGACGTCAATGGGGAATCTTGTAGAAAGATACTAAGTTGTGCGAATACCTGCTCGATAAAAGGTAACTTTTCCATAAATCTTGTCGTTCCAACATATATATAAATGCGTCAAAAACCTGGTATCGAGAAAACTTTTATTATACAGAGTTTTAGTGGCGCCATCTATCCTAGGTCCACAAAACCGCGAACAGCCGCCAGAAGCCAGAGAGGGAGGGGGACAGCGCCGTACGGGAAAGGACGAGTATGGCCGGACCCGGATGAGACTTTCCTGCTTTCATCGTATTGTTCGTATGGCGCCCGCCAGCACGTGGTCACGTGGTCGCGAGCGGATGAGTTCTCGCTGCTCACTGATGGCTCTAAAAAGAGAACTTTACCGGATACCTGCGCCTACCCCAGCAACGTCACTGCGCACGTGACCCGGGAAAACGACATACGAGTTGAGAGGCGTCAAAAACCTGGATCTTTTTCGTTTTTTTAAATAAAAACTAGGGTATCCAGGCAAAATCTGTTTTCTGTAGTTCACTTCAGAAGTGTCAGGCAGCAACTTCCACAATAATTTAAGCAAAGCCCTGAAATTGTTGCACAGCTCCTTTAAAGGGATGCTGAACCGAAATCTATATTCCACAAAACACGCAGCAAAAGCGTGCACAGGGATACTACGAACACCAAAACATCACTCATACAGCGATATCTCGAACGGATGACTGTATTTTTCGAAAAAAGGAGGCGCATTTGACTGATATGTTTACATCTTGTTTCTACGAGAGGGAGAGGGAACGGCCTTGCGTCTTCTCCGCCTCGCAGCCTTGAGGGGGCGAAGCGAAAAGAGGAGGAAACAAGATATCTTCACGTCACGCGCCTCGTCGGCCTGGTTCAATCTCTATCTCTTTTCCCAAAAAGTATGGCCGTCCATTCGAGATATCGCCTAACGAATAGCATTGTGGGTATTGTAGCGTCCCGCCTACATCTCCTGCATTGTTTTTTGAAATCCGAATTTCGGTTCACCATCCCTTTAAGGGGCTTTACATTACGGGCATTCATGCAAGGAGTTTAGGCTCATGGTCCTAACTTTATGCTTGATTGGAAGAGAAGAAATCCTATGTAATAAGATGTCTTGATGACACCATTTGTCAGCAAGACTTCATTTAGCAATATTCCAGTGAAAGAAGCAAAAAATGCAAAACATATGCCCTCCCCCCCAATGCGAAGTCCCCTCTTTTTATTGTTTGTAAAATTAAACTTTGCTAGAGTACACAAGGTAAACATAAGTCTAAACTTGTATGTACCCATGCAAACTCCAAAACAAAAGTTGGTGTGGGTGCTAGTTTGGTGTTTTATGATGCCCTGATTAATACAAAAGCGGTACCTAGTGGTCTATTTCTTTTTTCTTGCGTTCCATTTTCAACTAAGAACATAAAGTCATGTTGCACCTTACCTAAACACTTCTGTATTTTACTGAAACAGTTTTGAGAAATAATTGCTCGGATAATTGGGTTACGCTACAGGTGCAGAAAATGCTTGTTCCCAGCCAAAGAGCCACCCAGTTTAGCAAAGATGTCAACCAGGTGTAACATGACCCTCAAAAAGAAGCATGAAACCAGTTTGACTCTGGAAATTCTGTAATCTATGCAGTACTAAGCAAGACATCCGCAACCCAAGGGTAACAAATGTAGTCTATCAATTTCCAATAACCTCTTACTCAAGCTCGCTGATCCACCAAAGAAGCTGCCCCTGTCAAAGGCATCCTTCCACTTAAATGGAATCTGAGAAACAAAGAAAGGAACTTTTTAACATGAGGCATATCTACTCAACTTTTCAACTGCAGTCAACAAACAGGGCAGGGGTGCAATTAACTTTACTACCCATAAACTGGATACAATTTAAACAAGCAGGTCAACTTTTCAAGGTCTATTTATGAGCACTTCCTGTCATAAATGCCCCTCCAAGACTACTATGAGTCAGAAAGTGGATGCAACATATATTCGAAATGCTTTTGTTCAAGTGGCAATGTTGACACCCTGTACTACATGCAGACCTAGAGCTCGAGGTTACAAAAAGTCACTTCCTCACGTAAGCCGTTTAAGTGGACCAGTGGATATCATGCAAAAGAGCGTCACAGAAAGAGGAAAAACCAGCAACATTCAGGTATTATCTGGCGGTTGCAACGGAGAGCATGCTGTGTGTAAGCATGCGGTTGATGACAAGTTTAATCTTGTTGAAACGTTACCTGTATGTCAGTCGGTGGACATTTCGATTCGAGAGACGTCAGCTGGTCATAATACCTGCAATCAAGGAGCAGTGTTCGTACACGGTAAACGCAATCACGGTGATATACTCTATACATTAATGATATGAAATAAATTGGACGCGTCTGTGGTAGCGGAAACGCTCGCTTAATAGCCTAGAACTAGCCAGCCACCCTTTCTTTGGTAAGAATATTCTAATGAGCCTCATAAGACGGTAGAACACACCCTTCAGCAATACCCGCCAGCTACGGACCGCTTGATATATTGAACATTTAGATGTAATCATATCGGCTAACTGAGCTCAAAACGACATAAGCTATGTAAGAAGTAACATATAAAAAGATGTAATACCTGTACATGATGTCAAGGGAGCTTTCGTGCTTATCCAAAGTTCTCCATGTAGCGTTCATGCGTAGCTTGTTGAGTTCCGCCAGCGCATCGCCACAACTGCACTGGTCGTCGGCAGTCGAGTAGTAGGCGGAAATAACATGGCTAAGCGGTTTAATAAGATCGATTTCGGAGGTTTTCTTGAGCGGAATCGCTATGTAAACCGCCATTTCAACAACTGCAACCGCCTTACCTGCCCCCTTCGGCAGACAGACTACATGTGAGTCACACACCCGGAGATAAGCGAGAACGGCCGAAACGGCCAAAACCGCCAAAACCTTTCCTGAGAAAGCAACGAGCATCCGATTAACAAACAACAAATTAAAGCTGCTCAATAAATGTTTAAGAAACATTAAGAAAGCAAACTCCGACAAAAAATGAAAAGAAAGCGCCTATGAATCTTGCAATTTTTTTTGTAACGTCTGGAAATTTGCTTTCGGTTTCAGTTGACGGCATTTAGCGTGATTAGCAAACTGTACAGATAACATGGCAACGCTGGTTTCATCATTTTCGCGCTTAATTTTTGTTCGCGCGTCAAATCGTCTATCTTTCGACTTTTTTGTCGCGATGGGAAAGCCGGCGTCGCAGAGGGCTACGAAGAGAAAGCGTAACGATGAAGAGGACCAAGCGAAGCAGTCGGAAGCATCAAACAAAGATGCGGAGGGCACACCGTCATCCGACAAAGGCGACGAGTCCGATAAAGCCGGTTCGAAGCACCCAAGGCCTGACAGTGCGCATGGCGACACAAACGATGAGGCACACGATCAGAAGCCGTGGAATTTAAAGATATGTTCGTGGAATGTGAACGGAGTCCGAGCTTGGCTGGGAAAAGAGGGTCTGTCGTTCCTAGAAAAGGAGAACCCAGACGTGTTTGCCATACAAGAAACCAAATGTTCCGATGCGAAGTTGCCCAAAGAAGTCAAAGATGTGAAGGGGTATCATTCCTACTTTCTCGCCGGCGATCAGGAAGGGTACTCTGGGGTGGGCCTTCTGTCGAAGATCAAGCCGCTCGACGTAAAGTACGGCATCGGAAAAGAGGAGCACGACAAAGAAGGCAGGGTGATTACCGCAGAGTTCGACAAGTTTTACCTCGTCGCTACGTATGTACCGAACGCTGGTAAGAAGTTGGTGCGGCTGAACTATCGCATGGATTGGGACAAGGACTTCCGCGCCTACCTGAAGGAGCTGGAAACCAAAAAGCCGATTGTGTTGTGCGGCGATCTGAACGTCGCGCATCAAGAAATCGACATTGCCAATCCCAAAGGCAACAAGAGAAATGCCGGCTTCTCGCAGGAGGAAAGGGACGGCTTCACCACACTGCTCGACAGTGGCTTTCTGGACTCCTTCAGGCACCTCTACCCCAAAAAGGAGAAGGCCTATACCTTCTGGACCTACATGATGAATGCTCGAGCCAAAGACGTGGGATGGAGGCTGGACTACTTTGTCCTCTCCAAGTCGCTCGAAAAGAACCTCAGCAACAGCCTCATACTAAAAGATGTAATGGGCAGCGATCACTGTCCCATAACGCTGCTGCTCAACTTGTAAAAAAAAAAAAAAATTGTGGTTTTTTGATAGTTAATAAATGTTTGTAATCCTGACTCAGTGAAATTTTATAAAATTGCTACTTTTTGTAAGAAAAATGAAAGCAACACATGAAAGGGGAATGAAAAGAAACATGCATGCATGCATATGGCCCCATACACCCATATTTCTGGTGGCAGCCAGTTCATCAAACGACATTTCAGACACGCAAATTTGCTTTTTTCTGCAATAAGGCTGGTTCACACTGCCCCATTTTCTTACGTTACGTTACATTCCGAAATATTGCGTTGAAGTCACCGGGATTTGTGCTTCATATTGAGAGGCTACCAGTTCAAGGAGAAAGCATGACACAGACCTTCGAGACATTAATGTTTCGGTGACTTGAACGTAACACAACGTAAGAAAATGGGGCAGTGTGAATGAGCCTGTAAGCTGCACGACACTTGCCACGAACTGGCATGTACGGATCGGTCAGGTGGGTTACCATTTTTGTAACGAGCCACCGCAGACTGTCGTCGCAAAGCGGCGTGAACGTAGACGGGGGGCAAGTTAACGCGCACCCCAGTGATCCACACATGACGAAATGTCCATACAGCGTGCGATTCGCGTAAAAATTTGTGGACAAAACGTGTGTCCATGAAAAGCTGTCCACGAAACGAGTTTCGATGAAATAATAGGGACCCCATATTTCCCCTACTTGCCTTTTAGTGTAAATTTCTTTATGCCAACATACTCATGCTGCAGGACCCAATTAACCTGGGCCCAATCCCAACCTCTGCCTTCTTGGTCTGTATGAGCATTTGACGCCAGGCACTGGCTAAATTTCTCATCTACAGGGGAGACAGCACATGCCCGTTATGGCCAACTAATATCCCACTGCCCAAACCAGCCTCAAACATGCAGCCCGCAAGTGCCCCGTGGGCCACGACTGCAAGCTCCTGTTTGCCTCGAGCGCTGCATGCACCACAAATAATGACCTCTTGTGGTCCATCAATCTTCATTGGAATCTTAGCTCGAGCTCCTCTTACGGCGTTTTAACATTTGGAACTAATTAATTTCTTTTAGATTGAGGATTGTTTCCTCTTACATACAGAGAAGGCAAAAGTATTTTCTTATAATTCTGCTATAAATATCACCAGGAAAGCAACCATATGAAAAGATTTCTTTCGAATCATCGGGCTCGCATAATTCCCGAGTGAATCGAGCGACAGAGTAACGTTTTTGTGCATGGTTTCTAGTTACATATTAAAAAATTCCAGTGCAATGGCAGGACGGTGATATTTTAAATCTTGTAATCATGCTAGTACAAAGCCAAAGTAGGTGTCCCCCCAAAAAATATACAGGGTTTTTTTCACCGCGAAAATCAACAAGGCATCGCCGAACGTTCATTCTTTGCCCAAAGGCCCAGATGCCAAAGTTTCAGCGCAAACTGATATTTTATTCAAGATAGAAATTATTTTCTGATAATGTCAATGGGAAAATGATAGCCGACGGAGCTCTCGAATACATGGTGCGAAAATGGGCCCCATTTTCTCATTGAAATATTCATAAAATCACTTATAACTTTTAAAAAAAAATTTGGGTTCGTGCCGAAACTTCGGCATCCGATTCTGACCTCTAGCACTACCTTTCGGCGGAGAATGAGCGTTTGGCCGTGCATAGTTTATTTTTGTGGTGAAAAAAACCAATGCCCTGAAGTTCTATGAAGAAATCAAAGCTATAAAGACGGCACTGGCAAAACAGCCATTTTACAAAAAGCTAACTTCTCCTTTAGAAAATCTCTGGGTGTCGTTGAAAGACACGGTTGCTTGGCAACGTAGAAACACCATCAATATATTTTGTATTTTTTGCCCTCAAACATGTTAACCCCCCCACCCTATTCTGGCCATAAACATTTCGGGGGTGGGCTATCTGTTCTCTACACTCAGATGAGTTTGAGACCCTTGGCCTAACAAAGACGGCAGTTTTTTTTACAGTAACAGCCGCTATGGGCTTTTCCCACCAATCGAAAGGCCGTCCATTGTTGACGTAGCTGTTGTTAATGTTGTAGTTGAAGTCGTAGTAGGGCGCAGGGTGTCTGTCGTCTATGCTGCTAAATCCTAAAAAAATATTGCCCACCGCTTGCGGAATTCAATCCTGGGTTCGCAGCGTGTAAAACTGGTGCCTTGCTACTGAGCTATGCCACAGCTTTGACTAGGTTGCCTCAATGCCATTCTTTGTAGTACCCGATACCAACTACACCATGCCCTCTAAAAAAATACAAAGAAATAGCTGATAACAAAGAGACGCCGTAACACTTAATGCCAATAGCTTGTGACGGAGCTTTCACATGCCCCAGAACAAAAAAGAAACAAGTGTCCATAACACAATACAAATGCCCCAAGGTGCATGAACGCAATGCTGCTGCCGAACGATTTTGCCAATGTGTCACTATTGTTGAGACTGTACTGCAATTAATACAGGATCTCCTACAATGCCCTAGTAAGGGCGATGTAGGTATATGTATAAATAGACAGCTAACTTTTTTATAACACACACACACGTCTGAATCTTTACTTGTTGCTCTGTTCAAGCTATGATATTAATAAACATAAGCCAACACTTGTCAAATTTGCCCAGACAAAGCCCATATGACAAAGCATTAAACAGCCCTTGCCTATGAAAACAGAGGAGACACAATAACAATCACTTTTTATTGGAACAAATAATCACCATGATGATGAGGTTAGAGAACACACGAGAAAACAAAGCTAACAAGTATTTGGTGATTTTCCTGCAAAAAGCACATTTTGCCAAGCAACAACATTTGGACATACTAGATTAGATGATACTGCTGCTACAAGAGAAAGTTTGCAAATAAATATGCAACTTTTTATTAAAGCAGCGTAACTGATATAAGCATTCAAACATCCTTACCCGGTAATACATAGGAAGGAAGTAATTCCAAATCAAGGCAACTGGGGGCATACAGTCCAACATGTGTGTTGGCTCTGGTCCTGTTATAGGTAAGACAGCACTTGAGGTAAACGGGTGTAAGTAGCAATGGTTTTTTTTCACAGAATTCTCGCAAAAAAAATGGAAAAATATATATTTTTTCCTGCATACTAGTTTTGCAAGGGATGGAACACTTCAAAGGTTTTGGAAACTTAAATATTCACTTCATACAAGGCAACTGAGAAATGACACTTCCTCAAACCAAGACACCGACAAGACAGTCCACAATGAAATTGCTTTCCATGTCGCATTACTGATTGGCTGGGCATCAAAAAGTGGCTCTCAGTTTGCCACAAGCCTTTAACATTTTGGTACTCCACGTATGGAAATGCTGCTGCACCTTGCCGTGGTTCTCATAGTTCCCTTGGTGTACAGTGGGGCAGATAAGACAAGTAAGTGCTCTTTTACTTACACTGTCGACACTGTGAATGCCTTGGGAACCACATCAAACCCTGGACATGCCACCACATTTGGCTATTTCAACCCTAGATAACCTGCGAGCCAAACCGAAATGCTTCTGGGTTCTTGCACCTCACAATATGAAACTTAGTGGCACGTTGCCAAGGCACGAGGAAAACATTAGTCTTGACAACTCCCAAGCCCCCCCCCCCCCCCCCTGGCCATTGGCATGAAATAGCCAGCAGTGGCATGTACTGGCCGAGTTTTAAGACAAATGCATAAGGTGGGAAGTGGAAGTGAGTGGCTTCTTTACTTTGAATAGCTCATTTATTTACATTCAGACTCTGCTTCTTTCGAAGCTCATTCTCGACATTAAATTAACTAACTCGCATCTATGAAATATTTGACGCCTGCAGAAAAGCCCCAGGTAATTTCAGAGGAGGAAGCTGCATTGAAAGGATGCAAGGTATACAAGCCTTTACAGCAGAGACTAGAGACAATGCATAGAACACAGCCATTGCATTTGCCTTCAGAGAGCTGTCGCTGCAAACAATATTCTGATGCAGAGACATGAGCAGAGCTGGGCAAAGGCAAAACTCAAGTCATATCACCCATGTTGTTGGAGATCATGTGCATGGCTTCAATATGCTATCTCTATGCATATATAATACATATTAAACCTTAATGAGCTACTATACACCCTATAACCTATAAGTCTGTCTGTTAGACAAGTATATATAACAAAAAAATAAACAGCATTAATTAAGGAGGCCTACAATGTCTAAAAATACTTTGAATGCAAGCTGTTACATATGCTCGCTAATTTGTGCTTCAACCAAGACTTCAACACTGAAGCAGCTGCAGTAGCCTGGGAGGTGCAAGGCGACCTAAAGCGGCTTCTTCATGGACTCTTCAATTTTTTGCGCAAGGTGCTGAAAAAAAAAAGAAAACAGGAGGTGAGATTATTTTTAGAATCATGTTATACAGTAGCAAACATTCCAAACTAATTTAAAAGACACTACCCAAAAGGGTGCACTTTTGAACCTACAGCTTTATATAAATGAAATATACAGTATATTCTGGCAGGTCTGAGGCAGAATGCAGTGCAAAGTTTTATCTGTGTACATAAATTGTGAAAAAAATTATAGTAGTTTTTATCGGGAACATACTGGCATTGTTTAGGAAACTATAATTAGAAAACTAATGTAATACCCCACATTTTTCTTTACTAGATACGCAGCAAAATGCCGGGAGAGTTCAAATATAAAAACAAAATTCCCAAAAAGTAATCTATTTTATGTTAACATAGTGCTGAAAAATCAAATAATGTTTTTGCCTTTTATGCCTATCTTAACATCTTTAAAAAACACAACATCCACAAACCAAAAAAAGAAAAAAAAATGCCACAGTTGCCTTGCCCATTAAATTCCAGTTTGGAAAAACTACGAGTCAGCCTTTCCTTTTGTCACGTAACCAAACAATAGCTTTCCTAAAATGAAATTTATGCCTAAAAGTGCAGTAGAGAAAAACACGTTCAAAGTGCTCAAACCTCTGCCTTTTCCTTAGCATTGGCAGACCGAAAATAATCTATGAAAAATAACTAGTATGCAGTGTAAACAAATTTAACTTTCTGGGAATACTCTGCAGATGTTGGTGGATGTAAATATGGCATTTTTCAAAATCAACTTATTTTGCAGAATTTTTTTCTTCTGGGTAGTGTCCCTCTTTAATAAAAATACAAAGTCATGCATTGTAGAGTTCAACACACTCGTGGCCAGCATAATTAGTAAACCTACACATGTACCAGTTGCTAAAAGCCAGCGGCACAGGAAAGCTTCCCCGCCAAGTTGGGTTATGTGAACGTCTCTGGTTCCCCTTCCCCGTCTTGTAGCAGTGTCATGCCGCCTTTTTGCTTTTGGCAGAAACTGTGGTGGCCAGAGGATGCTGGGCATGTGCCCTTGCTGCCCAAGCAGACAATGTAACGCATCTGGCAGTTGACATTAGCAAAACCGAGGTGGCAGCACTGTACTTTGTTCACCCCTAAGCTGAGACCGCGGTGGACGCTACAAGCGGGTTTGGGCGAGTCGTACGTCGATTCTTCGCCACATGAACACGCTCTCGCCCACATCCTAGCACGGAGAGCAGGGTCAGGTGATGAAAGCGAGGCGGCTGATTGGTCCGGCGAGAGCGTATCTCCCACCGCAGTCTCAGTTTAGGAATATCTGGAGTATAGCAACTGTTGGCCAGTGTTACAACAAGAAAGGAAAACATGCATGCACATACTTATGCATGCGAACGATTTTTATATCCTTGTAAAGCACAAGGACTCCCAGTTCCCTTGCACGAGGTAATGCGAAGGAACATGAGAACAGTGCTAAGGTAGATTACCGCTTCAGGCCATGCAAAGCGGCATCCTCAACTATGTCACCGAAGATGTCGCTTCATTGCAGTGCACTTGGGCTGCATAGGAAGCGGGACACAAGTGCACTGCAGCAAGCAAATAAAAAAAATTTTGAAGTATTCTAAATTTTGAATTAGCAGTTTGAACTATAAACCCCGCCATTGACCAGATGTCTCGTCTCTGACTACCAATCATAGCAACAATATTTCTTCTGACCATCAAATCGAATACTGCACTGATACTCTAATTGGCATACAATGGTTTCGGATATCTCTACGTCCACCAATGTCTCCCAGTCACCTTGGCTTGGGCAAGGTCCTTGATATGGATGAGCTTCCCGGTCTCCTTAGCGCCAAAGAGGGCCTTCTTCTTGGGCTCCCTGAGCAAGATCTTGATACCCTTCTCTGTCAGCGTGGGTGGCGCCTTCACTTCGTCCCACGAGTAGGTCCACTCCGTGTTCCACTGGCCAAACACGTCACCCCTCGTGATGAACATCAGTCGCCTGTTGAAAAGTAGGAAGGAAACGAGGGGCCCACCATTAGGGTAACCTCAGTGCTGGTTTCTGTACAAATCACAGAAAAACAGCAATTGGTGCACGAGTCAGTAACATCATAAAAGTTCCACAAGACAAGTTGGTGTGTGATACAAAACCTCTGAGCCGTTCTGCATACACAGACACAAACAGATGACTCCCTTTTTGCCAATCATCACTGCTGATTAATACAAAAGGTTTTTATTAGGATAGGGAGAATACTAAAATTTTTGAAAAGTAGATTTCAATAACACGCTATTCGATATTCACTTCGATATAAACTGCAATAAAGTAATGTTGCATTAGTATGGACCCTGTTTAATACGGATACCCTGGTATATAGACACCATTTTCGGGGACCAACTGGGAAAATACATGCATTCTTGTCTCGTTATTATAGGCAACTCACATTATGGATGATTTTTTGGGGGAACAAAGGTGTCCATACTAACGAGACCTCATTGTATTCATATCATTTTTCAAAAATCGCGGCGGTTTAGTCTTGTTGAGTGCGCTTCCCACCGAGCGCGGGTGCAGTGCGGAGAAGTGGGACCCGCAGAGCTCATTTCTGCCTGTGTTGCTTCTCTGCAGTGCACAAGTGTTCGGTAAGAAGCGTGATCAAATGGCTGTCCCACCGCAGACAACATTTCCGAAAATACAAATTTCACAGTCACATGCTTGGAAGAAACACACTTCCAAAGTGGGATATGCATGTGCGCACCTGGTTTATTTAAGAAGAGATGAAAACTTTGAGAATGTTGATAGCTATATTGCAGTTAAATTTGCAAAATTAAACTGTGATTATAGTATGTGTTAGGCAGAGATGACTGTACAACTTCTGTGAACCATTCATGATAGCCTTTCTTTTTTTTTTTTCGAATTCGAGCTTGAAAAAAATATATATGCATATAGCAAGAAGATTTATAGATCCTCTTGACAACTTACAATCATAACCAGTGTTTTCTTTTTTTTTATTTCTACAAATTTGAGACTGGAAAAGGGATATTGGTATATAGCAAGACTTATAAATCCTCCCAATTAGGTATAACTGGTCATCTCTATAGGTTTAGCTTCATGTCAAATATATTTGCCATCCCAATGTAGCCAATGGACTTTCTGAGGCCACAGTCCATAAGTGGGGGGATCGGTGGTCGAGTGGGCTAGAGCACACCAGCCTGGAGCACATGGAGCAAAAGCTCGCGTTGCAGAACCCAGGGATCTTGGGTTCAATCCCAACCCTTGCCCGTTTCGATCTGGATGAGCATCGTACCGGCGTGCAGTCATGTATCACTATTGCGTGATGCACGTTAAGACCTCAGGCTAGCGGTTGTACTGCACTGGCTAAATTGCTCATCTACACTACAGCTGGGAGACTCGTCGCCCGTTGAGGCAGACCAAGTTCTAGGCTGCATAAACATACACACAACCCAACCAACCAATGTAGGCATTGTACTTTCTGAGGCCACAGTCCATAAGTAGTAATACAGTTAGATTAAAATTCAATTTTGTTTAGAGGTGGACAAGTGAAAACTTAGGAACAACTTTTACGAGTTTAGATAGGTTTTTGTTTAAGCATGGTGCAGTAGTGAAAGGCTTGGAGAAAATATTCTATTAAAAATTATTTGGCCAAAGCCACTACTCACTTCAAATTCGCTTCAAACTCATAATTCACCATTTGCACATGCCTAGTTTTCATGCCCTGGGGCATAAAGTCACTCAATTTCAGTTACTTTTTACCCTCAACTACGCATGTCTCGCCTCTTGTGGCATTTCTTACACGGTCCAGGGTTACTCCCAAGACTCCAGGAGCGTTCAGGTATCTCGGGCATGTAAAAAATATATTTCAATTAGCGTATTTATTAAAATATAAGTCAACCTTTTTCTTTTTTCGGAAATTTTGTCAAAAAGTAAGGGTTGACCTATAATCGTGACCAAGAAAATTTCTACCTACATTCGTAACCAAATTTCTACCTACATTCGTAACCAAATCGTAACCATTACCGAGCACATGAGGCTATAGAGTCACCAAGCCAACGTCGCCGTAGCACCGCACTACTTCTTTCAGAAAGCTCTTGGTAAGCAAAAACAACCGAAACAGCAGCAGCCGGCGGCACGGCGTGGCCACCGCTGGCACACATCTCTCGAGCATCAGGTTTGGCCGACACGCCATGCGACATGCTGCGCACCTTGCTCCAGTGCCTTGCCCTCACCCCTCCCCCACTCTCCCCTTCGCAGACGCGCAGCAAAACAAAATACGGAGGTTATTTTTGCTTCTTGTTGCTCATGATGGCTCACGGCGGCTTGCAGCGTTGCTCACGTCTTTGCATGTGATCTTTTGTCGCTTCGCCCATCTCCACCTTGAATTTTTTTTCTTTATTCTCGGCGAGTTTAACATAACGACATCGACTGATATTCGTGGTCGTATATAGTGAAGTAATACGGTAGCCAGCTTAATCTAGAGGTGTTGCCTAGAAATTAATGTGGAATTTTTCCATTTCATTCATGTATCTGCATGGTGCAACACCATTGGCATGAACACATCACTGCTGCTTTTTCACAATTTAGTCAGAATGGGTACCGATGAACATCAGGCTGTATTTTAACTAGGCGTAGATTTCACAACAACCTTTATAAAAAAAAAAGTCAATTACTGTAGTCACTCAAATCTACCACAAGTTTTACAGAGAAGCTGCTTATGGCTTAGAATTTCATGCATTTTTGGTGTGTGTCAACAAAAACTCAGGACACTGTCTATGCTCGGACCATCCCCTCTTTGTCGTCGTTCCAAGCACTTGCGTGCCTAGTTTCCTTTCCTTCCCCGGGGTGGCGGTCCCGTCGTGCTTGTCTAGTTTCCTCCGGCTCCTCGGTGCAGCGATGGTCCTCGACACGTGTGTGCATACTTTTCGTCACGCAGACCACCGATCAAGAAAATAAATGTGTTTGTACTTTTGTTCAAAGTTCTGTGTCACATGTACTGTGTGCTAAACAGCTTTGCTGGTCATCTACCTTTACAAAGTGGAATGGCTCATGATGTTTTAAAATAACTTTTGTTACCTGGTGTTAACCCTCGTGTTGTAATCCAGTGACTGTTAAATTGGCCTCAACAGTGTTGCTATTTTAAAATAACGGTGATTTTTAGAGTTTGAGTGGTTTTCAAACTTGTCCAGCTCGCTTGCACCTTTGTATTTAATTGCATTATAATTATAACATATACCTATATGACTGCTTAGAATAAAATCGATCGAATCCAGATACAAATCCATCGAAACATTGTAAGACATTGTCCTTTCTTCTGGTCATTTTAGAGAATTTGTTCCACCTTTCACGCTTCTGCGACGTCCAGCCTTTCGTGCTTCTGTGGCGTAGGACATTTTTGCACCAAATCAATGGCACCGCGACGTGCGAAGTACGATGCCAGATTCAAGAACAAGGCAATTTTGATGGCCGAAGAGCTGGGAAACTTCGCCGCTGCTTGCCGGCTGGACGAGAATGAATCCACAATTTACAGATAGGGGCGCCAGCGGGACGTGCTTTTCAAATGTGAACCAGGCCGGAAAGTCTTCCGTGGATATCATCATGACCTTCACTGGGATTTAAAAAATAATTTTTCGGAGTTCATCATTAAAAAGGATTGGGCCTAGACGCCTTCAGAAAGAGTCAAGCAACCGTGCCATTAAAAATCAATGACTGGGTTCTGCATGGCATAATTGTTTGTGCGTTTAAAAAGTGTTCGATATTGAATGACCTCAACGGTGTGAAGAAAGACATCATCCGGGAAGAAGACAGCAAGAACTCCACCTCCGACGGCGGCAATAACGACAATGACGACGAGGGACGGCAAAATCGTTTTCCCAAAACTGGCCGGTGTTGGCCACCATTCTCAAGATAAAGGTACTCTTTTATTCCTCGGTCGATCTTGCGTTACAAGTGGTTTTATTTCTTTTTTCGTGGGGCATAATGAAGAGTTGCCTCTCACGTTACAATGGTGGTCGCACTAGAATGGAGTAAATAGGGTAGTTTGCTTTTGCGTGCTCCAACCACCGGTATGTATTTAATTTATAGTGTAAATCAATGTTATTTAAAAAAAAAAAAAAGAAAGACTGGATAGCTCAGTTGGCAAAGCACTCGACTCGCAATCTCGAGGTGGCGAGTTCAAACCTTGCAGGGGGACTGAAGCCTTTCTATAGGGTTCCCTATGGGCGTGACGCTCTTCGGTGTCGGTTTTTTGTTACAGCTGGCTGTTACAGTTGGCTGCTACGGCTGGCTATTACAGCCAAACGGTACAGAACTCCATGAAAACTGGCTGATAAAACACATTCTGCGTCTAAAACAAGTGTCCACTTAGGTGCCCAGTCACCTGATACACCGAGAGCTGCACTAATCCCAGTTACTTGTCATACAGGAAAACCAACGTCAATGATGCCTCAACCACACTGACACACAGCAAGATGTTCAAGTGAGGTAACTTATTGGTTTGGTGGGGGCCAAGAGCTCAAAATCTGCAGCACAGTGGCACATGGTGCTACTGGTTACATCTCTTTTATAAAAGGCACACAGCACAACATCTGCTACAAAATCAGATGGACCAAAAAAAAACAATGACATCTTCTTCAGCAGTAGTTTGACCATAATGATAGAAGCTACTAGTTGGGTTGAATTGTAACCTGACCTGTTTCAGTTACCTACCCCCCGCAAAGGAACGTAGATAACATTCTAAAAACATCTTTCATGGTGGCACAAGCTTAAAGGAATACTGAACCAAAATTTCGAGCACACAAAACAAGGCTGGACTGATTGGCGGGACGCTGAAAAACCCCAAAAAATCGCTGATATAGCGATATCTCCAACGGATCGCCATATTTTCGTAAAAGAAGTGCGGTGATTGAACACGGCCGACAAGGCAACGTTCCGTCGAGCTGGTGAACCGAAGCGAGGAGGAGAGAAGCGAGGTCGCTTCCCCTCATTCTCGAATTCTCCAGGAGGACAATGACGTCAAAGACCTCGCTTGATCGCGCCCTTCTTTTCCAGAAATATGCTCATCCGTCTGAGATATCGAAGTATGCGTGATGTATTGGAGTTCGTAGCGTCCCGTTCAAAGCTTCTGCGGCCTTATTTTGCGAAATTCAAATTTCGATTCAGTATCCCTTTAAGGGGGGACACACTACCCAGAAAAAATAATTTCTGCAAAAAAAAGTTGATTTTAAAAAATGTCATATTTACATCCACCAACATCTAGAGAGTATTCCCAGAAAGTTTCATTATTTTACACTGCATAGTTAATTTTTTATAAATTATTTTCGGTCCTCCGATGCTAAAGAAAAGGTAGAGAAAGGTTGGAGCACTTTGAACGCATTGTTCTCCATTCCACTTTTTGGCATAAATTTCACTTTAGGAAAACTATCGTTTTGTTATTACGCAACTTGGATTCATTTTTATGAATTTTTCTGGGGTGAAATTTTAAGGGGAAGATAACTATGAGCTTGTATTTTTTATTTTTGTCATTTTTCATGCTCAAGAACTAAAAGTTTGGACAAAGGATGGAAATCTAAAAAACTGTATTTGTGTTTATGTGGCTTTTTTGTTATGAAAGATGGTATAACAGAGAAATATAGCTCCATAGTTATCTACTTTGAACTGTCCTAATGCAATATAACACATGAAAACAACAAATTTATAAGTAATTTGAAAACGATAGTTTTCCTAAGCAGACACGCCCACTTTCGTCTTTGAACGTCTGCAATTTTTTTTGTACTACACCCAGGTTAACAAAAATTGGCAGAAATGTTCTCAACATCAACAGAAACAAGCAGTGTAAATATAATTTAAATCTGACAAGTGGTTAAAAAATTTACTCTTTTGGGTAGTGTCCCCCCTTAACAGAAGGCACAAAAAAGCAGCATAATGCAGAAAGGGGGCAGATTACTGTATTTACTCGAGTAATAGCTACACTGTCTATGAAGAAAACCTGAGGGTTTGCTTTTCCGCGGAGCACGCAGATTGCCAATTACTGCGATCGACAGCATGATTCCAGCTGTTTATAAGACTGAGATAGCGTCTTCGTGCAAAGATACCATCTGTGAAGATTGCATTTGTATGGAGAATTGTGTTCTCGATCTGGTTATTTGCTATGTTATTTATGCGTAATGCAATGATTATCTGTATATGTGTTCTGTGAGAAAGTAGACGCAAGAACCTTGTTCATAAATAGTGCGGCTATTGCTCGAGTAAATACGGTACTTATTGGAGACCCAATAAAATGCCAAAAAGAGATTAAAGAATTTCTTAAATGACATCTAAGGACCAAGACAGTCTCCCAAGGAAATTTTAAGGTGATATCAACCAGTCCCTTCTGTGCATGCTAAACGAGTGTAAAACAATGTGAATCTTGGCTGTGTTCAGTGCAATCTACAAAATCAAAGAAAGTGCCAAGAAAGTGAAGTTGCATAAAGATGCAGGTCAGCTGGCAAATCAACTCCATAGTCATCAGAGTCGAAAAAAAAAAAAAAGTGGTAACACAGATGAAGCCACGTTAGAAGCTAAGTTGGCCATCAGACACTGCTTAAAGGCTGACATACACTTCGCACTTTCCACTTTTGCCAGCCTCCTCCTTTCCTATATCCTCTCCATTTTTTACCTTGACCCAACTTGACTTCCCTCGCAGCTTAGGAGGGAGGAGCGCTAGGAGGATTACCTTCCCTGCAGAAAACCACGGTTGTATGTCGGCCTTTAAGTGATCCTGAAGTGTTGTTTTTTTTAGCTTCCTTAGTGGGTCTTCTGGAAGCCTCAAAACGATGGCCAAGATTTAGCAAGAGCTTTCTTGGCACCTTGAAGAGGCTCAGTCTCTCAGCGAAATGTGGACCACAACATCGAGCATCAAATAGTCTCCCTTCTGAGTTTTTGTTTGCATAGTGCCAGTGTTATCTTTCCTCCAGTTTAAGTAACCACACATAAGATAAAATGCTAAAATTGTATAAATGCTGATGCTTGTAATTACCTGTTCGTCACAAGGACCACATTCCTCCCTTCGTCACAGACGTTCAAGTGAGTCACATAAGTGTCTGTTTCTGTGAACTTGCCCTTGTCCACATCCTGAAAGGTTTGAAAAGCAATATGAGTATGCTGCAAAAATAGTGTTGTGCCTTCATGTTTGCAGGAAATTCTGTTCGACAGCACACCGTAAAGGAGCTAAGATGTCAGACACTCTTTCTCATTACTTCAGTAGTCTTGACACTGTTGTTTTGTTAAGTTAGCTCGTTCATTCAACATATTACCGTAATGTTCTAGCAACAAACAAATTTGGGGCTTTTACATGCCAAATCAACGAAGGGCATCTGGCATGCCCCAGTGTAGGACTGAGGATTCATTTTGACCCCACCTGGGGAAATTCGAAACCTTCATTCTTAAATTTATAAAAAAAAAAAAATCAAGAATGATGAATGCAGGTTGTTGGGCATCGCTGCCAAACGTATAGTACTCTTGCATAACCACAAACAGTTTAATTTTTAAAATTTCACAGCAGTGTAGATATCAACATTCATAAAGTTGTGAACGTTGATACCAGGCACACGTGTGCACCATCCCGCTTTGAAAGTGTGCTTTTCTCCCAAGCACGCAATTGCGATATTCATACTTTTCGAAGTGTTGATTGCAGTGGGTTACTTTGTTGAGTGCGCTTCTTACCGAGCACCGGTGCACTGCAAAGAAGCAACACCCGCAAAGCCCATTTCAGCGGGTGTTGCTTCTCTGCAGTACAGCCGTGCTCGGTAAGAAGTGCACTCAACGGAGCTAACCTGCCGCAATCCGAAAAATTTGAATATCGCAGTTCATCTCGAAGCGAATATTGAATAGTGTATTTTTCGGAACTACTATTTGAAATTTCAGATATTCGCACAACCCTAAATTACAGTAATGTGATTCGGATTTTATTCAAGAAAAAAAAGTTTGATGTTTTCGAGGTGTATGCATGACAGCATTTAGCTGGCTAGATAGTAAAACTGAAATTTCTCGTCGTCAATACGCGTGTACTCTAAAAATATTAGACCAGAAAGAGAACAATTTCAGAATAATAAAAAAGCACACCTGCAGGAGACTGTGACCCTGGGCCTCCATGTGGTTGTAGGGCCGGACAATGCCGTCGGGGCGTATGAAGCGAGCCGGTCGAACAGGCCTCACTTCGTCGACTACGTCCGTGGCTCTGGCCAAGAGGAAAAAAGCCAAAGCACACTGGTCAAGCTCTTTGCATCTCTTGGTCGTATGACAAAAGCTTGAAAATAGCAATCTGCTACTGCACTATCGTTTTGGGGAAACACAGAGTGTCAGCAGAGAAAAGCGAACAGTGTTTTTTACACATCAAAGCCAAGCTCTGCGCCGCCAAAATTCAAGCCTCCTGAAGGAAAGGTTATAGTTGGGATGGGATAGTATAAACGTAAGGTCGCCGGAGTAAGAAGTTGGTAAGGTTCCCATAGTAAACCATTAAAAAAGAAAACTTTTAGCCTTTCCATTCTGGTGAAGATGGAAGACCAGAGAAGCTGTACTATGATGGGACTGAAATATTTATAGAAATCGTCAGCCTTTTTACTTTGGCAAAGAAGGAAGAGCAGCAAAGCTGTACTATGGTGGGAATGAAGTATTTATAAATGTAAGGATTAAGGTGTGATTGGGTTATTGGTTATTTAAACGATTAAAGAATTGCACATATATATAATGACCTGGGGTCATTATTTATTTCGTAACCACACTGACTGTGGCCTTGTGATCGCTGTGGTACACCGCCATAGGGTGTACGCTGACGGCAGGCATGTTCTTCATGAAGGTCTACACACGTCCAATGCCTGGTCGTGGGCACCGTAGGTTCGTTCACACATGCAAGCCTGAAGTGCTTGAGCATAAACAAAGTGAATAACTTTCTCTCCTGGCGTGCAATGCCAACGTTAAAGTCACCCGTCACTACGGTAGACGCGTCGTTGCCAAGCATCACCCAGTTGAAGATGTTTATCATGAATGCTTCAATGTCTCTTTTGGGGATAGCGGGGGAGACATACACGACGGGAACCACCGGACCATCGCGCAACTTGACGGAAAGGCTGGAAAGGTTGCTGCCATATATGAGCAACAACGGCAACGAGATTGGTTGTCTGGTTGCCGCCGTCGCTCATAGATGGCGGTAGCTGTCCAGAGTTTTGAGTAGTCTTGTGTCAACAATTGTTTGGTACCTGACACGAAACTGGGGAAACTACCCCATAACAGCTCCGCTGTAAATCTGTTCAGCCGGCGTGGCATCCTGTCGTCGCCGAGCCTCAAACTTGCGCTTAGCTTCCGTGGCACAATCGTCATCCGTGCCATGGCCCGCCGGCGCCGGTCCCATCGCCGCTTCTGTACTCGGCGGCGTTCCAGGCGAGCTATCTGCTCTTCTTTCGCAAGAGATTCAAAACCACTCGGCGCAGTGGAACTCGAGGCGATAGCGGCTATGGGAGTTTTCGTGGCCATTCGCACTGCTGCGCACATCGCCGGTCTTTGCGCTCCTGCTCTTCTTCCTCTGAACGAACAGTCCGAATAAACGGCACGCGGCCGACCCATTGCGAGTCCGAAGGGAAACTGATAAGAGCGCTAGCGCAATCTCGACGTCACGGGATACAGGACACACAAGATTAGTAGGTGAGACGATGACGTTTTATTCAAGTAGGGCTGTGCCAATCACGGGGCGTGCTCGATGGCACGAATGCAGGTGGCCACTGACGCGGACGCCGGGGAAGGAGATGAAGCAGCATGATAGCACAATGGACCGGCTAGCTTCCGTTGCCGACAGCGTTGGGGGAGAGATGGCGGGGAACACAATGGGCGACTCTCCTCTTCGTATGCAAGCGAGGGTGAGGCTGAACTGGCTTGAGTTTCGTGTTGACACGCCCCTTGTATGCTGACACGATAGTGGAAAAACTAACCTTTAACAGCTTTGCTGTAAAAAACTGAATTTGCTTACAAGAAAGCAGCGTACGACGACACAAGAATTTGAAGTGTACCTGTTTTTACAGCGGTAACTGTTAGTAGCTTTTTCATGTGAAATCCGGTGAGATCCAAACCCAAAAAACCATGCGATCGCATGAAGAGTGATAACACTGCCAAGCGATTATTATATCACGTCACCTTCACCCTTTGCACAACCATGTCATCTATTGCGACCATCAAGACGCACTACACCGCTACACTAGTGCTTCCTTTTTCTCTCGCCCCTCTACGAGCCATCAAAGCCTATTCAATGCCGCGTGAGTGCCAAGTGACCTTTGGAAGGGGTGCAGCAATGTGCAGCCATGCAATACATTCACACCGCTGGATTGAATAGCATAGTTTGTAACGTGCACTCCAGTCCATTGTAAGGCAAAATGGAGTATAGCAATTGCACTGCCCATGCTAAATTTCTCATTTACAGCTTGAAACAATTGTTGCCGTACCATGGAAAATCCAATCTCGGACTGTAGAACGTCTAATTTAGGTGTGCTTTTTCCACAACAACGAAAGCCGAAGAAGTCACCTCTTGACAGCATCGAAGGAGCCGCTGGCAAAGTCGACGACGCCTGCAGCGGGGCGTGCCACCGCCCCAATCAGCCCCTTGCCGACACCCTTGAAAAAGCCGCTGATGCCCTCCTCCTTGGCCCCGGCCACTGGCTTGGTCACAATGCCCGTCACTCCCTCGTACACACCCTGGAACAAAAAAACAAAAATTATAGCCGGTTTCTTGTTGTGTCCTGCAAATGAACAGAAGAGACAGCCGAGGCTCTGCACGCTCTTCTCCGCACATGTAATCATTCTCCACCGCCATAAAAAATTTTCCAAAGGTGGAAAAATTACATTTTCATGTAACACTGTGATGTCACATGGTCATGTAACAATGTAACGTCAAGCGATGTCACAGTGTCACGTGACACTCCGGTTTCTCCTAAATTTAGAGGGCCACGCCGGATTTGCTGCAAAACCTCGACAGTAATGGCTGTTGCCGTAAAAGTAAAGCATTAAGCTTCCAAAGGACACAAAGAAAGCCAAATGGGTACCATGACGAGGTCTCGACCGCCCTGCGCAAGGCCCTCGGCGATGTCGTCGGGGCGCCGGTTCTGGTCCAGCCTTCTCCTGCGCTGGTACTCTTCGTCCATCGTAAGGGCGGCTATTCCCTTGCCTATGGTGCCTGTGATCCTCGACACTGCCCCCGCCGCTCCCCCTGCGTGCCGGAGCCAAAGGCCAAGCTCGTGATGATGCATTTCGTCCACATTTTCTCCCCGTTGTCCAACTTCCAATATGTAGCAGAGCTATTCCAGACAATACTGGCAAAGTTCTAATTCAAACAGGTTATTCTGCCCCACAAATCGATCAAAAAGATTAACCAATACTGGAATTAGAAACACGCATGCAATATCTCAGTGACAGTGACCTCCAAATTGAAGGTCACTGTCACCGAGATGTTCGTGGCAACGGATTTGCTTTCCTGCATGGAAGCGAATGCAGTGGTGGTGTCACTTGCATGGAAAACAGTCCTTCGTGAGGGAGAAGTGCATTTGTATAGGAATAGCCTTCATAATTTTGTTCTTGTATTTAAATTAAAAATAACCTTTAAAAAATCATTCATTAAAATATACTTCACAAAAAAAAAAAAAAAAAATTGGAGATTAAAATTAGGAATGACATGTTTTTTTAAAGGCATTTACTGTAGAGTCCCGAACGAATGCATATACCAAAAGATTGCCCATTCCATTTTTCTGGCTCGATATCCCCCATAGTTTGAAGAACAATAAAATATCATCCTCCCCACTCATTAACATGATACTGAACAGTAAGTTGCCGTGCTCCTAGTTAAAATATGCTGGGGTTCCAAACTACCTAGATTAGAAGGAAAAACTATGCAATGCCTTCAACAAGCAATTGCAAATGCAGCTTAAACACACATGCAAAACGAAATAAAAATGCTAAGCAAGTTCCTGCTACTTGTTAGTCTAATCATGATGCTGATTGGTGTCAAGACACATCAAAAATTATTTCCTGCATAGACTATTCGTGATAAAATCAGTCAAGAGACAGCACTGAGGAAAGCAAGTACGCCATGTCCACACCCTGCTGTATCGGTTACCTCGTCATGCAAATTAGCAGAGAGTGCCTGCATGCTAATTACTAATTTTTGTATAAACCCTCACTGTTGCACCACAGAAGATCACCCAACTCATATTTAACACCATTTATCTTTTCACCATAAATGGTCAATTGTTTGGGACTTTATAGTATTTTTAATTGCATGCCTTGTACATGCAATTAAATGCAATTATGTGACATGTGAATTTCACAATGCATAATAGTCAGGGCTATTATAAATTTATTGCTCTAGTCAAACAGGTCAATCGTTTGTGATTTTATAGTATTTTTAATGGCATGCCTTGAAGGCATGTGACATGTGAATTTCACAATGAAAAATAATGAGGGCTATCTTATAAATTTATTGCACTAGTCAAACAGTCCTCAGAGAGAGCTATTTATGACTAAAACAGTGTGTTCATTTCCAGCTCCTCTGTTGCACTTGCTCCCCAATTCTAAAAGTCAAGTCTTTTCCACTGGATGGCCTCACCTCCTCCAAACTTATAAACACTTGGCGACAGGATGCAGCATATCCATTTCCAAAGCACGCACCAACAGTGTGCCCAATGAGGCTCCTGACGCCCGTTGCCAGGCCCTCGGCGAACTCTTCGGGACCCTGAATGGCCCCCTGCAGGGGCTCGTAGAAGAAGTCTCCGACACCCGTGGTGAAACCCGTCAGAAGGCCCACGGGGTTGCCAATCACGTCCAGGCCAAGCACCACCACATAGACCTGCTTCAGGCTCTGTAGGTGTGTGCAAGAGAGGACCTTGTAAATAACAGTGCATCAAATACTTACACATACCAGAGTGGGCACAGTAGCTCTGGTAAAACTACCATGCCTGACCGTGCCATGTTTTCCCTTTTACAGCTCCTGCTGGCTTGCCTTTTCTTCTGCTGTTTTTCTCCTTCAAGTACCCTCAACAATACCGCAGATCGCTGCGCAACCATCTTATCTCCGCCAAGTCATCAACGGGTGCCGTTTCTACCACCACCAGTCCTTCAAGTCACCTGCCATCCTGCACCGTCACACATCCTGATGCGGATGAATCGTCACCAGGCTGCACTCGGACCAGTAAATACAGCTTCAGTCGCGGAAACGCCAGTGGGCACGGGAGTTCTGTTAAGACTATCACGCCTGACCCTGCCATGTTTACCCTTTTACAGGTTTGTAAAGGCTATTCCTTACATTATAAGAAATCTAGCAACCTCTATTCTATAGTGCTCCCATGCCCCAGGGTACTTTATTGCATAATGCATGTTCTAACTATGTATTGTGATTCATGCTTTGTTATTACTATCTGGTGATGTTGAGTCAAATCCAGGCCCCATTGAGGAACCTCAACTAAAGGACTTGCTAATCCTTCTACAAAAACTCTATGCCGATTCTTCCACACTTGAGCAAGGTCAGAAAGCAATCAAGTCCAACATTAAAACTCTCCTTGATAAACAAACCCAGCAAGATAACTCCTCTGCCATGAACCAGAGAACTGCAGCGATTGAAATTAAGCTTCAATCACTTTCCAAGACAAAGGCAGAGGTATGAAGCATCAGAAATGCGCTTACAGAACAGGCCACGGTAACTGCCTCACTGATGTTTAGAATGGTTTAGAAAACTTCCCGTTGTTCTAATTTGCTGTTCCGTGGCATTCCTGATGTACGAGCTAAATCATGGCCATCATCAACAAAAAATTGTAGAGCCTTTTCACTTCACGTGAAGATAGAAGACCAGTGAAGCTGTTACTTTTACGACGTCTAGGACGACGCCTAGAGGACGACGTCTAGGTCGACCTCAAGGACAACACCTAGAGGACATCGTCCAGGATGAACTTAAGGACGACTTCTAGGATGACCTCGAGGACGACGCCTAGAGGACATATAAGAAGCCCTCAAGGACGACTTCTAGGATGACCTCGAGGATAATGCCTAGGACGACCTCGAAGACGACTAGGACGACCTCGAGGACGACTTCTAGGACAACCTCGAGGACGACTTCTAGACAGCCTCGAAGACAACGCCTATAGGACTACCTCGGATTACCTCAAAGATAACTTTTAGGACAAACTCGAGGACGACTTCTAGCACGACCTCGAGGACGACATCTAGGATGACCTCAAGGACGACCTCGAGGACGACTTCTAGGACGACCTCGAGGACGATGCCTAGAGATGATAACACAGGATCAGGACCTCACTATCTAATAATGCCAAGGAAGGCTGACTCATGCTGGTTGCCCCCTCTTTTTCTTTACTCATACTTGCCACGACCAATGCGGAGTTTTCTGTCAACATTCGCGGACACATTTTTTCCCAGATCCTAGCACATAACAGCTTCACTGCAAAAGTGCTTAAAATCACGAAAGAATGTCTTGGTATCACCTTAGCAAGTTCTAAAATTGAGCGAGCACATAGAATTGCTACATTTCAAAAGAGAAGAAATTGGCCTATTGTAACTTGTTTTTCCTCTTTCAAAACAAAAAAAACAGTTATTCCAGAGTAGTTTTCGCCTCAAGGGAAGTTTGTTTTCAGTAGCGGAAGACTTTTGGGAAAGTACCCGTACAGCACGCCACAACCTCGTCACTTTTGCCAAGCAGCAATCTTTGCCCTTTAAGCTTCGGCTGGACAAGCTTCACATCGACCATAAGACATTAATGTATTATAGCCTATCAGAGACCGTAAAAGAGCTTGTGAAACGCGGGACGTGGGGTGTGTTCCAACTGATGAAACTGGATTGCAGAGCATGATTAGTGTCTTATATGCAAATACACATAGTGTCTTGCCCAAGCGTGACAATCTGTCGTCTTTAATCTCTTCGTGTGACACTGATTTTGTTCTATTGCTGGAAATGTGGCTTCATTCCAATATTGAAGATAGTGAAATAATGCCAGATCATACAAATTGCATGTGTATAATCTCAGTGTGACAGAATGGACCGCCGAAGCGGCAATGCTTTCAACGCTGATAAAAAAAAGTATTCCAAGTCGGAGGGTGTTTGCTCTTAGTGCTCTTAAGATTGTTTGGGTTTCGTGAATAGCTATTTTGGATAGTTTTTGATTGGGGCGTGTTACTGTCCTCCTGGAACTTCATCTGGTTTTAATAACCTTCTTCGTGATGACTTGTCCATGCTGGCCTTGCATCACACTGGTAAACCTATTTACAGCGAAGCTGTTATGTGCCAGGATCTGGGAAAAAATGTGTCCGCGGATGTTGACAGAAAACTCCCCTTTGGTCATGGCAAGTATGAATAAATAAGAATAAAAAGAGGGGGCCACACATGTGAGTCAGCCTTCCTTGACATTATTAGTCAGTGAGGTCCTGATCCCTTGTTATCATCTCTAGGCTTGGTCCTCGAGGTCGTCCTAGAAGTCATCCTAGAGGTCGTCCTCTAGGCATCATCCTCGAGGTCGTCCTAGAAGTCATCCTCAAGGTCGACCTAGAAGTCATCCTCGAGGTCGACCTAGAAGTCATCCTTCAGGTCATTTGAGAGAATGTCCTAGGCGTCCTCCTTGAGGTTGTCCTAGAAGTTGGCCTTGAAGTCGTCCTAGAGGTTGCCCTTCAAGTTGTTTTAGATGTCCACGAAATCGTCCCATAAGTCGTCCTTGAGGTCGTCCTCTAGGTGTTGTCCTAAAAGTCGTCCTTGAGGTCGTCTTAAACGGCGTCCTCTGGGCATCGTCCTAGACGTCGTGAAGATAATAGCTTCACTGGTCCTCCATCTTCACGTGAAGTGGAAGGGCTCTAAAATTTTTACCCACCAGGCATAGACTGGAAAGCATCTGCTCCCACTTGTTTGGGTGGCACAAATATTAGCAGTGACATCGAAAACCTGTGTTTTTCTTTCAATCTAACATGGTTAGTTTCTTTCCCTATCAAAGTCACCGACATTAGCTCCAATGTCCTTGATTTAGTACTTACTACTGACCCATCTTTAATTCCCATCTTTAATTAATTCTTTCTCTCCTCTAGATGGCGTAAGTGACCACAAAGCACTTCATTGCTTTATTGATATTAAGACACCAAAACCAGTGCCCCTTAACAAAAAAATATGGTTGTTTCATAAGGGCAACTATGACATGATAAATTCTGAGCTCTGAGACTACTTTGTCACTTTCAATGAGGACTTTAATTACCATAATGTTAAAGAAAATTGGCAACTATTTAAAGACAAACTATCTGAGCTTGTTGAACGTTGCATCCCGTGCACAACTATTCGAGCTATTAGTACTTCTAAACCACGGTTTAACCATTCACTCCGTTGCCGATCAAAAAAAAAGATTGTTTAGAAACGCTAAAAAGGTAAATACAACGGAGGCCTGGTTAAAGCATACTACATGCTCCTCTCAATACAAAGGTATGCTGAAAGAGCATAAGCAGATATTCTTTCAGCTCACTTTACCAAAAATGTTAATAAGCAACGTTCGTCAATTTTGGAATGTCACTAATCAAAAACTCTCTTTAGACATAAAACTAGTTGATAGTTGTGGTGAACATATACTGATTGATGAGTGTGCTAATGTTTTTAACAGTGTATTTTCTAATGTCTTCACTGTATCCATGCCAATAACTAACTTCTTTCAAAACTTCTGATGTTTTTTCAATGGATCCTATTGCATAATCAACATTCTGGAATCACTCAAAATTTCGTCATCATGTGGAATAGATAGTATTAATAACAAACTGTTATTCAACACCAAATTTTATCTCAACTGTTCCTAACTAAAATTTTTCAGCAGTCCCTTGAAACAGGAGTGGTAACCTCCGATTGGAAAATTGGCAAAATTATCCAGCGAAATCCTTGAGCACGTCATTTAGTCAAATCTGACTATATCAAACCCGTTTACATCGAATCATCCCTTATATCAAACAATTTTTGTGCACAGTAATGTTACAGTGATAATATATAGCAAAACCTATGGTTACATCGAACAAAAATAGCAGCCACTACCGATATATCGAACTGCCAAGAGCGCCATTTTGCTCTGCAAGCTGGCTTTCCCCCAACGCGAGCAACCGAATTGGGGGAAAGCCAACTTGCAAAGCACGCTGGCTGTTTTTTCTTAATTTTTCCAAACAGCCGCATCGACCACTCGGAAGAAAAAAAAATCTATTTTGCGCAGGGAGCGGAGAGAGGGTGCTCAGTGCTCCCCCTTCCCGCTCCGTCCACAAAAATTATTTTTTCTTTCGGGCGGCTGACGCGGCCGCCCGCAAGACAAAAAAAGCCAGCTTGCTCTGCTAGCTGGCTTTTCCCAACGCAGCCGCCTGCCTTAGGGGAAACCCAACTTGCAGAGTAAAACGGCGCTGTGCAGGAGGAGGTGCCCCTGCTCGGACGTGCTCCATGCCCTTGGCGTAGTTCGGCGCTAGTGAGCGAATATAGAAGGCCTCAGCATTTTGGAATCCGTCGATAGCGTAGAAAAATATCGTTATCGCGGATGCAATGAAGAAAAAGCAGCAGAAGATCCAAGACTATTTCATCGTACAATATGTGAGTAGAAAAAGAATTTTTGCGAGTCGAATTCATTAAAATTTTTATATTGAATTACCCGCTATATCGAACTGGTAGATATTTTTTTGAGAGTTCGATATAAACGGGTTTGACTGAAGCACCTTATTAATTTCCTGGACTCCTGCGAATTCTTCACCAACGCTCAGCATGGCTTCCGCAAACACCTTTCATGTGAGACTCAACTCCTCTTCCTTACTAACCTGTTTAAAAATCTTGACTCTGGCTTTTCTACTGATGCCGTTTTCCTTGACTTTGCTGAAGCATTCGACGAAGTCCCACATAATCTCCTACTGTTTAAACTTTTTTCACTATAAATAGATCCCAAAGTTTTAAAATGGATTGAATCTTTTCTTGGCCATCACTCTCGATCTGTTTTAGCTATCAACACTGCTGCCTCCTTAGCTCCTGTTTATTCCGGTGTTCCGCGGAGAACTGTCCTAGGCCCTTTGCTTTTTTTAAAATTTATATTAACGACCTCCCTTTTTAACTCTTGCCGTCCATTCGCATTTTAATGCAAAAGCATTAACTGTCTCATGAAGCAAGCTGACACCATCAGTTGGAAGCACGAAAACGGCTCCTAGTTTCCGCGCACCTTCGGTTCCATTGGCTAGCGCACGTCGACGGGGCTCCCATCGGCCGCTGCGCCAAAGCCTCCGAGATCTTGAAGCGCGCGTGTGCTACTACGTAGCAGACGACAAAGGCAGCGGACGAGCAGACAACAAAGGGAGCGGACGAGCGGCTTGCATGCTTTCACATTCACAACTCGTACGAAATGATTAAATGTACCTCGAGCTTTTTTGCTGATGATTGTGTTATTTACCGGCTGATAAAAACTCCCAACGACCCTCTTATTGTTCAAAATGATATTAACAAAATTACTGACTGGTGCCATACCCGGCAAATATCTTCGAATGTTAACAAGTCCATGTGTATCCTTTGCGTGCTCCTTTTCTCTGCCCATAACTAGATTAGCATTTTACGGCACTGCGCTTCAAACTGCTACCCTTTATAAATATCCGAGTGTGCATTTAACCCCTAACCTATCCTCGGAAGTTCATATTGATAAAACAATTTCCTCAGAAAATCAATCACTCAGCAAGGTGATCCCTTTCCGTCGTAATTTTAAATCTATTCCTTCTCAGCTAAAACAACTTCTTTATATCACTCTTGTTCATCCTAAACTAGAATATGCTTCATCTATATGGCACCCTCACCAACCTGGCCTAACTAATGCAATCGAAGCGGTTCAAAATAGTGCTGCTCACTTTATTCTTTCCGACTACTCCCGTCTTTCAAGTGTTACTGCAATGAAATCAGAACTAACCCTTCCCAATCTTTCCTTGCGTCATAAAATTTCCCGGCTTTGCCTTCTTCATAAAGCTGATCATTCTGCACCTTTAAAAGAGTCCCTTCTTAGCCCTCCCATTTATATTTTAGCAAGACTCGTCCACTCATGCAAGATTTGCAGGCCCAAGACTACAACTACAGCATCCCAACATTCTCTCCTACCCGCTACCATTGTGGACTGGAATGGCCTTCCCGATAGCACCAAGTCACTGATAACACCACGTTTTGCCTCGCACTAACCACCCACCTTCCTCTGTAATGCCCTGAGGGTATTAGTAAACAAAAAAAAAAATAAATAAACAAGCACACACCACTATAGTCAGCATATAGAACCACGAGTGGCTCCAAAAAAAGGCGCTATGGTGGCACTGCTGTCGGCTGAATGCATGCACAGACGCTTCACCTCATGCAAACCTAGTTTCTGTGCACGTGCAGTGCCTACACCTACTGTGGGCAAATGTGGGCTTGTTTATAAACGGTGCATTTGCATGTAGCCACATAAGTGGCATATGATTATGATTAAGTCTACAGCTGTTCATGAAAGGTCAAAGTCGGGGAGCAACAGTATTTCTCCAGGTTTAGCTTGAGTTGCCTAAACTGCAAATTGAGGCATGCACATTGCACGTGAGGACCATTCATACCTGGCGGAAATAGTGTGCATAAGCCTCGTTCATCAGCTGGTGCGTGGTCAGGTAGGCATTGCTCTTCTCGAAGTAGTCCAGTCTGAGGAACAGAACAAAGGGCATATATTAACAACATCATAAACACAACATAGCATATTTAGAGGAAGAATTTTAGTACCGTATAAAAATTAGGCTTGCAAGCGTTAGCTTTTCACAGATATTGTGTATAGCCAGTCATTGTTAGAGAATAACATAGTGAATGATTAGGCAGAAATAATGTCACTGCAACAATGATTAGTGTTGTGTCAATATTCAAATTTTCTAATAGTAGCTTTGAATAATATGCTATTCGATTCGAGCCGAACTGCGATTTTTATAGCTGTCAAAGTATTGATCACGGTTGGTTAGCCATGTTGAGTGCGCTTTTCACCAAGCACCTGTGCACTGTGGGGAAGCAACACCCGTGGAGCTTGCGGGCTCCGTGGGTATTGCTTCCCCGCAGTGTACAGGTGCTCGGTAAAAAGAGCACTCAATGGAGCAAACGCACTGCAATTATGCAAGAGCTTATTTTAGACAGCGATGTGTTGACAGCCCACATTCATCATTTCTGCTTGTTTTTTTGTTTTTTTTGCGTGATATTTGCAATAGAAGAAAGAATATCTGCATATAGCAAGCAGATTCATAAATCCCCTCAATTAGGACGGCAGCGACAAATCTGTCGCTTGCGTGCCACAGTTCATATAATTATGCTAAAATTACTGAGCTTAGAAGTGGTCAAGGGAAAGGTTGGGAACAACCTTCACGGGTTCGGCTGAATTTTCGTTTAAGCATGAAGCACGGTAGTGAAAGACTTTGAGAAAATATTCAATATTCAATTAGAAAATACTCAACCAAAACAACTCTTTGCTTCAAACTTAAAATCTACTTTTCGCACATGAATACTAATTGTGTTCCCCATCACATTGTTGGGAAAAAGCACCCTCAGAGCTTTCGACTTATGCTAGGCACTTATACTGTAATAATTGACTCTATGCATGGTCTGTCGAAAACTAGGACATGCAGGTCTTGTTCATAAAACAGTGTCAAAATGATTTGAGAAAATAAAGCAAATGTCTAAACCGCCCAGCAAAACAGCCCTTCAACTCGGAGTAAAAGAAGCTCTTTAACTCAAGCTAATTCATGCATGACAAGTAATGTGAGAGCAAGTAATACCGTAAAGTTCCAAAAAAACACCCACCCAAAATGAAGAGATAAATGATGAAAAACACATGGTGGGTTATCTTTGGGGATGCCACAGCAAAACTTTATAAAGCATTAATGATGAGTACCTGGCACCGGCTACAAACCACGCGACGCGGGAACTGAAACCGCAGATTCCGAACATCGCAAATTTGCATTTCACGATGTGATAAACACGTGGGAATTCGCTCAAACTCTTGCGTCCCAGGAAAGAATAGCGCAGGTCGCGAACGCAGCAGAATCATATTTCACGATGCAATATACACGTGAGACCAGCTCGCGTGTTACGGGATCCGATATCACGCGCGCAGATCACAAATAAAAACGAGAAACCGCTATGAACTCGCTTGTCAGACGTGCCAGTACAGCGAATTGCGTGATTGATGCGATTCCCGTCAGACGTCACATGACGAGAATCGAGGGGTGGGCGACGTTTCGAAATTTTTATGTTACAGATATTTGGCCAGAAAAACGGGATGGGCGATCCCTCGGGGGCAGGCGTTCTCTCAGAACTTTATGGTATACATCTCTTCAGCATGTGCAAATAGTGGATTTTGAGTTCGAAGTGAATAGTGGTTTTGACCAAATATTTTAGAATCAAATATCGAATAGCTTCCTTAAGCCTTTCATTACTGCACCATGCTTAAATGAAAACCCAGCTGAACTTATAAAGGCTGTTCCCAGGCTTCCACTTACCCATTTCTAAGCAAGATTAATATTAATCTAACTATACTTATTGACTGTGGTCTCAGAAAGCCCAATGCCTACATTGGCATGGCAAGTTTAAAATGCATTTGACATAAAAGTAAACCTAAAGAAGTGCCCCGCTATTAATAATTGAGAGGATTTATAAATATTCTTGATAAATCCAAATATCTTTTCAGTCACAGATGAATAACGCAGGTTCTTAGGGAATTTCTGCATAACATATACTTATGCATAATATCCAGTTTAATTTCAAAAATTTTGATTTCTAAAATGCATATAGTATTAACTTTAACAAAGTTTCCAATTATTTTTAAATACACCAGGCACGTGTGTGCACTATCCCGCTTTGAAATAATGCTTTCCTCTTAAGCACACAGCTGCAATAGTTGTGCCTTTCAAAGTGCTAATCGCAGCATTTTAGCCCTGCTAAGTGCGCTTCTCACCAAGCACGGATGCATTCCGCAGAAGCAACACCCGCGAAAGCGAGCTCCGCAGGTGTTGCTTCTCCGCAGTGCACCGGTGCCCAGTGCACTGAGGAAGCGCGCTCAACGGGGCTAACCTAGTTGGCGAAAAATTCGGCAACTAAGATTGGCCGGCACTGCACTTCACCTTGGCGCCGGCCAATCATGGCAGTTGAATTCCTCACAGACTTTTTCGCTCAGTGTTTAGACTAGAGCCCCAGCCGCGATCAACACTTAGAAATATATGAATATCAGATTTCACCTTGAAGCGAATATCGAATAGCATACTATTCTAAATCACCATTCGAAAACTCAAATATTTGAAACAATTCTAAAATCTTCCACTTGAAACCCTAAAATGCAGCCATCATTGCATCTCATATACAGCCCAGATGAGCACTGTCTGCAAACCATCAAGACAGGTTTGCTGAATAGATACCCTGGTTCCTTTCTTTAAACTGAGAAGACTGCAATGTAATATCTCACTTGAGCACAGCATCCTGAATCTCGGTGAAGGTTACCCCAAAGCTCTGCAGCAGCAGGTTAAACAAACTGCCACCTTTGCTCTTGCTGTCCGCCGACAAGGAGAAGCTCAAGTGCACCTGCGATACAAACACCACTCCAGATTTCTCTGCAGTCCATGTCAGGATTAGACAGAGCATAATGCCCCAAGGCAAAGGTCCAGGCAACAGTAACTGACCATTCCAAACATTTACATGTTCCTGGTAAGTACTCTATGTGCACCTATTAAAAGTAACTGATAAAGCAAGTACTAATACTTAAAAAATATTGCTTCTTAAAATGATCAAACTTTCACAAAAGCCTTAGTGTTACATGATCACATTGTCTTTAGCAGTTGGCTTGGCCAACAAGATAGAAAGTTTTATCGTAACAATGTAAGCATAAGCAATGGATCATGGGTTGTTTTTCGTTGTCTTTTCTTGGTCTCTAAAAAGAAAACACCCTAGTCGACATGCACAGATGAACGAATTATACTGATCAAATGAGAATGAAGGTTAGAAAACCGCCTCAAGGCAAAATTTGGAGGAGCTGTGATTTATTCATGAATTTGAATCGGAACTCGTAGCACAACTCCCAAAAATTATACCTAGAAAAGCACCTCATCATGCTTTTTTGCATGAAGTATGAGTTACCGCTCTATACTTTAATAATACTGTGCTTGGAACTTCAAAGGCATGAACTAAAAAGGATGTGTGAAAACCTTGTCAAGGGTATCTGCTTACCTTGATCGGTGAAAAATGAAGCATGTCGAAGAAGTCCTTGATACCCTGTTCTGAAAACTGTGCAGCAAATTCCTTCAGGCCCCCTTTGGTCATAGCCTTGTCCTTCTCAATCAGCTCCTCCTGTGCACAAAAGTAGAGAAATAAAGTAAAAATTCCCACAGCCCTTCCTCAATGAAAATTAAAAAAGCTTTCAGCCTTTCCACTCTGGTGAAGAAGGAAGACCAGCGAAGCTGTATGCTTGTCACGTGTGTTTCTTCTTCGTCCTCGTCTGTTTTTTGTGCTGTTTCCTAAGATAAATTCCCACCAACGCGCCCAACTATCTATTCTATGATAGCTGGAAAGGCTGCCACCATCTATGAGCAACGGCAGCAACCAGACTGGTTCTGTGCTTGCCGCCGTCGCTCATAGATGACGGTAGCTGTCCAGAGTTTTGTGTAGTTTTGTGCCAACATTTGTTTAGTACCGGACACGAAACTGGGGAAACTAGCCCTTAACAGCTCCGCTGTAAAAAAGAACAACAACATACATGATCCTCTTCTTTTGTGCTGAGAGTCAGGAACTCTGAAATGGCATTGATGAAGCACTGGTCTATCCTGGCATGGAATTCCTGGAGCAAAATCTTGAAGTACCTAAGGGGCAAAACAAGACACTTCTAACGGCTGCAAAACTTGGTGTTTATGCACATTGAGAGGAACTATGCTCCTACATATTTAATGCTAGCTTACAGCACAGTGAACATTGTGTGCACGAGAATAATTTCCCGGGAGGCATTAGTCCTGCATGGTAGCCTGTGTGGTGGAAGCAGCCTTCAATTCTAAGAGCTAGCGCGTTTAGCCTTTCCTGCGCTATACAATCTCAATAGTATTGCTAAGATCAGTGGTTCTCAAACTTTTGACCGTAATATGACTGCCTGACCCACTTTGAGGTCGTTCGGGGAGCCCGAATGCATTCTGGAGGGTTTTTTTCTTTTTTTTTTTTTAGAATGGTCTTTTGACATGGTAAAGACCCTCATGAACGCTCTCGGTGGCCTCTGGCGGTCTGCAGACCACAGTTTGAGAACCGTCGACTTGCATGGTCTTTGCGTGATGTGCACATACGAGAGAATCACTATATGGCCTAGACAAATCAGTGGGTAACCTAATTAATGTGCAGACAAAACTGAATCTAGCATCCTAGGACAATAGATGCAATAGAAAGAAGAAAAGCCAGCTGGTGTTAGTATGATCTGACATCCCAAAACTATGGTAGATTTGTAATTATAAGGAACACAGGAGTGCCATGGTCTAGAGTAGGGGTCTCCAAACCCCGGCCTGCTGGTTAGATCCGGTCCGCGGATGCCTTCCGACCTGCCCGCGGCTGGCCGCGGTTCTTCCGGTGATACCCTGCCCGCGGCCTGCTTCGAGCAAGCTTGCTGCTACTGATACAAAAACAAGCGCTAGTAAAAAAAACGGCACCACAACATGCACCGAACGAGCACATGAAGAGAGCAGAAAAGACGAGAACTATTTACTTAGTATTTTCTACTTTAAATTTCTATATTTTTATTTTGGCCCATGAGACTGCGACCATCCCCCTATCTTTCCCCTTAGCCAAACAGCTGGGAGACCCCAGATTAAGAGGAACGTGGTTGTCTCTTCTGGAAGCTCGGATAAAGACGTGAACAGTGTGATCGACAAGTGAGTTTTAGCTAGGGTGACTGAGCCTGCTGTGAAATTAATGTCAATGAATTTCTTTCCTTTTCACTTCTTTAAAAGTATGGTTCAACCAAATTAGAATATCCTTTCCTACTATTATCAACCAGTTCTCTAGTATAGGGGTTGACCTTCATTCGAGTAAATATGTTAATTGTAAGCTATATTAATTTATTCTGTTGTAATCCTAATTACCCATTATCAGCCCTTCTCCCCCCCCTTGCCTTGGCCTATCTCTACCGTTGGTCCACAAGGTGTCCTCGAAACATCCATGGTTGGGAACCACTAGACATACTCACTACTGAATCAAACTTACTTGAACTGGCGGACTTGAGAGTAGTCAAACTGTCGCACAATGATGCTCGTCTCCAGGAAGGGCTTTGAAACTGCCGAGAGATAGATGGAACAAATGTATGAAAGAAATGTAGAGAGAGTTGGGGTAATTATGCCCCATTTTGAAGATTGCGAAAGTCACAATAAAAACAATGGAAGCTTCTCAAGGGTATCTCTAGCTTTTATCTAATATGATCATTGTCGGTGACAGGTTAAAAATGCAGTAAGAAGAAGCAAAGGTGTGAGCAGCTTTGGAGTAATAAAAGTTCTGCTTTGGAGCAGCTCATGAGCCACAAAGAGGCTCATGAGCCTCATTGTGGCTCATGAGGTCTTTGTAGCTTATGAGCACTAGGAAGGTTGGGGAAGAGGAGAGAAACCTCCTCTCGTCTCTAACATTCCTTGTGCTCTCCCTTTCTCTCCTCACCCTCTATTGCCCTCCTCTCCTGACTTCTTAGCGCTTGCACTAGAATAAAAAAAAGCTTGCTTAGGGGTTTGATAAAAAAAAGATTGAGGTACACCTAAGCACTTCTTACGAGTTGTGAATGCGAAAGCATGTACATGAATCTTGCTCTACGCCTGTTGTAGCGCTGACTGGCGCTGACTAGAGCTCCTGTATAGGCTCCCTACGGGAGCCAAAGTTGCGCATTCGTCCCCGTAACGCCATTTTTCCTGCACGGCATGTTGATCCAGCTCCTCACATGACAGAATTCGGCGAATAACGGCACCATGCGCTCAAAAGCAGGGGAATGTACGGCGGGGTGTGCGCAACGTCTGCTTTCCTGAACGGCACTTGATCTGGCTCCTCACGTGATCAGATCTCGGCGAATAGCGGCATGGCGGCATGTGGAAAACAGACGCGCAACTCTGGCTCCCGTACGAACCCTATACAGGAACTCTAGCGCTGACGGACATGCAGCGCCATGTGGTGGCCGGTCGTTGAAACTGATGCAGCGTCAGTTTCAACAACCGGCCACCCAATGGCGCTGCGTGTCTGGCGAATGAAAGCCTGGTTGACGCGCGCTAGCCAATGGGATCGCAGCGGTGTAAAAGGTGCCGTTGGCTGTGGACGTGCACTAGCCAATGGAATTGAAGCAGTGTAAAAGAGCCGTTTGGTGCGGTTTCAAAGCTGATGACGTCAACTCGCTCCATGAGACCCAGTTAATGCTTTCGCATTAAAATCATGAGCCATTTCACTCTGTGATGGTGGATGACCAGCGAAGCTGTTTAGCACACGACACAGACCTGCCCCAAGGAGCCGGAGGAAAGTAGACACGCGCAACGGGACCACCACACAGGAGAGCGGAAGGAAAGAAAACTAGGCACGCAAGCACTTGGAACAATGACAAAGAGAGGGCGGTGCGAGCGTAGACATGGCCGACATAGGTCGCACAGCGGCAAATCTTTGAGAAACCTTTATTATCTACCCGAGGGTCTACTAATCTTGAAAATGGTGCCTATTGATAACTAACCTACCGAATAGACCTATTGCTGAATTACATAAGCATCAATGAGAATGCAGGGAATGGTGTTCCACGCGCCGCACCTGCCGGCGTCTGCAGCAGTAACTGTTCTAAACCAAAAGCCTAAAACAAATGGCATCTTGCAAGCTCATTAGTCAACGCTTTATTTTGGTTATTTACTCCAAATCTTTTGTACAAGGAAGGCGTGCACGTGCGGCGGTGCGAGCATAGAGTTTTCAGTCACTGCACATGAAAAATTCACGGAACCCTAGCCATAAACAGCTTCACTATAAATATGTGACTGACAAAACTAGCAAGCAAGACTGCAAAATGGAAGGTTGCCCTCAAGTCAATGGCTTGGATGCATTCTAGCACAATAGTTTAGAGTTTGCATCGCTCAGCAGGACATTCCCACTGTTCACCTTGTCCTCCCACTGGCTTGCTGTTTGATGGCCAAAGCGTGTATTTGCCTCATATGTCATATACAAGAAAGAAAAGTTTACAGATGAGACAACCAATTATCGTTTTTAGTGTTACGTCTATGGCAAGAATAAGGAGCATGGAAGCGGTCTCAGCAAAGGCAACACCCTGGACATGCAAAAAAAAGCAGAAATTTGTTTAACTTTGTGGGGTAGTTATCACTTTCCCCAGGTATTAGATGATACGTGACTGCATGCTTTTAGGTATGTTTATATACCGTAAAATACTGGGAAAGCGCCCACCCCACTTTCACTGAAAACTGGGTTAATCTAGACATGGTGATTGCCCGGTTAAACCGGGCACTTAACATATAATTTGCAGAAATTTAAAGTTAGAAAAATGTTAATAGTGGGCACTTGAATGAAGTGGGCGCTTCCACGATATTTTATGGTACATGCGATTAAATTAATGCGAGACATATTTTGAACACACGCGAGAACGTTTAGTGCCACTCTGCCAAAAAATATATAATTAGTAAACAATGAACTGATGCCCAGGTATCTCTGACAAAGTCACCTATGGATGTCTCATTTTCGGAAATCTGACACCTACACATCATTGTTGGCTGAGCTGTGGAGTGTGCCCAAACAAGTGCTTCAAAGTCACTGGTACAGACAAAGAAAGTAAACACACTTCTATTGTGTGTTGCTCACATATTCGTCCAAATACGGTATACTTCTTAACAATAAAATCATTTACTTTTCCCCCCTGCTTCTGGCACTTGACGGTTCATTAACACAAGACCATGAAACGAAACGGAACACTGAGTCTATTTACCTGGTCTAAAATAGATCATAGTCATTCTTATTAGAAGAAAATAGGTGCTTGGCCTCTGTTTTCAACCGACGAGAGTTACCTGCTTTGACGCCGACACAATCACATCGGTATGGTGCCTCCACAACGTTGGTTCAGAGTTATCTAAGCGAACACAACTCGGTAAGCGACTGTGGCCAGTAAAAAAGGGTACTATACCAACAAATTTAGAAGATAAAAAAAGAAAAAAAACATTTTCTGCCTGTTTTAGAGCAGCATTTGCACTTGGGAGCAGGATGGCAGAGCGAAAATGGATTGGTGCATTATGAAGCAATCGGCGCAGTGCTTCCACCCGAGCTAGGTCCATTCCAAGTCTTGCTCAAAAAAATTTTCCATGGCAAGTAAGTTAAGCCCTCCAAAGACAGCTCACTTTTGTGGGAGTGCAGTTACTATGCACAGTAATGACAGTACTATGTGCATGATCACGAAACGGTGTAAGAGCACTGAATTCCTCAGAAACAGACTCACTCATTCCGTCTCCCATGGACTTCCTGACAGTGACCGGAGTGAGAATCACAGGAAAGGTACAGTCTGCGATCTGGTTGTCAATCTGAAAACAGAGGAAACCTTGAGTGATTTTCTTCGAAAGATTTGATGCGAAAGGTGTTCCAACCTGAAGCATGTGGAGCTTGGCATGGATCATGCTCTGATGCAAGGACCTCTTGTACGATGCCCAGATGCCAGGCCTTGCCAGTCTGCGGATGTCTTTCTTAGGATTGGTCATCATCTTCATTTGTTTGAAGTCAACCTAGAGAAGCATGAAAACGTTCTTCGATATGCTGGTGCAGCAATTGTTAATTTCCACACGCTAAAGTCCTTTAGGCATTTACCTAGAGTCATTATGTAAAAAAAACACAGGTCACGAACAAAGTAGCATTGAGACACAGAGCTTGGTCAAGTGTTGCTAGAGACTCAGGAGGCAAGCTCAGGACAGGATCGGGTGCAAATCTGCTCGTGTCGGAAATGAAAGCATGCTGATAAGTCCAACACCATAACATAGTTCCCTCTTTTCTTTGCACAACTTATCTGCTCCCAGGGTTTACATAAATTGGGATACTAGAGTAAAGGGGTTCTCTGATAGAACAAAATATATTTATTTATACTCTATCAAGTAATACAAATAAAATGAGGCCCCAAAGACTGTAATCTTGGGATATTAGGGTAAGTCTCCACAAATAGGGAGCTGCTGCCCACCTCATAGCCATTGACCATGTGCACCGAAGATGGGTCACGGTCAAGTCTTCGGAGATTGCTGTATCTCTGATACTGTGTTTCCAGCAGGTTGGACTCCTTGGCACCGATGCTCTTGTAGAAAGCCTTGGTCTCTTTCTTGGATTCCCACTTGACTCCGGATCTGAGGCACAAAGCTCTGTGTCACTGACAAACTAGGGCAAAGGCAAGCTAGTAACAATCCTACATCATGCAAACTAGCCCTTTGAGAGCATAGGCTGAAATCACAAGCACTGCCCACAAGGCAGTGAATAACAATGCGTCTGTCCTCAAAGGTTCTGAGGATGGTACCTGACATTTTGGTCTGATGTTAGTGAGGGCTCTCTATCGGAGCTCAATTTCAACCTATATTGACCAAGAGCGTGATAATAGTGGTAGAAGTGCAAGACCTTTGTTTATATGTATCTAGACTCAAGGAATATGGCAAAAGGTCAAGTTATGATCGTGTCAGTGTGGCCAAGCAGTTTACCTTCATGAATATTTGGATCTGTCAATCACAAATCCCTTTTCACTGATCTCAATGATCAGGGTTTTGCAAACTTTATAGGAAACTGTATGGAGACTTTAACAATAGTACTGACTCTCTGCAAGTTTCCTTTCCCGTGAGAATTTACATACAACAAAACCAGTAATACAAACTTCAGAAAAAGTAATGCAGGAAACACCTATGCTTGTAACTGGAGTCAAACTTACCCTTGTATTGACATGTAGACAATCTCTCTTCTAGGGTTAGGAGCCACAAGAGAAACCCCCACAGCTTGGACATTGAGAACTATGTCATAGAGGTTTCGCTCCAGCATTCCAGACTAGAAATGAAAGCAACATATAGATACAAACCAGCAAATAAGTGCATAACTTATAGCACACATGAGAAAGGTTAAATCCTCTGTTTCTCAAAATTTTTCTGTTAGGAGCAAACAGTTCTAACCAACCTCCTGTATCCTGACCACCAGCTGGAAATCCTCAGTAAACAAGACTGTCCTCTGCTTGCCATTCAGGAAAGCTATCCAGTACAGTTTTTTGTCATCTTTCAGTTGCACCTGGTCGCAGTCATCCTACAGAGAGCCAAACATTTTCTCAGTTAAACTGGAGACAAGTGTTCACACACAGATTTTAAAGCATACAATTTTGCTGTACAGTTCAGCACAAACTGTCCAAGGCCTCTCTGTAAGAGAGATCTGGTGGATGAGCACTTACTGGGACATCAATGCTTGCTCAGTATTTTACGGCAATGCATTACGTGTTAAAAAGATGAAAACACTGAACCACAAATTGCTGCACAGCATGTGTCCTGTCTAGGGGCACCAGAAATTCTGCTACAGTCGAACCTGGTTATATCACACTTGGGTACTATTTTGAATTATTGTTTATATCAAGCAGTCTAAACATCCCCTTGAAAGTCACATGTAATACTATAGGAGCATAGTCTTTTTGTACCAAAGTCCCCTGGCATTGACACAGGATATAGCGAACAAAGCCGGCCGCCTGTTGCTTTTCCTGCAATCCGATTGTGCGGGTGGCCAGCACATCACTTGCAGTGCCGGGCTGGCAGACCGCCAAACCAGCCTACACGCTGTAAGATACGCAGCAGGGAAGAGGTTAGCAAAAGCAACGGGAAGAGCAAGCACACTCAAAGGAGAGCAGAAAGGAAAGTGCTTGCTGCTGGAACGATAGCCTGCACCCTTTCCCCGGACACTGCTGATGCTGCACGACTCTCTAGCCCCAAAATAAAATACGCAAAAAAAAACAAAAAAAAATTTTCCTAAAGTTGAGTGTGTCAACGACAACGGTTGTACAATAACACTTCGAATGCCTTAGCTTTGTTTACCTTTCTCTTTTGCCTTTCTTTTTTTGCTGCCTGAATTTAGTGAGCTTTCTTTTTTGTTGCTTGCTTAACTTTTAAGGGGGGACATGGCCTCGGAATTCAAATTTTTCAGAAAAAAATGTTTTTTTCAAAAATGATATGTTTGTGCTTATTAACTTCTAAAGAATGGTTTCAGAAACTTTCATTTAAAAACATGCAGGATATATCACAATAAATTATTTTCAACATGTCGGCAGCCCTCCAAGTCAGCAGCGAGCAAGTTCTTTGCATTTTTTATTTAGCGCCGCTCCATACTCATTTAATATTTCTTTATGCGTCTGGCTTTTCAGTTTTTCTTTCCATTTTTTAAATAGTATTATTTTCTTGTTTTGTTGCTTATTCTGTGTTGAGGTTCCGGCCAGGCACACATGTAAGCGGGGCGAAGGGTTGGTGTTTGTGGTCTCCGCCAACTACGCTCTACTGTTTTTAGCAGCTCTTGGATACTCTATTGGGTAAGCTCCCGCTTGTCGCAACCTTTTGTATCATTAGATGTGCCAGGAAATTTCAACTGGAGCTTAATTTCACATATTTTTGTATATAAAAAAATTCATATACAGTGAAACCCGTTTATAACGAACAGCAGGAAACACTACGATCAGTTCGATATAGCAAGTAGTTCGATATAGCAAAACCCACTTACAAAACCGAGCTACGACTTTCCCGGCGATTAAATATGGATCTTTAAATCGCTGCAGCCACCCAGATCCAGCGGTGAAGCCCTCAATGTTCAGGAGGGGTGCAAAATCTCTTGCCTTGCTTTGCAACATTGGTCCGGAGACCAGCAGGTTCCGCGCACAAATGTCCAAAAACCATTGGTACAGCGCTTTTTCCACCTTGCCGTACGCCGGCTTGCGGATGCGCCTGCTGTCCGCATTTAGCCGTTCACGGGCCTTGTCTCGGATGGCAGACTTGTTTTTAAGAATTGTACTCAGCATACTTCTGGGGATCTTGTAGGCAGCGGCAACGTCTGATTTCTTTTCGCCGTGCTCCACACAACTGATGATGTCGACCTTGTCGGAAAGTGGCAGAGCCTGCCGCTGCTTCGTCGTCATTTCGGGCGCGAACTAGCTGGCCCGTACAGTGAACAGGAAGTGCATTGGGGACAAGAAAGACGACAACAAACAACGACTAAATAACGAGAAGAAAGGAGGGAGGGGGAGAGAGAGAGAGCTTTGCCTGTGGTTGACGCTTTCAACGGCATGTGACAATGCTATGGAATCTGAAATGCGATAGGCTTATTGCTTCTTGGGGCGTGGTGTGTCAAGCCCCAAGTGAATGCGCAAGGTGAGGAGGGTCAAACTAGAGTTCCTTCAAGTTCTCTTCGGCGGGACATGAAGGCCCCCAGGTCAAACTAAAGTGACTTTAGGTGAAACAAGGCGCGAAGGGAGAGGAGGCGAGAACTTCTTTTTCTTTCTCGTCTCTTCGCTTCCGCCTTGTAACAACGCGCTAGAAAGGTTTTTTTTTTTTTTAGCTTACCTACGTTTTTTAATTGCTTTTCTTCGTAAGCAACCGCTTCGGTTGCTTACAAAGATTTCTTTTTTTTTTTCTGTGCCCTTCGGAATCGTTTTTCTTCGCTTATTTTTGTTTGCAGCTCGAGCTTTTGGAATTTTTTTTATTTCCTTCACTTTTTCGGGCGAAGGCATTGGCTGAAAGACGATCGTTTGCGCATTTTTGGAAGCCTTCCCAGGGGGAAAAAGTTCGATATAGTCAATCTGTTGTCCGTTACAAAAAGTACTTTTCACATACATTTTGATTTAAATTTTTCGTGAGTTCGATATCGACAATAATTCGCTGTATGTGGGTTCGTTCTAAACGAGTTTCACTGTATTGAACTGTTTTACAATCCCTTTTGAATACAATATATCCGGGATCGACTGTATACAGACCCTTCAGTTCCCTTTTTCTTTTCATGGAGACACATTCGCCTCCCACGCATTAAAGAAAGGTAAAGAAAATAACTTGAGCAAGCCGGGGAAGAGCTAAACTCTTGAACAAAGCATGCATATATTTGTTCTTCTTTTGGTTTATGAACAATATATGTATAAGGCCTAGAAAAAAGGGAGTGCAATGTTTCAGGGGTGTGCAACGAGTCAGGACACTATTATGGTGCAGTCTTCTTTGAACACGAGATCCCCCATTTGCCACTACAAGAAGCCAGAGGATGCACCCATATGCACGTCTGAAAATTGGGGTATCAATCTGGCGTTTCCTTCAGTCCTACCCTCGACCCCCGATTTCAAAGGCAATCAAAGCGAGTCGAGGCCCTTGAGCATACCATGACCAGGTCAAGTCTGTTTAGATTGGAGCTCTCCTCTGTGCCCCAGAGAAGGCATCGCTTGGCCATTGGGTTGTCCCAGGTGTAGTGCACCGTGTACTTGGGTGGCAGCGTGTAAGTGCACGTGTCCTTGAAGATTCTGTAGGGAAAGTACCAATTTTATTTGTGCATCGAGGGCAGGAATTGTAGAAATCACTAGCAAAGTAAGATAATAACCCAGAAAGAAAGTTCCATAATTTGTATAAAGAAACATGTTTCAGGAATCAGGTATTCTAAATGTGTTTCAATAAAGGTTGTAGCAAGGGTATGGATGTTTTTATGATAAAGCCTATCTTTCATCAGGCGTTTTAAAAAGGTAAATAGAAAGAATATTTTAAAGAAAACATAGGAAGACATTTCTGCAGAGAGAATGATTTGTTTAGCAGTAAAGATCTTTTTAAGATATTAACTACCACGAGGCTCCCTAAAGCAATGTAGTCAATAAATGCTTTTCCTTTCTTTCGTCATTTCCTCTAGGTATACTACCAGGTAAACATGCGAGATGTTCCCGAGTTTGTACACAAATTAGGCACTGAAAGTGAGAACGAAAATTCAAAGGGTGCGAGAGAGAGCCGGCAAAGGTTGCATGCCTTGAATGCAAAAGGAACAAACCCGGACGTTATGCACTGTCTCCCTTTTTGGGTCTGTTTTGCATGAAACTCACAGTATGTCAGACTATTTTTGACCAAATGTTTTCCACTGGAGTGCAACAATAGGCTCGTTCGATTTACCTATGCATCCTGCATTTGTGCAGTACTAAAGTGTAGGGTGGTGTACTTCCAGTCGTATCTCAATACACAGATTGGAAATACACTGTCCTTCACTTTTCTGCACCGGTGCAGGAGGTGCAGGTAAATCGAACGAGCCTATTATCTACAGAAAAAGCTCGAGGTACACCTAAGCAGTTTTTATGAGTTGTGAATGCGAAAGCATAAAAGCCCCTCCGACGATGTAGATGCTAGAGGCGGCGCCATGTTCGTCGGCGTCAAGACGAGCAGAAGCACTGCCGACGATGTGGATGATGGAGGCGACGGCATGTTGGTCGGCGGCAAGACGAGCAGAAGCCTCCAAGCGCACGCCAACGTGTCCGTTTTAACTGGCGCGGGGCCCTTAGTGGCATAGGGTTGGGGCGGTTAGTTTTATCAGCGCGCTGGCGGCACGGACACGCAGCGCCATCTGGCGGCGGTCGTTGAAACTGACACACGCAGTGGCCAATGGGAGCCTCGTTGCCGTGTGCCAGCCAATGGGACCTTTGGAATCAGGGAAACTAGGTGACGTTTTCGCGCTTCAAACTGATGACATCGGCTCGCTCTATGAGACAGTTAATGCTTTCACATTAATATGCAAAACTTACGCCTGGCAGTAGCTCAGAGTCATGCCGCTGTGGTTCACCATAAGGACCGGAGACAGGCCTTCTTCGTAGTCGCTGAAGCCTACCACGGCGGCGCTTTCCCCAACCTGGCAGTTCATGTACATCCCACCCTTCTGCAAAACATGTTTGCAACGCATTGCACCACAGTCAGCGGGGTCAATGACAGAAGCAATAAGAACAGCAAACGAACTTGGTACTGAAAATACAAAAAATAGAAGACCTGGGGCACGTTTACCTTATTTGGGATTTTAAGCAGGACAAAGTTTGTCTCCTTGCAGGAGAAGGGAACGGAGCACTCTTCTGTTTTGGCATACTTTGCAAACAGTTCCAGCTTCTGTACCTCTTTGGGCCACAGGGCTACACACTGCACAAATACCAGGCAAGAGGACAACTCGGTATACATCAGAAAAACATTGGGTTTCCCAGATGAGCACAACACTGAAAAAAAACTTTTCTTACCGCACCAGCTTCCACCTGAATCCATTCGGTGTTTTCAGAGTATTCCTTGACCTCAATGGCAGTCTAAACGAAGTTTGAAAAATAGTCAGCTTGATCTCGTACACCGAGGCCCAACCGAATGCTTTTCACTGGACGTGCCCGTTTCAACCATACATGGACAGTTGATGCGTACCTTACAGTTGTTGAGGATGAAATAGTAGGGTGTGAAGGTCACTATCCTCGTCAGACCAGTTGCACTCAAAGTGATCCCAACACTCAGCTGGAATGAAAAAAAAAAGCAGCATTTGAACCTTGAGGGATTGCAACCATAAAGTAGAAACCAGAAGACAGTTTTTTCGTACCAAGTAAGAGCGTCCGTCTTTTGACTTTGCCACTATGGTGCCAGAGCTCCCCACAGCATCCAACGAGAACCTCTCGGACCAGTCAGAGTTGAAGATCTTAATAGCAGCCTTAAAGAGAAAAAAGTCGGCATAAGCGAACTCTAATACCATGGCAAATCGCCGAAACCAGTCGCCACCATTCCCTTAGCCCTTGCCTCAAAAAAAACCTCAAGAACACATAATAATAGCAGCTAGCACTTTGATAAGAGACATATTTTTTTTAGACTACTTTGATTCTCAAGAAGCTCATAGTCACTGACCGGATGAAAAAGACAAAAAGGTCCTTCATTTGTCCTCCCTATGGTGAAAGCTTCCTAAATTCAATAATGTTTCGGCATCTTAAAATGTACAGTGGAGGGCAACAAACGAGTTTTAGAGGCCGGGCATTCAAGGAAGACGCCCCACCGCTCTCAACCTGTCACTGACCATAGTGTCATGCCGAAATGTGGGGTGTCGTTCCAATGCTTTCCAAGTTCCGACTCAAGTTCTTCCCACAACCTTCGACAACCTCCATGTTCTGCTTGGACTCACCTTCTTCTTGGTGAACAAAGTCTTGGAGCGGTATGAAAACAGCACTGGTTCTTCAGAAGTGGCAGGGTGTGGGATGCCCACAGAGTCTTCAGTCTGGCAACAACACAAGTGTTGCATAAGGACGGATTTTTCAACGACAAAGTACAACGTCAAAACAACCGTGCATTACTTTGTGCTCTCCGGAAAGTGCTTTGTGCATTGCAAAACAAGTAGAAAATTCGTGCAGCTCCGACAAGAATGGGTGCCAACAGAAGAAAGAAAATGAAATGCTCATTCACGTAAGTGTGTACATAGTGCTATCCCCACTCTAAAAAGTAAGAACTATGACAAGTTGTCTCTGGTAGCTGTCCAGTCCTAGATACATGCTGAGGTCCCATCTAAAATCCTGAACTTTTTACACATGATAAACACCCCAACTCTAATGTGGCAATCGAAAACTTTCAAAAGATACCTGCTGTGACAAAGTGTTTGTGAGGGCTGGTTCTTTTTATCTTATACATACAAGTAGTACTATTAGAATTGTGCATATATATATTTTGGAATAGCAGTTTCGAATAGTACACTAGTCATATTTTCAAAAGGTTGATTGCGGCAGGCTAGGCTCGTTGGGCATGCTCCTTACTGAGCACCGGTGCACTGTGGACAAACTAAACTTGCGGAGCTCACTTCCACATCTGTTGCTTCTTTGCATTGCACTAATGCTTGGCAAGAAGCACACTCAATGGGGCTAACTCACCACGATCAACGCTTCGAAGAATAAGGATATTGCAGTTGCACGCTTAGAGCAAAAGCACAAGTGGGATGGTGCACGTGCATTCACTTTGTGAATGCTGCTATCTAAATTGCTGTAAAATTTTCAAAATTAAACTTTGGCTATTACGCAAGAATATCTGTTCGACAGAGATCCCCTGACAACCTGCAAGCATTATCAATGATTGTCTTTTCTTTCGTCGGATTTGAGACTGAAGAAGGAATATTTACATAGAGCAAGAAGATTTATAAATGCTCCCAATTAGGTATAATGGGTCATCTTTATAAATTTAGCTTTATGTCAAATTTGTTATTTAATTACCATCCCAGTGTAGGCATTGAACTTTTTAAGGCCACGGTTCATAAATATAGTTAGATTAAAATTGATTTAGCTTAGAAATGAACAAGTGGATGTTTGGAAACAACCTTCAAAAATTCAGCTGGGTTTTTGTTTAAGCATGGCGCAGTAGTGAAAGGCTTGGAGAAACTAGTCAATGTTTGGCTAAAATATTCAGCCAAAACCACTATTTGCTTCGAACTCAAATTTTACCATACTCACAAGTCTAAAAACAACCATTGCCAAGCCTAAATTTCACACAGCAATGCTTGCAGCCACGTATTAACTTGTTTGGACTTGTTGTAACAATTGAGATTATAGTGCAGCTGCATTGAGTATGTGTTTTGTTTTTGAATGTAGGTGAAAGAAACTACTCAACTATAGCCCTGATAACATTATTGTTATATCAGGGGGAATATACGACAAGATTTGTATTCACACAAAGATTAATTTATGAGATGGCCAGCAACTTTCCCAATGCAATACAGTAGACCTCGTATAATGAAGCAAGGTTAGTATATGCCTGTGATATACTAGTACAGGAATTTGAAATACTGATATAATCAACAAGCTAATATATACTTAAAAGAAAAAAAAACTAACTTTAATAAAAAGTTATGAGCCATTCCAGACTGGAGTGGCAACAAAGAGAAGGTGGTGCGAGCATAGACATGGCCGATGTGGGTCGCACAGCGGCAATTCTTTTAAAAAACTTTATTATCAACCTCAAAGTCTACTGATCTTGAAAATGGTGCCTATTGATAGCTAATGTACTCAATAGATCTATTGCTAAATTGCCCAAGCATCAAAAAGAATGCAGGGAATGGAGTTCCACGCGCCCATGTGCCGGCATCTGCAGCAGTAACTGTTCTAAAGCAAAAGTCTAAAACAAATGGCATCTCACATGCGCATTCGACAACGCTTTATCTTGTTTATTTTCTTTTAATGTTTTATACGGCGAAGGCTGCGCATGCAGTGGTGAGAGCGTAGAGTTTTTAGTAACCACACAAAAAAATACATGGAACCCTAGCCATAAACAGCTTCTCTGTAAACGGAATTTTAACTGTAGTTTTAACAGTTTTTGTGAACAGAAAGTCGGGGCATAAATGACCTGATAAGATTAGACATAACACAATCCCAAGACTGCACAAAGCAAAAGACGACACACATACACAAGGTCTCTAAAAGGTTTTCTAATATAGAAATGAACAGATGATCTCACCTCTTCCGCCTGAAATACACAAGGTAACGACACAGCACAGTACAGAATTATTGACTTTAAAATATGCTCTACCAGAGTAAGCAGTTTAAAAACAGTTTTTCCTAAAGTTAATAAAAAAAGAAAAGGGAAAGAGAGGTTTCACATGGGTTGGATTTTCTCATCATATAGACCATTCCATTTAGCGCTCTCTGGGCGGCACCATTTTGTTCGACTGCAGCGCCCTCTCCACACATCCGGGAAGTTCAGTGGGTTCGGTGGGGTAAAACGAGAGAGAGGGCACGCCGCCGACTCCGCTAGCAGACGACAAACCGGGAGGTTGCCGTTCTCCATCTTTGGGCTGTATCGGCGGGCTGTACCGAACACTGAACTCTCGCTCGTGGCTGCCGTTGTGAAGTGGTTCGCGTTCTTAGAACAGTTGTGGCTACTCCAAAATCAGCCTATAGTCTCGGTTGCTCTATTTTGCTAAATGATAAACTAGCATATCTTTTTTCCGTTACTTAAATAGCAGTTGAGTCAGCCGGCAGTACTACCCTCAACTACTGCGTGTATTGCGGCAGGAGAGCACGTTTTTATTTATTATTTCAGACTTCCACTCATGGTCGCTAAAGGCCTACACCAGTACGAACTTTTGTATAGTAAAAAAGGTACAGCAACCGGATTTTCTTTTCGCCAAAGAGACCGGCCAATCTGACACAGTTTTCCCTATTTTTGTTTTTTATTTGCACGCAGGTAATAGTGCAATTCGACCCTGTGAGTTTTTTTATCTAGCATAGTATTACACGATAACTGGCATACCAAAATCTGCGCATCTGCGCTTGAAAGTTCCAAAACGACGCGATTTTAAACAGAGTTTGCACGCCAGCCGGACGCTAGCTACAGCCCACTCGGCGGTGCGGACGGCTTGCGGGGGAGAGGGGGAGTGCATTTTTTTTCTCTTTTACCCTCTCTGCTATGACCCTAATGGAACGGTCTATATTTTAAGAAAAAAGACTACCTGCTACCAACAGTTAATTTTTATTTTAAATTAAAATTTCAGTATTTACAATAAACCAACCTTATTTTACAGCAGTTATAAAACATGATAAAAACTGGCAGATAAAAATCGGGGGTGGCCATGAGACCACATCCAAAAGCAACGGATGAAATCAACACCAACAATAAACCAGCCTCACAATCATCAGCTAGCATCGCAAGCAAACATGCCTGTCAGACGTGAGCAACGATGACATGCAAGCATGCGCAGATGTGCTGACAAATTTCCAAAAGGAACGGGCATACGGGTGAGGTGAGCATATGTCCTAAATATCATGCGGACATCTAAGCGGCCTTTTTGACTCACGTCGATTTCAAAGGAGGAGTGCGACATGAGAGATGCACTCCTTGCCTTCCCCGGCTAGCAACAGTGGGAAGGGGAGGGAAACGGAGCCACTGCAGGTTAGTCATCCAATTTCAATGCACAGAGTAATTGAAACGTGTATGTATCCTTCATGAAACGAAACCCAAATTGTTAAGGATGTGGGGAGAGCACAATGGTGCTAAGGTCTATACTCCAGCCCAAGAATTCCATGTAGATTTGAGAGATATATGTTGTGCAAGCTTGTGACCATAGAAGTTGCTCTTCTTATACGAGTGCTCATGCACGCCGAGCATTCTGCAGAGCTCTTGTGCCTGTACCTTTGATAGCGCTGCCCACAACTTGTGAAATGGAACATACCAGCTAAAGTGCTGTCAGATGAGGCAGAGATGAGATACTGTCAAGTACGTAGCATGAACAATCTCTGCTGCTGTGAGGGGAACTAAAACATTTTGACAACAGAACAAGAAAATGAGCAATTTAATGCATTACAAATCTGCTGTCTCCCTGTACAGGAGGTTTATAAAGTATGTAGGTAGTGCATACAATACCATGCAGAGGTTTGAAATGCCTAAGGTTGTTAGTGAAATCAAGCAGATGCACTTCAAAACTGCTACTACATTTAAGTGTCTCATATCTCTAAGCAAGGCCAACTATAATGGAAAAGTATGAAGCAATCTTGAGGTTCCTGCAGATCACGTAGATTTAGCGAACTGCAAAATATACACTGTATACTAGTCCCAAATGTTTTAGAGCGCAGCTCATAGGCGCCCGTTCCCGTGTTTCGCGGCGTCGGCGTAACCACACTAAGTTTAGCGGGAAAATTGACGTCACGTCACCTCAACAGCAATTTAATTCCCCGCTAAATTTAGTGGAGAACCGAATGGCTGTTGAGGTCACGTGACGTCAATTTGCCCGCCAAATATAGTGTAGAAACTGAATTTATTAATAGGCAACGTGACACCAAGTCATGTGACGTCGTTTTCCCTGCTAAATTTAGTGGGGAAACTGCATTGGTGTTGAGGTCAGGTGGCATAAAATTTTCAGCTAAATTTAGAGGGGAAACTCGGAGGAGGGGAGGTTACAGAGGGGGAGGATATGTAGAAGGAGGAGAGGAGGAGGGGAAGGTATGGAGGAGGAAAGGAGGAGGAGGAAGAGGAGAGGGAGCAGAGGGTATGGAGGGGGAGGAGGGGCATACCCTCCCCTCCATACCCCCTCCTCCTCAAGAGCTGCACTTCACATTAGATATTTGTAAACGTCTCATTTTTTTTCTGGTTTTACGAACAATCTCACCTCTAAACTTTTATTTTTAATAGAGTCTTTTAGTTTTAACGCAGATTAAGAAGCAGTCTTAACTTCCAATCGATTCTTCTACTACCTTCAGATGTTCTGATCTTTATGACAATGTTAAAGTTAGGCCTAGCAAGCAC